GACCCAAAAAAAAAAAAAGATTGGGCAGGTTGTCTGACCCAAGGCCTCACGTGAAAGGAATTACCCCAGAAGTCAGCGAAGGGCGTTGGCCTGGATCGAGAGAAGGGATCCCCAGGATGCCGTGGAGAGAGTCGAGGAAGGAGAGGCCGGATCATCAGTCTGGGATGCACCATTCTGAGAGTGTGACTGAGCCACGGGTGAGGTTCTGGAATCCGTGCCAGGCAGACCTGCCTGCTTCAGGAGCCCCTGACTCTGGTGGCAGTCTGAAGACCAACAATACCACAGGGGCCTCCCCAGCTGGGATGTCTCTCAGGAGGAAAGGTAGCTGGAAAGGGAAGGAAGGAAAGGGAGAGGAGGTGGGGACGATGCAGGAAGATGAGAAAGTGGGGGGGGGAGGTGAAGAACTACTAAAAAATTACAAGGTATATAGAAGAGGACAACGTGTTGGACTCAGAGACCCATAGCATACACATCCTTTTTAAAACCAATAGACTCCATTTCCAGTAGCAAATAAAATGGCGAAAGAAAAGCAAATGAATTCAGCGTTCTCATGCTTACTTCCGAAAGGGGCTCAATCTCCCTGGGAAGATGGACAGAGGAGTCTCTCAGCAAGTACTGAGCAGGAAAGTGTGTTCCTTTTCAAGGGCTGGCCCACGGACAGGGCCAGTGGCCAGCCCTCAGGCCTGACCCCCTCTCCCCACCTGGTGTTTGGCTGCTGCTTTTCCCATTGCCAGTCCCGCTGGAACAAAGCCACTGAGACTGAGCAACAGCAGGTTCCTGGCTCCCGGGCAGGTGAGAGAAGGTGTGATGGATTCAGAGGGGTGAATGGGACGCAGTGCCTACGCACCAAGGGCTGTGGTAGGAATCCTGTGGATCCTTCAAGGGCCTCCAGGTCTGAATAGGTGTCTGGGAGCAGCACTGCCTCCCATGTCGGTGAAGGTCATAAACCTTTGGAAAACGGGCTTTATGTGAGGGTTGTAGAAGGTCACATTTTGAATATTATGATATGAAAGTTCCTTCTTTGCTCCTCTCCCTCCCCTCTCTTTCCCTTCCTCCCTTCTATCCTTTGGACTGGGTTTCACTATGGAGTCCAGGTTGGCCCAAAATGAGACTTCTTTTCTCTTTTTTCTTTCCCTCTTTCCCTCCTTCTCTCTCTCTCTCTCTTTTCCTCTTCCCCTTTCTCCCTTCCCTTCCTGGGGCTGCCTGGACCGTGGCATCTCCTGCGGGCTTGGGTAGTGCCTCACCCTTTGTCCGTCCTGGTGTAGTTCCATGGCTGCCTTGTTCTCTCATGGCTTGTAAATGGCTTTTACTTTTTGTTTATTTCCTTTGGTTGTTTTATTGGGGCAACCGTGTTTGTGTTTGTTTTGAGTTAGGGTATGGCTATGTTTCTCAGGCTACCTCAGTCTCCTACGTATTAGGGTCACAGGCATGTACCACCTCTCCTGGCCTGACTTGGGTGTGTGTGTGTGTGTGTGTGTGTGTGTGTGTGTGTGTGTGTGTGTGTGTGTGTGTGTGTGTGTGTGTTTAGCAGATAAACTAGGGCCTCCTCACCTCTGGAAATCACCCACCTGAAATGGAGCAAAGTCTAGTCTTTGCTGGACTTGGCAGGGAGAGAGGATTCATTATGAAGGCATTTTTCTTCCTTTTCTAGAAAGGTTTCTCGCAGTATTTATGTCTTTTACAGTGGGCAGGATTTCCAGGCCTCTCTGCACTTCCCGGGAAGGACCAGAAGCTTTGCCATCAGGGTGTCTGGAGCCAGGTCTGCCTTCCTTCATTAGGCCCATTGTCCCTAGGCTGCCCGTAAGCTCTCCTGTAGCAGGAGGATAATAACATGTATTCTGACAGTTTAGCCCAGCATGATAGCAAGGATGATGGCAAGGGAGATAATGCGTGGGAAAAGGAGGGAGAGTGGGATCACAGGCCGCCTATCTGCTCTGCGTTATCCATCATTATCACCTTAAAAACAAATATCTGTTTTTGAAATTTTTTTATTATAAAGATGTTGTGCAGAGGGGTTACAGTTCAGATATCTATTTTTTAAAAATTGAAATTTTATATACTTCTTAAAAGAAAGCATGTAGTGTTGCACAGGTTAAAGTCCTGGAAGATTGATTTATTTATTTATTTATTGCCAGTACTAGGACTTGAACTCATCGGGCCTAGGCACTGTCTCTTAGCTTTTCTGCTCAAGGCTGGAGCTCTACCACTTGAGCCACATCTCCACTTCTGGCTTTTAATTGGCTGATTGGAGATAAGAGTTTCAAGAACTTTTCTGCCCAGACTGGCTGTGAACTATGATCCTCAGATCTCAGCCTCCTAAGTAGCTAGGATTACAGGCAGGTCTGATCCACAGTGCCTGGCTGGAAAGCATTCTTTGGATGTTAAGGTCTATAAGTTTCACAAATAAAATGCATAAACTGCCAACTTTATGGCTCCTTTCAGCGTCTGAAGGATGGAGGCCCATTGAAAATACGTAAGGTCTTTGGCGCTGGTGTGTACACATCACGTCTTTAGTTGGGGCCCCAGAGTGAGTGTGTCTGCACACACTCCTGCAGTGGAGCTCTGTGGCCACACATAGAATGAACGACCAATAGTAAGTCAGAAAACAACTGAAATAAATAAATACATAAATAACATCAGACTCTACAGTCATTACATGTGTCATTGCCTTAAACGTCACTTTTAGGTAGCATGGAATTGCCAGAGTGAGTGTGTGTACTAGTTTCACCGGCTAGCTAAACTTTGGGGCTGGACTGTCCCCTGGACTCGTGAAGGGCAGTGACCTACTTGTGGATTTGCACTGTCCTTTGTCACACGGGATTTGCATTGGGGCTCTGGCAGGCCAATCTGTGGGGCTGAATGAAGCTCAGTTTGCTTTCACTGCACTGATGTGTCTGCCCACTGCTCCTGGTTCCAGACACTTCTTTGTGCAGATTCCAGAGGATGCCAGAAGCCTCTGTCCTCTCCCCCTTCTCTTCAGTGGGTTCTGTCCTCATTTCTTGCTGTTCCTGTCCACCGTGAGCGATGCCAGCTGGGACAACTCCACGCTTTTGGTGTCTGTGAAGCTGTTCTCCCAACGGGCGTTTCCAAGCACTGTGGGGCATGAAGGGGGCTTTTGAGAGTCTGCTTCAGCTGGACATTGGTCAACAGGATGACCTTTAGTTTGCTGTGTTCTCTCTTTCAGGACTCACACAGGATTAAAAGGAGAGAACATAACTACATGCCTCTGAGTCTAATTCTCCAATCCTGGAGCAGCAGCCGCTGCAGTCTGAAAACCACCACTTGACCCCTACTCACAGCTTTAATTTCTGTATGGACTGAACACTTTTACTTTTAGACCCTCTCCCCACCAAACCAAAAGGCTGTCAGCGTAGCGGAGGGAGGCTCACAGGAACAAACTCTATTCATTCGATTACACATATTTAAGAACAAACTCATTGAAAAGCCTTTTTAATTTTATTGGATGCTTGATGTGACAATGCACAGGACACACGGAGGTCCACAGTGAAAGTTCTCCACCCTCACCCCTTTCTTTCTCGGAAAGTAGATTGCTGCTCCTTGGGTCTGTTTGCCTTCCTGAGTTTCAGCACTTGCGGCAGACGGTTACTAAACTGTAAGATTTGGGATTAAAATTCAAGATTGTGAGGAGACAAAGTAATACAAAATTGTGTGTGTTCACGTGTGTGTGCAGTTTGTGTGTGCATGTCTGTGCACATCTATGTGCGCGCCTGTATGTGCATGTCTGTGCACGTCTGTGTGCATGTCTGTGTGCATGTCTGTGTGTGCATGTCTATATGCACGTGTGTGCACGTCTCTGTGTGCACGTCTCTGTGTGCATGTCTGTATGTGCACGTGTGTGCACATCTGTGTGTGCATGTCTGTATGTGCACGTGTGTGCACATCTGTGTGTGCATGTCTGTATGTGCACGCGTGTGGGCATGTCTGTGTAGGTGGATGTCTGTGTGTGTGTGTTTTCCTCCGGCAGGGTCTGGCTAGGCGGTCTGGATTAGCGTTCCCTTCGCCAGCCTCACACCTCCCATCCGTGCTCGGATTACAGGATGAGCCGCCACCCTGGCGACCAGACCTGCTCTGGGGCTTCAGGACGAGGCGGAGGCCAGGCCGGCCGCCTGGCGAGGGCAGGGCCTCGGCGTGACCCCAGGGCGGCTCGGGGCGCTGGCTGTGGTGGACCTGGGGTCCCCGCGGGAGGCTGGCGCCCGCTCCTCCCTCCGTCGGGGGTCCGGCGCGTCCGCGCTCCACTCCCCACGCCAGCTCCGCCAAACAGACCCGGAAGCAAAGATGGGGCGGCGCCGGCGCGGGGAGGTCACGGGAGGTCACCGCCCGGGGGACACGCGGCGGAAATGCGCGGCAGGCCCGTGCAGCCCCGCGGCCCTGAGCGACTTGTGCTCCACCGCGCCCCCGACGACGAGCGGCGCCCGCGTCCGCCGCGCACCCCACGACGAGCGGCGCCCTGGGGGCGGTCGCGGCTCGGCGCTCGCCCCGTCGGAGAAGCCGCGAGGTGGGCGGGGCCCGCACAGCCAGCCTCCTCCTCCTCGCCCTCCCCGTCCCGCTGCACTAGGGCCTGGGCCGAGGGCTGAGGCGGAGCCGGAGTCGGAGCCTGACCGCCCCGGCCGAGGGGCGTTCCGCGCGGGAAGGGCGCGCCGGCCCGGGGCTCCCGGAGGGGGCGGGGCCTCGGAGGACCCGGGGCTCCCGCGGGGGCGTGGCTGGGTCTGAGGGCGTGGCCTTTGGGAGCCCCGTGCTCTCGTAGGGGGCGGGCCAGCGGGGCTGGGGGCGTGACCTCGGGGGAGCCGGGGACCTTGCAGGGGGCGTGGCCTTGGAGGACCTTGGGCTCTCGTGGGGGCGTGGCTGGAGCTGGGGGCGGAGCCTCTGGGAGGGCGGGAGGAGGCGGCCCTCCGGTGGGGCGGCGCGGGTGGAAAGTGGGCGGGGCCGTCTGGGCTTCGAAGACTCGGGCCCCCGGCGGGCGCGTGGCCGGGCGCCGCGCGATGAACGAGGCCGGGGCGGCGGGCACGGCCCGGGGGCTGCGCGTGGACGGGCTGCCGCCGCTGCCCAAGAGCCTAAGCGGGCTGCTGCACTCGGCAGCGGGCGGCGCGGCGGGCGGCTGGCGGCGGCTGGAGCGGCTGTACGCGCAGAAGTCGCGCATCCAGGACGAGCTGAGCCGCGGGACCGCGGGCGGCGGGGCGCGGGCGTCGGGGCGCGCCCGGCCCCCGAACCTGGACGCCGCGCTGGCGCTGCTGCGCAAGGAGATGGTGAGTCGTCGGGGCGGCGGGCCGCTTCCGGAAGTCCCCGCGCCGCCGCGGGGCCGGCGCCCGGGAGCCGGCGGGCGGGCGGTAGGCGCGGGCCGGGCGGGGCGGGCTCCCGCGCGGGCGGCGGCGGCAGGGTCTGGAGCTCGCCAGGTCCCGGGCCTCGGCGCCGGAAGCGCACTGGGCGCTCGCGGGCGGCGGGCGGGCGGCGCCGGCCTCCCCCGGCCCCACCGCCTCCTGGCCTCCGCCAGCCCCAGGCGCCCGCGCCGGCCGGGTCCTCCCCGGGGTGGGGTGGGGGGAGTGAACGCGGGAGCCCCGCCCTCCCCTGGGATCGCGACCCGGAGGACCGGGCGCTTTAAATCATCACGGGGGTCGGAGCCCGGGCCGGTTCGGACCCCACGCGGGCAGGTTCCGCCCGCGCCCGCGACCAGGACGCGCCGCCCGCACCGGACGCGGCCCCGACGCGTAGTGGACAGACTGGAAGGCGGCAGCGAGGCCACGGCTAGTTCCCGTGGAAGGGTTTTCCTGAGTCCCTCACGCCGGCCCGCCAGCCATGTTGGGTACGAGTGGCAGTGGGCGGGGCGCGGGGCCGCAGCCCCCGGCGGCCCTGCTCCTCGGGCCCCCCACTTGCTAGGCCCCCGTCGCCGCCGGGAGCAGCTGCCATGTCCTAGCGGTGTCCAGGTCCTCCCAGGGCGACTCAGGTCCGCCTCCACCTCCCGGTGACCCCCAGACCAGCCAGGCGGCGGAGGCAGCGACTGAAGAGCCACAGGGATTGACGTTTAATGTGAGAGCCCAGGAAAGTGATTTAAAAAAAAAAAAGTGGTTAGAGACGACTCAAGCACTGCTATGGAAAATCTGTCGGAGCAGAACAGCGAAAAATGACAGCCAGGCGCTGGTGGCTCGCATCTGTGACCTGACCGGCAGGCTGAGATCCGAGGATCACCTCTTGGAGCCAGCCCTAGCAAAAGGCCCTAGCAAAAGAGTCCTTGAGACTCTTATCTCCAGTTAATCCCCCCCCCCCCCCCCCAACGGAAGGTGTGAGTGGAGCTGTGGCTCAAGTGATAGAGCCCCAGCCGTGAGCAGAAAAGCTGAGGGACAGCTCACCCCCCAGTTCAAGCACACACAAGAAGCATCACGGTCTTAGCACAGAGATGATCATCACTGATTTGGGATATCTCCTTAATGGCAAAGTGCCAAGTGTAGCAGACATGTCTGGTCCCAGGACTCCAGAGGGGGAGGTGGCAGAGGCTATGGGTTGGGAGCTCAGTCCTGTTATATTTTTGCACACAAATGTGTGCACAGACACACACATACACGGGATGCACACACAAGATTGCATTGTACATTCTTCTGTGCCTTTGGGGGACACTTGTTGCAGGACACTTTCTCAGTCCATGTGTCCTGCAGCTTTTCAAGCAGGGGCACGTGCTACTGTGTATCAGTGAGCCTTGATGAAGGGGAGTGGGGTTCTCAGGGCAGCGTGCCATTTGTGGTTCTCAGCGCAGTACCCTCTGTGGATTCTCAGGCAGCGTGCCATCTCTGGTTCTCAGGGCAGTGTGCCCTTTGTGGTTCTCAGGGCAGTGTGCCATCTTTGGTTTTCAGTGCAGCATACCGTCTGTGGTTCTCAGCACAGTGTGCTGTCTGTGGGTTCTCAGGGCAATGTGCCCTCTGTGGATTCTCAGGGCAGCGTGCTGTCTGTGGTTCTCAGCGCAGTGCCCTCTGTGGATTCTCAGGGCAGCGTGCTGTCTGTGGTTCTCAGCGCAGGTTCTCAGCACAGCATGCCGTCTGTGGATTCTCAGCGCAGCGTGCCCTCTGTGGATTCTCAGCGCAGCGTGCCGTCTGTGGATTCTCAGGGCAGTGTGCCATCTGGATTCTCAGGGCAGCGTGCCGTCTGTGGTTCTCAGCGCAGTGTGCCCTCTGGATTCTCAGCGCAGCGTGCCGTCTGTGGATTCTCAGGGCAGTGTGCCGTCTGTGGGTTCTCAGGGCAGCGTGCCGTCTGTGGTTCTCAGGGCAGCGTGCCGTCTGTGGGTTCTCAGGGCAGCATGCCGTCTGTGGATTCTCAGGACAGCGTGCCATCTCTGGTTTTCAGTGCAGCATGCCATCTGTGGTTCTCAGAGCAGCGTGCCATCTTTGGTTTTCAGCGCAGTGTGCCGTCTGTGGTTCTCAGCACAGCATGCCGTCTGTGGTTCTCAGCACAGTGTGCCGTCTGTGGGTTCTCAGGGCAGTGTGCCCTCTGTGGTTCTCTGCAGTGTTGCCCTCTGTGCGTTTTCAGGGCAGTGTGCCGTGGGCAGCATGCTGTCTGTGGGTTGTCAGCGCAGCGTGCCATGGGCAGTGTGCCATCTGTGGGTCGTCAGGGCAGCATGCCATTTGAATTGTCGCTGTTGGGAGTGGCTGTCTTGGTGGGGCTTGCACAGCAGTGCACGCCTGTTTATACATTTGAGAAGGGGAGCTGGAGGCTGGAAGATGAATCTGGGTGCAGAGAGCACCTGTTGAAGAGCCTGGAGCTGGAAGTGAATGTGCTGCCTCCAGGACAGAGAGTAAGGAGGCCAGGGGCACAATCTATGCAGGTTGGAGAGGCCGGGAGTCCTGGGGGGAGGGGGGTAGCCTATCCTTGACTGCACCCTGTCCCATGAGCTAGAGCTTGTATTCCGAGTGGCATTGCTTCCTTTCTGCCAGCCCCACATCTGTGAAATTCTGTGCCTCAAGAGTCCCAGCAGCCTCTCAAGAGATCCCGTTGGAAAGCTCCAGAGAAAGCTCGAGGATCAAATCCATAATTGTTGCTCTGAAGCAACCGCTGAGAGAGTCCATCTGAAAACCTTTGTTAATCTGTTTCTGAATCACACTGGGCAGCCCTGGCTGGGTGAAGGTGTGAAGGGCTGGAGGGTGGAGGGCAGATGGGAGATGGCTGGCTGTTGTTTGGGAGCTGGAAGCACCTGCTGGGTGGGTGGAGGCAGCCCTGAGCAGCAGCATCCCACTCTGCTCCACACCAGTTCTGTTTCCGTGGTGGAAGTCTCCTTGAGGGGTAGAAACAATCAGAACTAGCTTTCTGCCACAGGAGGAGCTAGGAAGGGCACGGTGTGTTGGGAGGGAGGGCAGGCTGAGCCCACGGTGGGCAGCTCTTTCCCCTCCCCCTTAGTGTCCTCCTGTTGGAGCTGCCTGGCCAGACAGGTCCAGGCTCAGTTCTGGCCACACTTAGTTCCAGTGGGCAGACGCCAGTTCCGGTAGCTTGGCCAGCCTGGACCAGTTAATAGTGACTGGGATAGGACTGTTTTAATCAAGAGGGTGGAACTGGATTCCCCAAGGAAAGAAAGTTTTTTTTGCAGTTATCTCCAAGTGAAGGTTGTTGCAGCCACACAGGCAGATCTGAAGAACTGAAAAGCATTTTTTATTCCACCTTTAACTTTGATCTACTACTTTACCTATTTGTGTCATTTACCAAATGTATACGTACGTGTCTTACGAATAACATAACCTTTCCATTCTCCTTCGGTTAAAGGCACCGTGTGGTACTGTAGACGTCAGGCGTGCGTTGCTAGCATGCTGAGTACCTTTTCATCAGCAGACCTCAGGAGAGCACAGTCCAGGTGTTTCCATACCTTGGGGCCTTTAGCACCGTCCCCTTCTCTGGGCTTTGGCCTCTGGCCTCTGATCTCCTTTTTGCTGTAGCTCTGGAAGGTCAGGTGTACCAGGGGGAAGGCCTCAACTGGAAGTGGAGCTGACCTGATGCCTGGGGCCTTTGTGCCACCAAGGAGGCCAGAGTGGTCAGCAAGGGCCGGAGGGGTGGGTCCCCAGCCCCTGTCTTGCTCTGGCAGGGGTGTCCTGAGGGCTACAGCTGTGATATCGGCACTGCAGGCCCTCACCCCCCGCCACCCCCCCCCCCCACCCGCTGTGTTCGCCCAGGCCCATGCCCCCCACCCCCTGCACTTCGATCTGTGAAACCAGCTGGATGGTTCCATTAGATGTGGGGCATTTCCCAGATTGCTGGGGTGGATTGACCAGCCCTCTGCCGATGCCTACTCATTATTTGTTTGTTTATTTCTTTTTTCTTTTTCTTTTTGGTCAGTTGTGGGGCCTGAACTCTGGGCCTGGGTGCTGTCCCTCAGCTCTCTAGCTCAAGGCTAGCACTCTACCATTTCCTGCTTTTTCTGCTTATGTGGTGCTGAGAAATCAAACTCAGAGACTCATGCATGCAAGGCAAGCACTCTACCACTGAACTACCTTCCCAGCCCCTGTTTATTTCTTGTGTGTTGGGTTTGAACTAGAGGCTTGGGAGGTGTCCCTAAGCTCTTTTGCCCAAGGCTAGTGCTCTACCACTTGAGCCACTTCTGGTTTTCTGGTGGTTAATTGGAGAGCAGAGTCTTTACACACTTTCTGACCTGGGCTGGTTTTGACCCGTGATCCTCAGATCTATCTCCTGAGAAACTAAGATTACAAGTGTGAGCTACCAGCGCTGGCTATTTTAAAATTTTTATTAACATAAACTAACTGTACAAAGGTGTTTCATTGTGATATTTATGACACATATACAATGTACTTTGATCAAATTAGCACTGTCCGTGTTACTTAACCTTTCTCCTGTGGATTTATGTTGTTTTTATACATATTATAACACACTTTTAAAGTATTCATCTCACATCCCCCTTTCATAAAAACAACATAAGCACTGCACTAGAAAGTAGCGTCCATGTGGGTTGCACAGAGAGAAACACAACCAGGGCCCCGTAAGCACAGCCAGTACCCCTGTCTGTGTGGACTCCAGGCTGTCCACGGGGCCACAGCGTGGCCCTGCCGCTGCAGCCCTGCCTTGCCTCTGCCTCAGTGCTCCCTGGCCGGGCTGCGTCCTCCCCCTCGGCCTCAGCTTTACAGAATCAGTGTCCATGTCAAAACAAGGACTTGTTTGTGTGCCTTGAACCTCTAGAAATGAACTTTCTAGCTGTCCTGAACTTCAGAGGGGAGGATGTGCGCCTCCTCGGAGTGAGTGTGACTTGTTACTTGTTGTGTGTTTTCCTCTCATGATGAACTTGTTTTTTTCCTTTCTGGGATGCGGATGGAGCTCAGGGCCTCGCCTAGGCCACAAGCACTGGCCTCCTGCACCTCACCCTGCCCTGCCGTTGTTAATGACAGACATGCTGGTAGGGGGAGCCGAGGACCCCGGGAGGCTGTGAGCTGGCTGAGCAGTGCTCTCCCCACAGTCCTCTTTCCAGAAAGTTCTCAGACATTTGTTTTCCACTGAAAAGTTTGCCCATGTGTGTGTGCATGTGCGTGCATTCACGTGTGTGTGTGTGTGTGTGTAGAACAATGCTGAACTTACTCTTCTATAGCGTGTGTTTTTGATCGCAGCATCTTGATCACTTCTTTGGAATGATTGCATTGTTATCACTTCTTTGACTGGGCTAATTCTGTATCCCAGGCTGGCTCAAACATGTCTTCCTGCTTTAACTTCCTGAGTGCTGGAATCATAAACACGACCTACCACACTCAGTTTGCACCACCACTTCTTTTTTCTTTTTCTTTTTTGTCAGTTGTGGGGCTTGAACTCTGGGCCTGGGCGCTGTCCCTCAGCTCTTCAGCTCAAGGCTGGAGCTCTACCACTTGAGCCACAGCACCACTTCCGGTTTTCTGGTGGTTCATTGGAGATAAGAGTCTCACGGACTTTTCTGCCCTGGTTGGCTTTGAACCATGATCCTCAGATCTCAGCCTTCTGAGTAGCTAGAATTACAAGCATGAGCCATTGGCACCTGGCTACACCATCATTTCTTGAACCTGGTGTTTTTTCTATCTCAGCTGAGGAGTTCTGGCCCCGCGGAGTGAAAGGAAGCAGGTTGGGGTGGGGCATGCTGAGGCTAGGGAGCCACCTGGCAGGAGGCGGTGAGGGTGTTGGGGGTGGTGAGAGGAAGAGGAAGGAATGGCCAGGAAGGAAGCAGGAAGCCTGAACAGAAAAGAAAGGATGTCAGCAGGCTGTTCACCGCCATGGAAACTAGCCCGATCGTCCCTTGTATTCTCAGTCTAGAATAAAGGGTGGCATGTGCAGGGTGGAGAATTCTGTGTGTTCAGAGCCTGTCTCAATGTTTCCCCAGTGCTTGCAGAGGACAGCTCGACGAGGAGGCACCCTTGTCCTTGGGGACCCCTGAGGATGCTGTGGCTTCCTTGGTGGAGTCTTAGACCCCAGCTCCCCACTCAGAGAATGGTGTCTGTCAGATCTGGTCACTTGTCTCTGCAGAGGCAGAGGGGGATGGTTGTGTGGCTCAGTGTGCCAAGGGACACCGCATGATGGGAGACGCAGGGCAGCTCCTGAGCAGTTCTCCAGTCCTGCAGCTTGCCCCTGGCACCCCTGCCTTGTGGGAAGGCTGAGCCTCACCTCCATGCAATGAAGAGCCGGGAGCTCACAGGAGGAAGCCTGGTCTGCCCTCTGGCTTCTCTTAGGTAGAAGTTGGGTGGTTGTTTTTTTTTTTACTTTTTTGGTGGTACCAGGATTTGATCTCAAGGCCTCAAGTGTTTCCTTGGCTTGCTTGTGCACTCGACTAGACTAGCGCATTACCACCTGCACCATGCCTCCAGGTGGATTTTGAGCTGATTATTTTTGAGATGGAGCTCATGGACTTTTCTGCCCACGCTGTCCTTCAACTTCGATCCTCTAGATCTCAGCCTCCTAGTACTAGAATTACAGGTGACTTGATGATGGCATTTTCTATAGGGAAACCTTGGGTTGCAGGGGCACATTGGGCTGCCTGTCTAACACTGCACCTTCCTGTGGTATGTCATGACCCAAGGCTCCACCCAGCACCACCCATGTCTGGCCAGCCTTCTGTGGGCCCCTGTACCCTACCTCCTTCCCCCACTTCCTCCTTTCTAGACAGATTCCCTTTCTCCTGTAGTGCCCTGGCTTCCTGCCTCAGTGGGAGCAGCTGGGCAGTGCCTATGCCACACTGAGGAGGAGCTGAGCCAGCTGCCCAGGGTCTTCAGCTGCCCTGGAAAATGAGTGGACACCTTTGACAGCCTCCGGGAGTACCGGGTGTCTGAGAGAATGTCCGGGTTGTTCGTGCAAGGTTTAGCAGTCCTGAGGATTTCTGCCAAGTCAGAGCAAGTGTCCTCTAGAGCCTGAACGAGGTGGCATTGAGGAACTGGGGCACGCACAGGCGTGTGTGTGCACATGTGTGTAGGTCCTGGGCACGTGTCTGGCTGTGTAATGAGTGTGTGTAGGCCCTTGCTGTCTCTAGGTGGGGCAGACTTTCATTTCTAGGCCAGTGTCCCACCCATGACAGGCAGCTGTGAGTCACTGCCGCCCATAGAGGCCTAGTGGAGGCTTTGGCAGCTGAGAAAGAGCCTGGAGCCATGCGTGCATTGCGTCTGGTTGGGGGGGGGGCTGGGGTGGCATGGGGGGCAGAGCTGCTGACACCTAGCAGGGTTCTGCGGACCCAGGTGACCCAGGAAGGCCATTTATCGCTGCATCTGCACAGTGCTCCTTCCATCTTTGTTGTTGGTTCCTAAAGGGATCCTGAGGTGGGAAGTACAGTCCTGGGGTCCCCAGCCCTGCTGGGTCACGGCAGCTGGGAGAAGTGAGCTCAGGATCTGATGAGATTCTCATGTGTGGTTTTTTAAGTGAATGGGAAATGTGAGGTTGTTAAGGGTTTTTTATTTGTTTGTTTTTGTCCATCGTGGGGCTTGAACTCTGGGCTTGGGTGCTTTACCTGCACTCTTCAGCTCAAGGCAATGTCTCTACCGCTTGAGCCACAGCACCACTTCTGATTTTCTAGTGGTTTATTGGAGATAAGAATCTCACAGACTTTCCTGCCTGTGCTGGCTTTGAACTGTGATCCTCAAATCTCAGCCTCCTGAGTAACTAGGATTACAGGCATAAGCCACGGGCGCCCAGCTGTGTAAAGGTTTCATTCCTTGTCTTAAATAGTACAAGAGTCAGATGCCTTGACCTCAGAGAGTTGAGGTCATGGTGGTTCAGATCTGATTCTGAGAAGAATCCTGGAAGATAGGAGCCGGAGTGGAGGAGGGACTCAGGTAGTGAGTGACAGAGCTCTCTAATGTGAACTGTGACAGAAATATTCACCTACAGAAGGGGAGTTGTTTTTCTTTCATTTTGTTCTTTTCTTTTAAGACACGGTCTCTGCTGCCTGGTGGCCCAAAACCCCAGGCTTGTGAACAGGAGCCTGGAGACTTAAGTGGCTTAGAGGAGATAGAGACCTTTGTGTTCAGTCTGCTGGGTTTCACTGAGACCGGCCATCAGACTTACTGGTGATGTTTAAAACTCAGAGGGCTAGAGGTAGCTTGGTGGTAGAGTGCCTGCCTCCCGTGGGCAAGGCCTTGGATTTGAACCCTAGCTCTGGAGACAACAAGAGCAGTGGAGAATGGCCCAGCTGTGGGGCCTGTGTGATGCTCAGGGATCCTGGAGTAGCTATGCATCAGAAGCCACTGAACCTGGTCTGCCTTTGAGAACAGGCTAGGATCCCGCACTCAGGTGCTTACATGCACATCACCATGCATGTGGATAGAACAGCAGCCCTGCCCACTCCGCTGGGGCACAGGTGATGATTCAGTCTTCTCTTCTATGGTGGCGGAGGTGTGGTCCACCACAGAGCTAGTGAGAAGGGTCAAGCTGGCCTAGGGACTGTGCCCTAACTTGCCACCACGCTGTCTTCCCAAGAAAGGCTTCTCTTAGGTGTTCTAGAAGCACAAGGAGTCACGAGGGTACTAGCAGAGTGCATCTGTGTCCAGCTTTCTCCTTGAGAAGACTTTTCCAGTGCTTTCTCCAGTCTGCTTAGATGGTCAGGTGACCGAGTGGTCACCAGAGCCAGTTGGTCGTTCTGTGTGTGGTGACGAGGCACAGCTGCGGTGTGAGGCACCTGCAGCTGGGTCCTGGCTGTATTCCTGGGTGAAGGCTCTTCCTGGGCCTCAGGCTCCCTCTGTTGTGCATGGGTATACATAGGTATCTTACGTGGCTGTCTTATGTGGGCACACAGCCAGGCTGGCAATGGTGGAAGCTGAATGTACCACCGAGTCAGTGTGGACACGTCCCTGGCCCTAGCACACAGGTGGGCATCTTGAGTGGTGACTGGTTTCCTTTTACCCCGCAGCCCTGTGACAGAAGTCCCTCCCATCTTGCAGAAGCTGAGGTCTCCAGGGGAGGGTCACTTGCCCAGGGCAGGGGGCAGCGCCGCTCACCTTTGCCACTTTGCAGGTCCAGAGGTACGCTGGCTTTCTGTCCAGTGTGCACCCCCACCCCTGTTGTGCCCATTGAAGGCTCCCCTGGGTTTCCAGGCCCAGGGACATTCTCTGTGGGGTGGACAGATTCGAGTGCCCTGCCCTGGTTTGCAGTGGGATGGATGACTTGAGCACTTCTGTGGCTAAGTGTTCCGTCACACCTGTTTTGTGAAGGCGACTTCTGGAAGGCACTGCCGAGGAGGCACTGCCAAGGCCACGCCTCACCCGGCCTTGGCTGATGTAGGGACAGATGACAGCCATCTCCAGTAGGACCAGCCCTGTTAGGGGAGAGGGGAGTCTGACCCCCGATGCTCCCAGGACAGCATGTGGCAGGGAGAATCTGTCCCTCACAATCTCTCATGCCTGGTCCCCACATATGGCAGGCCAGCCAAATGTGGGTCTTATCTGCGCTTCATGGAGAGCGGATTCCCGCCCCGAGCCTCACATTCCAGTGAGGCTAGCGAGGCTCCCTGAGACTCGGTGCTGGTACTTCAGGGGGGCGGACCCCATGGGCTGGGTTCACCCCTACAGTTTTGACCATTCCCAGACATGGGAGCAGTGTCAGTGTGGCATGACACAGCCCCGTGTTCTCCACACCGGAAACCAATGCATGCAGGCAGTGCGCTGCGGTGTTCCACACGGGAGGCAGCCGTGTGCTGGCCCTCCAGGCTGGCTGGATGTTTAGCCCCAACCAAAGTCCAGTGCTGATGCCATCTGTCCTCCCCACTCTTTCCTCTAGGTTGGCCTCCGCCAGCTGGACATGTCCTTGCTCTGCCAGCTCTACAGCCTCTACGAGTCGATTCAGGAGTACAAAGGAGCGTGCCAGGCGGCTGCCAGCCCGGACTGTGCCTATGTGCTGGAGAACGGCTTCTTCGAGGAGGAGGAAGAGGAGGAGGAGGAGGATTTCCAGGGGCAGAGATCCCTCCAGGAGTGCGGACGCCGAGGCCCACCCCGGGACTTGACACTGCCCATGGCCCCGCTGTCCTGTAGCGACTGGGGTCTGGAGTCCATCTAGGGCCTGGACAGGCTGGGCAGCACTTCTCCCACAAGAAAGCACCACTGCCCCTCCGTGGCCGGCGGCCCTCCATGCAGGGTGTGTGCACGGTCGTCTTGGTGGTGCAGACTGTCCCAACAGCTATGGCTCAGGCTCACCTTCTGTCAGCTTGGTGGAAGGCCTTCGCTGGCATTTGTGTGGTGACTGGCCACAGGTTATTTGTAAGCTGTGGTTTAGGGTCTCTGCTTCCAATGGGAGGTATGCAAACCACCTCCTAGCATGCTGTCTAGTCAGTTTTTAGATCCTTTGTTCAGCTTTATTGTAAGCTGCATCATTCATTATCCAGGTGGCCTGCTAAGAGCTTCCTGCTGAAGCAGGCATTTCTGCCAGTCCGACCGCTGTTCCCCAACCCTCCCGGTTACTCACTCCGCCCTCAGGGATAGGAGGAGGGGAGGTTGTGTGCAGGGCTGGACTGGGACGAGCAGTGTTTTTATCACTCATGTAGTAAGGTAGCTGTTTGTCTTTAAAGACAGATGTAGACCAGCGTGTCACACTGCAGGGCCTCCCCCCTCCCCCAAGTGCTCACTGAAAGCCTTAATGTATACTTAATGTATATTTATTAACACACCTGACAGGAACGTCACTTTGGATTCAACATGAGGATAAATGTGCTCAGCAGTTACTGTGTTATTAACTCAGAATCTTCAGCTTTCTTAACCTGAACGAAAGTCCACTCCAAGTGGGGGGCGGACCCTTGTCTGCCCAGGCTACCTGCAGCTGACCCTCACTCAAGGGTTCATGAATTGTCAGTTTGGCGCACGGGCGCTCAGCGTCATCATGGGAGCAGTGCCAGCTGGGATTCCCTGCCGTGTGTCCCCCATGGCCCAGCCATGGCCCAGCCTCCTCCTGTCTGCTTATGTTGTGGCAGGGTGCCCATCACGCCTGGCCTGAACCTCCTCCTATGACAGGCCAGGATTGATCGAGGCAAGGTACCAAACGCCTTCTCAAAAACAACAGAACAAGCTGGGGACTGGGGGTGCATACCTGTCATGCTAGCTACTCAGAGGCTGAGATCTGACAATTATGGTTTGAAGCCAGCCCGCCCAGGAAAGTCCATGAGACTCCACTTAACCACCAGAAAGCCAGAAGTGAGCTGTAGCTCAGGTGGTTGAGCACTAGCTTTGGGCACAAAAACTCAGGGACAGTGCCCAGGCCCTGAGTTTGAGCCTCAGGACTGGCACCAAAAACGAAACAAACACCACAAAAAATTCCAAACAAATGGATAGGGCTACTGTTATCACATCTTTTTTTTTTTTTTTTAATAGCTTTTCTGAGATGTAATTCACCCCACAGGGTATATAAGTTAATGCTTTGGTTTTGGTCAGCTGATGTGAAAGAGCAAGCAGCTTTGTTATTGAGTTAAACAATTTATCAAGTCTGATTCTTTTGAAAGACTTTATTGAGAAAAATGTTTCCACTATAGTAAAAACAAAATATTTAAGAAATTTGAGTTTAAAGGATTTCCCTGGGGTACTCTCTCTCTCAGTGCTGGTGCTGCTGGGGGGGAAAGGGGGTTCTGGGTTCTGCTTCACACCACAAGGCCCTCGCTTCCCCTCACTGGTTGGGCGTCTGACGACTGCTCACGTGTGCAGAAGGATCAGCAGCTGGTGACGGGGAGGTCAGGGCGCCTTTTGCCAGTACCACAGCGATGCTTGAGGCAGCAGGATCTTGGGCTGCAGCAGACACGGGCACTGAGCACGGGACACTTCAGTGACGCACCAGCATGGAGCCTGAGACCGTGCGATACAGGACATTGCTCCTAAGTGTTACTAAGTACGGAAGCCTATTGTCCTAACCTTAAGCGACACCTGCCAGCCAGAGGCACTGATGAGAGCAGGAGAAATACCAGGTCTGGCAAGCTGAGGAATGCCACCTGAGGAGGCTCTCTAGATGGACGCAGATGCTGCAGTGCCATCTGGCACAGTGTGTCCCCCAGAGAGTGACCTCTGAAAGGGAAGAGGTGAGCCGAGGAACGGGCTTGGGAGGAAAACCCCAATTACAGTGCAGAAGACCGTGAGGGCTGAGCCACACAGTCACTCCAGGGGAGGCTGGGAGAAGTGAGGAGCACTGCAGGGGAGGCTGAGGAGAAGTGAAGATCACTGCAGGGGAGGCTGAGGAGAAGTGAGGAGCACTTCAGGGGGAGCTGGCAGTCAAGGCCCTGTTTTGAGCTAGGCACTGGTGGCTCACGCCTTAATCCTACTCAGGAGGCTGAGATATGAGGATCATGGTTCAAAGCCAGCCTGGGTAAGAAAGTCTATGAGACTCTAATCTCTAATGAACCATCAGAAAACCGGAAGTGGCACTGTGAATCAAGTGTAGAGGGCTCCCCTTGAGCTGAAGAGCTGAGGGACGGTGCCCAGGCCCAGAGTTCAAGACCCACAACTGACAACAAAAAAGGATTCTATTTTGGGGGAGGTGGTGACACTGAGTTCTACGTCATAGCTGCTTGTCCTTGGAAATGGCAGGACCTGCCCAACCTGCATTAATGAGAGAAACAGAGACCAGCAATTGTGTAGAGAGCTGGAGGCCTGGGGCTTGGAAAGGGTTCCCAGAGGGCTAGAGGACAGAGCTCTGCCCAGCAGAGAAGAGGTGGCAGGGAAGGGCATGTGTCTGAGGAGACACTGGATGGGAGGATGAGCCCTGTGAAAAGCAGCTTTCCTATGGGATTTTGGACTGCAGACTCAGCAGCTGTGCGAATGTGTATCTTACCCAGAGGAAAGCAGCATAGAAGGGGATGAATGAAGCAGGCTCAGCCTGGTGCAGAATAAAACAGGGGTGGGGTGTGTGTGTGTGCGTGAGCGTGCGCAGAAAGAGCCATTGTGGAAGCAACAGCATCTCTGAAGACCCAAAAAGGAAGATGGTGAAGTGGCAGGGGGCTGGCAGGGGTTACAGGAGAGGCCAAGCAGGCCAGAAGCAGAGAAAAACTTGAGGTCAAGGGACCGAGGTAAGAGGTAGCAAGACGCAGGGTGGTCGAGAGAGGAGGAGGGCAGCTGGGCTGGGTGGCAGGCCTTGCCAGTGGACTTCAGAGTGTGAGGTCCCACCATGGCAGGAACGGCTTGCATGGAGATGTCTGACAGTGAGGATAAGACCCAGAAGCAGCCACATGGACTTTTTGCTATGACAAACAGAACTGGAGAACCCCGGGACCCATGTGTGCCAGTCCTGGGGGGGAGGGGTGTTGGGGGAGGGATGCAGCCCAGTAGACGTGTGGTGTTGCACACCTGTGGTACTGGGGGTCTATGGTGTCAGTGTGCATGGCCCATACCTCAGAGGTCCTGAGACTTATAGATGGCGCAGTCGCTACTGATGTCCCACTCCACTCGCTGGAAGAAGTAGACCATGGCGCTCTCCAGCAGGGAGCCACTCAGCACAGCCAGCAGAGAGACCATGCGGTTGATGTTCAAAGTCACTGGAATAGAAAGATATTTGATATGCTCTTAAGAATTTAAATTAGGGGCTGGGGGTTTAGCCCAGCGGAAGGGCGCCTGCCCGGCGTGCACAAGGCCCTGGAAAAAAAAAAAGCTACAAAAGCCCAAAAGAATTTAAGTTAGCCAGGGGCCAGTGGCTCAGGCCTGTAACCCTAGCTACTCAGAAAGCTGAGATTTGAGCATCAAGGTTCAAAGTCAGTCCAGGCAGCCAAGCCCTTGAGATTCTCATCTCCAAAGCTGGAAATGGGGCTGTGGCTCAAGTGGTAGAGTGCTAACAAGTTCAGGGACAGCATCTAGGCTCTGAGTTCAAACCCCAGGACAGACACTAAGAGACCCCCAAAAAATTGTTTTAATTAAATGAGCCAAGCGTGGCATAGCTTGTAACCTATCCACTGGGGGCAGAGTTCATTGGACAATGGCGCAAGGCTAGCTTAGGCAAACGAGGTTCCTAAGACTCCATCTCAATCAATGCAAGGCATGGTGGTGTGCACCTTTTGTTCCAGTTATGGAGAAGCCAGGCTGGCCTGGCACAGTGAGACAGAGGCAAAAAGGGGCTTGAGTGGTAGCATGCCTGCCTGACCCGTCCCAGACCCCAGCACCCACAAACACACAGCCTTGAGCTCAAAATCCAAGTACAAATGAAAGAAGTCATTTAGTAAAGTGACCTGTGATGTGTTCATGAAGCTGTTTTGGGGAAATCTGCCCTTGTCCTTATTTATATTTCTTATTCCTGTGTGTCCATCTACAACCCTTCTGTGAGTCTCAGACTACACCATCAACACCAGGCTGCTGCCTGAACAGACTCAAAAAAGTTTGAACCAGGGCTGGGAAGGTGGCTCAGTGGTAGAGTGCTTGCCTTGCATGCATGAGGCCCTGGGTTCAATTCCTCAGCACCACATAAGCAGAAAAAGCCAGAAGTGGTACTGTGGTGCTAGCCTTGAGCTGAAGAGCCCAGGGACAGTGCCCAGACCCAGAATTCAGGCCCATGACCGGCAAAAAAAAAAAAAAGTTTGAACCAATAACAGAAACAGCGGCAGCGTTCCACTCTGCATTATGATTCGAAGTACCAGGATGCAGGTTCATTCACCACGGCTTTATGGTACTGGAGGGACCTCATGAACCCTAGCTGTTCATCTGGAAGAGTACTTTTCATAGTGCATGGGGAAAGTGAAGACACATTTCCGGACAGAGGAGTACTGTCCGGGCATGTAATTCTGACTGACAACTACCCAGCCTGTTACTCCAGACAAGCCCAAGGTGATCCCACAGCCCCACGGCACCCAGACGATACAGGCAGACGCATTCTGGACACAGAAGTGCTGTGGTCACGTAACAATACCGAGTGCCTGTCATGTAAAGCACACTGCAGACATTGGTCATGTTACAGTCCTACAAAGAACCCTAGTGTTCCGCAGGCATAGTGTGTCCGAGCCTCCCTGTAGGCTGGAAGCGGAGCAGGGAGAATAAAAGCACACTTGCCTCTGATGGCCTGAGAGTTCGAGGTCAGCACGAACACTTTGATGAGCTTGAGGCACAGTGGTGTGTAGTCGTGCTCCCAGATGACCGCCGGGATCAGCAGCAGCTTCCCATAGCTCGATAGCAGCAGCGCTTTCAGCAGCAGAAAGAAGTTGGGCTTTTTCTTTGCTGTCCTGGGTCGTTCTAGCCACAGGAAAGCAAAAATGCCAATAAAAAAGGCAGTTTGTTCTAGGAGGAAATGAGAAATAAAAATATAGATGTCTTTCTCCAAGCTTATACCCTGACGAAAAGAAAGTTTAAAAGATCAAATAGTCAACTGATTTCATAAGAAATGCTTTAACAACATCAAATTTTCTTTTTCTTCTATTTAAAAAAAGTCATGCCGAGTTTCGGGACCTGGCTCCATCAAAACCTTCATACTTGAATACCTGAGACTATAGATGTGTACTACTGTGCTTGGCTTAACTCAAAGAAGCAGAGAATTAAGCAAACTAGTAATAAAGCAGCCACAGAAATTAATGCAGTTCTGACCAAGCCACAAGTTTGAATTCTGAGGAAGGGCATTTTCTCTTTTCCTTTTTGGAAGTAAACTGGTACTGGTTTTTGTTTTTTTTTTTGGGTCCGGTCATGGGGCCTAAACTCTGGGCCTGGGCGCTGTCCCTCAGCTCTTCAGCTCAAGGCTAGCGCTCTACCTCTTGAGCCACAACGCCACTTCTGGCTTTTTTCTTTTTGCTTATGTGGTGCTGAGGAATTGAACCCAGGGCCTCAGGCATGCAAGGCAAGCGCTCTACCACTGAGCCACCTTCCCAGCCCCTGGTACTGGGTTTTGAAGTCAAACTTTCGGTTCTGGTTCTTTTTTGCTCATTGCTGGCATTCTACCACTTGATCCATACTAGCCTAGTCCAGCTTTTTTTGGAGACTCAGACTTTTCTGGCTTTGAGCCTCAATCTGCAGAACGCAGTCTCCGGACTAGCCAAGATTATAGGTGTGAGCAACCAGCACCTGGCAGAAAGGCACTTTGTAAATACAAGTTTGGGGAATAGCCAATTTCCCTGTGAGCCATCAGCTATATAAGTTTTTTCCCTTAACTATGTTGAATTAGTATAATGTAATTAGTTCAGTATCTAGCAATCAGTCTGTTTTTACTAGAGATGGAGCTTACCTAATCTTCAGTTGGGTAATTTAGAATTTAACAATTATGACTTAAAATTTTTTTTGGTGTCAGTCTTGGGGCTTGAACTCAGGGCCTGGGCATTGTCCCTGGAATGCTGTACCCCTTCACTTCTGGTTTTCTGGTGGTTCATTAGAGAGAAGTCTTAAGGACTTTCCTGTGTGGGCTGGCCTAGAACCTTGATCATCAGATCTCCTGATGTAGCTAGGATTACAGGCTTTAAAAATTAGGACTTTTATTGACATTAAGTTTTACAGTGTTTTATGGAACTTTTTACTCTGGTAAGTATAGCTAGTTCCATACCAAAAGAAGGCAACTGTTAGACCAAGTAACCTAGCAGCTTAGTGAACCTTTGGTCTCAAATGCTATATCAGCTAGCTCCTCTTAGCAGTAAGGCCTGTGACTTGGTTTTAATCAGCAGCTAAGTACTGGGAAGCGCGGCATGACCTTACCTAAAGATGCGATGGCGAACATCCTGTAGAAGTCCCACTCCCTGGTGTAGCGGATCAGGTCATCAGGGGCAGTGCTCTGGCTTGAATCCTGCAGCTGCCACCACCTCAGGTATGCTTCACAAAGCAAACAGAACACGCAGAGCTTCCCATGGATCTGACGGTCAAAGACGAAGTCAGTCAGGAAAAGCAGTGCTCTGCTGTGTTTATTTACTTATTTAGCCAGTCCTGGGGCTTGAACTAAGGGCCTGGGTGCTGTGAGCCACAGCACCACTTCTGGCCTTTTGTTTATGTAGTGCTGAGGAATGGAACCCAAGGCTTCATGCATGCAAGGCAAACACTCTGCTAGTAGCCACATTCCCAGCCCTTCACTGTATTTAGTATCAACAGGCAGAGCTGAAACATTTGGTTTTTAAGAATGTTCTGTGTAGGCAATTTCAATTTCAGCTAAGTGCCTAACTGTATTCCTTCTATCAGGTGTTTTTTTTTTTTTTTGGCTGGTTCTGGGGCTTGAACTCAAGGCTTAGGCATTCTTCCTTAGTTTTTTTTTTTTTTTTTTGTCAAAGCTACCACTTGAGCCACAGCGCCACTTCTGGCTTTTTTGGTAGTCAGTCAGAGCTAAGAATCCCACGGACTTTCCTGTCTGGGCTGGCTTTGAACTGTAATCCTCATATCTCAGTCTCCTGAGTAGCTAGGATTACACGCCTGAGCACCACTGCCCAGCTCTCAATCAGTAGTTTTTTTTTTTCTTTCTTTGTCAGTTGTGGGGCTTGAACTCAGGACCTGGATGCTGTCCCTGAGCTCTTTTGCTCAAGGCCAGTGCTCTACCACTTTGAGCCACAGCTGCACTTCTGGTTTTTGAGTGGTTAATTGGACATAAGAGGCTCACAGAGACTTTTCTGCCTGGGTTGACTTTGAAACTCAATCCTCAGGTCTCAGTCTTCTGAGTAGTTAGGATGACAGGTGTGAGTCACTGGCACCCGGGTCAATCAGTAGTTTTAAATTAATAATATTCTTCAAAATCATATGAGAGATCTCTCAAATTATATTTAGGCCCCTATTCTGAGTCAGACCTTTGGTAGTAAAACTTTAAAAATGAAGGAATACAAATCAATACATGGAAAGAAAACAATTCAGAGGCAAAAACAAGCTGCAAGTTTCCAAAAGCACGAAGTTTGGGCAAAACAGACAATAGCAGACAAATTGCCTTCACGTCTTATATATTTCCCCTACAAATTAAGATCTGTCCTTCAATGTGAAGTGGGGATGAGAGTGGAGCCTGCAGGCTGGGAGCTCCTCAGCCGACACACTGGTTCTGTTGTACTTCATACACTACAGCACATAAAGCCCAATAAATGATGTCTTTAAATATTTTTCTTCTGATTGCTTACTTCTTGTAGGTCCAATTCTCTCCCACCCTGACACATCGTACAGGGAGCCCACTAAAAGCCAGTGGAAATTACAGAAAGCAGCTGCCCTGGCAGAGTCCTCAGCAGCCACCAGCCCGCCCCACTGGGGTAGCTTCCACTGGCTCCCAATCAGGCTGAGAGACCGGCCCTCCACACACGAGCTCTTCTTGTTACTCTTTAGAAATATAAAAAGCATCATCAGAAAAGGCTACATCACTTACATTTATCTTAGTATTGAAAAGAATGTGCCTGTAGGCCTGGGCTTTGCATAAAATAGCATTAATCAAGATGATGACAGGATCATACTCGATGTATTTGTCTACAGGCTTCTGACAGGATTTCTGGAATAATACAGGATAACATTAGAACCAACAACTCCATACTGTGAGATCTGAAAGGACTTGAAAGTGTCTGTTTTACACATGTACACCAAAGGTGGATGGGCATACACTGAAGTTAGTTTCCCACGTTTGTAAGAAGTGGTTTTACAAGAGACTAAGCGTCTAACTGGACCACGCGTATCCAAGGTGCTCAAAAGGTATTTCACTTCAAGCTGATTTTTAGGTGGGAAGGCGTCCAGACGGTCCTGCGAGTGCGGAATGTTAGCAAGTCTGGGCGTGTGCTTTCGCACACACTGCCGGCCCCACGGCCTCATGTTGATCTGGAGTCTGCGTGAAGCAGGCTGCCTGCCTGCCCCGCCTCTGGGGTGGCCAGTGAGCACCCCGAAGGGGCACACCACCACGAGTCTGGGGAGCGGGCGTCTTCTGGACAGTGTGAAGCAGGGTGCTGACCGTGCGCGTGAGGAGCGAGCGCCACGGCCCCAAAGCCAGGCCAGCAAGGGGCTCCCCAGGAGCGGCGGTCTGCAACCTCGCGAGCTTCCCGCAGGGGTAGGAAGCGCAGCCTGGTTGGTGCTGCCCCTACAGTAGAACTACCGCGGTAGGTCACACACCCACACTGGGAACCTGGCGGTGCCACAGCGGGAGGGGCCGCGAGCTCCCACCCTGCACCCCACGCTCGGCTGCGGGCCGAGGTGCTGCTGTCACCCGCACCCAGAAGTCAGTGTTCCCCGGCAGAGCGGCTGGGATCGGGAAGGAGGCCCGTCTGCCGGACGCGGGCCAGGCCAGGCCGGCCGCGCCACTCACCGCCCAACCCGCACCCCGAGCGCAGCCCCCGACTAAGATCTTCAGCCCGCGGTGGCTGTGAACCCCGTACAGCCTGCGGTCACCCGCACCCCGCGGTCGCCCAGCACGCACGCAGATGGTGATCTTCAGCACGCCGTGGCTGTAGTCCCGGTACAGCTCGCGGGCCTCCCGGTTGCACTCGATGCAGCGGTAGCAGCTGGGGGCCGATGCCGGCCCCTCCGCGCCCTTCCCGGGCCGCGGCCCGCAGCGCCCACCGGTTCCCATGGCCACCGCGCGGCCCCGCTTCCGGTCCCCGCCGGAAGCCGCCCTCGGCCGGAAGCAGGCGCGCACGGCCCGCCGGGCCTCGCAGTCCTCGGGCCGGGTCTGCGCTCGCGGCCGGCGCCGCGCGGACTACGACTCCCGGCGGGCGAAGTCCCCGGCCCCGCTCACCGCCCCGCCCGCCGGGCTCGCGCTCGCGCCCGCGCCTGCGCCGTGCGCGAAGATGGCACCTGCGGGCCGCGGCGGCGGCGGTCGGGGCGGCGCGGGCGCCGGGCCGCTGCGCTGGCTGCTGCTGGGCGCCGTGGCCTGCGCGCGGGCCTCCGAGCACCTCCCGCCGCTGTCGCTGCTCAAGCCCGAGGCGCCGGCGGCCGGCGGCGGCTGCGCGCAGCCCGGAGACTGGGCGGACCAGTACCCGGCCGAGTGCGGTGAGCGGGGCGGGGGCCGGCGGGGAGGTGAGAGGGACGGGGGCCGGCGGGGCGGTGAGAGGGGGCTGTGAGCGGGGGCTGTGAGCGGGGCCGGGGCCGGAGCTGGGGCCGGCGGGGAGCGTGGAGCCTGCGGCAAGGGCTGCGGGCGGGGAGTGCGGAGCGGGCGGCCGGGGCTGCGGGCAGGGAGCGTGGAGCGGGCGACCCCGGGCGCCTCCGGCCTCCCGCTGCCTGACCGGCAGCCCGGACCCCGCCGGCCCCGGTCCTCACGGTCCTCACGGGGGAAGGCCGGCCGGCCCGCGCCTCAGGCCCGGGAGCGGTGCGCGGTGCGTGGCAGTGGCGCGGGCTCTGTTGGGAAGGCCGGCCCGACCATCCAGCCACCTACCCCCCCCCCCCGCCGCCCCCTCCCCCGGGTCCCTTGGCCTCATCCCTCAGCTCGCACCTGGCGGCGGTTCTTTATGTTTAGTGGAGGTGAGACGTGAGGATTCCCGCAGTGTTCGCGGAGGAAAGGCTCACGCCGACCTCGTCACTGCCGCCCACGTGGGGAGCCGCATTCTCCCCCCCCTCCACACACAGGCAGCGCTCCCCCCCTCAGGCAGCTCTCCCCCTCCCCCGCATGCAGCGCCCCCCCCCACAGGCAACGCTTCCCCTCCGCAGGCAGCAACCCCCCCCACAGGCAGCAACCCCCCCCACAGGCAGCAACCCCCCCCACAGGCAGCAACCCCTCCACAGGCAGCACCCCCTCTCACGCAGGCAGCTCTCTGCCCCCCCGCAGGCAGCGGCCCCCCCCGCAGGCAGCGCCCCCCCCTCACGCAGGCAGTGCCCCCCCCGCAGGCAGCGCCCCCCCTCACGCAGGCAGCTCTCTGCCCCCCCCCGCAGGCAGTGCCCCCCCCCCCGCAGGCAGCGCCCCCCCTCACGCAGGCAGCGCCCCCCCTCACGCAGGCAGCGCCCCCCCTCACGCAGGCAGCGTCCCCCCCCGCAGGCAGTGCCCCCCCGCAGGCAGCGCCCCCCCCCCCCGCAGGCAGTGCCCCCCCCCGCAGGCAGCACCCCCCCTCACGCAGGCAGCGCCCCCTCCGCAGGCAGCGCACCCCCCGCAGGCAGCGCCCCCCCGCAGGCAGCGCCCCCTCCGCAGGCAGTGCCCCCCCCCGCAGGCAGTGCCCCCCCCCACGCAGGCAGCGCCCCCCCTCACGCAGGCAGCGTCCCCTCACGCAGGCAGCGCCCCCTCCGCGCAGGCAGCGCCCCCCTCGCGCAGGCAGCGCCCCCCCCTCATGCAGGCAGCGCCCCCCCTCACGCAGGCAGCGCCCCCCCTCACGCAGGCAGTGCCCCCCTCGCGCAGGCAGCGTCCCCTCGCGCAGGCAGCGCCCCCCCCTCACGCAGGCAGCGCCCCCCCTCGCGCAGGCAGCGCCCCCCCTCGCGCAGGCAGCGCCCCCCCTCGCGCAGGCAGCGCTCCCCCCCTCACGCAGGCAGTGTCCCTCTCACGCAGCCAGTGAACCCCCCCCCCAGCCAATTCCCTCCTCCCCTCCCCCGCAGGCTGTGCTCCCTGCTTTATGCGTGGCCTTGGCTGTGGGCAGTGAAGGTGACTGGCCAGCGCCGCCCTCCAAATGCGGTCCCTGCCCCAGTGTCACCCGTAGTCCCCGCCCGCGGACCTCTGTCTGCAGCATCGTCTCCTGTGAATGGAGGACTTCACCCCAGTCCCTTCGGGTCTCACTTCACTCACAGGACACCGTGAGGGGAGACCAGAACCTGAGCTGGCTGTGAGCCCAGCTCAGTCCTAAGCCCTCCCCGTTGGTGGCCTTGAGGGCTCGGCTGTCAGAAAAGCCACGGACACCTCCCTGGATGACAGCACTTCTCACGCTTCAGGAAACTGACGTGCAGCGAAACCACAGGCTCCCAGGATCCCAGCCGAGGAGGAGAAGTCCAGATGGCTTTTGTCTCCAGCAGTTCCGGGGTGTCAGGATCATGCCAGTGTTAGGAAGACTGTCTTGTGTTAGTGTCCGCCAGGTCTTGAGAGAGAATTTCTCATCAAGTAGGCACCTGAAGGAGACTTTCTGTCCTCCCTGCCTCCTCATGGAGGAGTGCATGATATTCTCTGCTTTCAAGAAAGAACACTGTGAAGCTTTGCGTCTGTACTGTGCTTAGATACTTTAGTTTTTACTTTGTGTGTCCTCGTTGAAATGTTGGTGTTAGTTGGGAGTTTAAAGTAAACGTGCAGATTAGTTACAGGGGTCTCTAGACCCCTAGCTGCCCGTGGCACTGAGGAGACGTCCCCAAAGTTCCCACTGTTTCCTGCTGTTTCCTGTAGCTTTGCTGGTTTATTATGTGACAAGAGTGTCTCTGTTGTAGAAGCACCTCTTGCCTTTCTCCTCATCCTGGGCAGTTATGGAGGGACCAGGCTGTATGAAGCCTGCCCCAGTCCTCTGTTCTCAGAGGAAGGGACAAACTTGGGGTGTACAAGTAATGGTGACACGGCCCGAGGGAAGGCTGGTGGTGTGCATCTGCAGCCCCCTTGGGAGAGCCAGGTAGTCTGAGTCATCCAGGGTCCAGAATTGATGAACTTTTCAGTCAGGTGAATGAGATCTCATTGTCTTGATTGACTTCTTCATATAAGGGCAGAGCCAGAGCCAAGGGCAAACAGAGCCACACAGGAACTTTGCAGGATGCTTCATGAAGCTGCCGAGGACAGAGAGCTGCATGGAAGCCTGCACAGGCTCTGATGAGCAGAAGGCACGGTCTCCCTGGCAGCCCCCACCCCTGTTGATTGCAGGGGCACATACACAGCTGCTGGGGGAGCCCGTCTGTCTGAAGGTTGTCCTGTGACACAGGCACAGTGCCACCCAGTGGAGTCCTGGTCCAGGGAACAGCCTCACTCAGATTCACACTGCACACGTATACCCTGGGTCTAAGCCTCTGACTCGCTCAGATCCACGCTGCACACCAGCCTTGGCCTCTCCCAGATCCACACTGTGCACAAGTGTGCCCTGAGTCTCAGCCTCAGCCTTGCTCAAATCCACACTGCACAAGTGTGTCCTGGGTCTCAGCCTCACTCAGATCCACGCTGCACACCAGCCTTGGCCTTGTTCAGATCCACACTGCGCACAAGTGTGCCCCATGTCTCAGCCTCACTCAGATCCATGCTGCACACAAGTGAGCCTCAGGTCTCAGCCTAAGCCTCATTCAGATCCACTGCCACACACAAGTGCACCCTGGGTCTCAGTCTCGTTGAGATCCACCGCCACACACAAGTGCGCCCTGGGTCTCGGCCTTGCTCAGATCCACCGCCACACACAAGCGAGCCCAGCGTTTTGCCTCAGTTGCACATGTTCATGGTCCCTCACACCTTTCCCTGCACATTTTCACATCTCTTTCTTAGTATGGAAGTTTGTATACCACAGCTTAGGATCCTCTATTCTCCTGCAGAGAAAATACCCTTACTCTTAGAAAAAAAGTGAGCACTGTATTGTATATACTTTTAGAATAAAAGTTTTAAAAATTATTACTGTGGTCTTGCTTTCAGTTTGTAGTGTGGGAGGAAATAATGGTGTGTTTTTGCCCATGTTCTCCACTGGCTTCCATGCATTCTGTTGATGCTGAAATGGGTCTTGAATTTACCTCCATTTCTTCCGAGAGGTTGCTGAGGTGAGGTTATCCCACCGGGAAGAAAGCCCAGATCTGAGCCTGGCCTCAGAAATATTCACATATTAGCATGATTTCTACTAACATGACAAAAGCCTACACCCATAAACTTTATTTTTTGGAAGCTATGTTTTTAAATAATCTCTGGATTTTGAGATTTGACATGTATTAGGGTGTTTAACTGATCCTAATATCTTGGATTGTAGAACTAAAATTTATTTGTGTGCCTGCCTGATGCTATTGCATTGTAGATGGTGGTGGTAGATATTGGAGCCCGTGTCTTGTAGATGTAGGTGGTGGTAGGTGTTGGAGCCTGTGTCTTGTAGATGGTGGTTGTAGATGTTGGAGCCTGTGTCTGTAGATGGTGGTGGTTGTAGGTATTGGAGCTGATGTCCTGAAGAGGAAACAAATCCATATAGATGGACCTGTGTTGTCTGCCTTGAATGAAGTTGAAAAAGGGGCAAGGTGGTAGGGGTTAATATCAGGGAGCTATTCAATGAGGTAGCCAAGGAGACCTAGTAAGAAGGCATTTAATCTCTGAACATGTGATTTGGGGGTATCTTTTTGGCCAGTCCTGAGGCTTAAACTCAGGGCCTGGGCCCTGTCCCTGAGTTGCTTTTGCTCAAGGCTAGCATTCTACCACTTGAGCCACAGCACCACTTCTGGGTTTTTCTGTGTATGTGGTACTGAGGAATTGAACCTAGGGCTTCATGCATGCTAGGCAAGCACTCTACCACTGAGCCACATTCCCAGCCCAATTTGGGGGTATCTTACACCTATCTTAATTAGACTCCTGCAGGTAAGGTCCAGGCTGTTTATGACTTGTCCATTAAAAAAGAGTTTCTGTTCCTGTTCTTTCTCCTAAAGCTAAACCGCAATTCACCCATTCATCCACTCATTCAAACTGTAATAAGCATACTAATTGTATTGTGTGTTCTTTCTCTCTCTTTCTCTCACCCTCCCTCCCTTCCTTCTTATCTTTTCTGAGATAGTGATTCTGTGTTTAACTTGTTTAGGAATTGCTATTCTGGTTTTATAGTGACTGTGCCATTTTATATTCCTACGAGCAAGTTTTCCATTTTCTCCACACCTCTACCAGACTTGTTTCTTTTTCTTTTTCTTAGTTAATTCCTTAATTAACGTATTATTAGTGTGTGTGTGTGTGTGTGTGTGTGTGTGTGTGTGTGTGTGTGTGTACTGAGGGATGAGGTGAGGGCCTAGTTCTGTTACTCAGCTTTTTACTCATGACTGACATTCACCCCTAGAACTACACCTTCCCCTCAGCTCTTTTGTTGGTTTAAGTTTGAGCTAGAGTATTGCAGACTTCTCTGCTCCATTGCCTTTGAGCTACGATTCTCCTAACCCTACCTCCTGAGAAGTTAGGGTTAGAGGCATGAGCCGCCAACACCCAGTTCCTCCCTTCTCCTTTCCCCTTTTACTCCTTTTTTCTTGTCACCATATTGGGTATGAGGAGGCTGTCTTTATGGCTTAATTCACATTTCTCGTGTAATGATGTAGAGTCATTTCGTATGCTCAGTGTCCATTTGTGGATCTTTAGAATTGAATTGCCCATTTTTGAACTGGTTGGCTTGTTTAGTTGTCTGAATTGTTCATATACTCTATACAACACTTACTGCAAGCCATACACTTCTTAGTGTATGTCTTCTAATATTGGATCTCCTTGGCTTGGGATTTTGTGTGTGTGTGCGCGCGCGCGCGCGCACGCATACACACGTATGCATGTACATGCTAACCTAAGGTGAAGGCTGTCAGATAAGCAACATCTACCTGGAAGAAGGGGCAGTGATGCAACCCCCCCACCCCCTTCTATCCCATGTGATTACATGGTGCTGAACCTGCGCAGGTTCTGTAGCCACAGGGACATCACAGCTTGCCTGACCCTCACCTCACTGTCCAGGGTAGGCAAAAGACGGTCACTATGAGTGTGCAGGATGTGTGCACACAGTTCTAGTGTTTCTTACACTTCTTTATTGTGGTTCTGTGTTGCTAAAATTTCAGTGTATAGTTAGACACTTAATTTATGATGGGACTAACATAGATTGTTTGTTTTTCAGAGTCTTCCTTTTTGAACTTCCATGAGTCTGACTGTGAACCTAAAGGATCCCCTTCCTGTGACTCCTTGCTTTCTCTCAACACTGAAAAAATTCTGGTATGTATCCTCTCTCCACCCCTCCTTTTCCTGTGTGCACCACCGTGCGCGTGCCAAAGGCAGAGATCGCCTCTCACGCTGATTAGGAGTCGGGCAGAAGATAAGGATCGGTCATCCAATATTTGGTCAGTTGCTATGACTTAGGAGTTCTATAGTTGGTCATTTTGGATCTTTGACTTTAGGCTGGAAGGAGTACAGGAGAGGTCATAACCAGAGTTTATTTTTAGGGGTCTGAATTTGCAGATATTATCTTATTTTTCCAGCTTTTTTTTTTTTTTCTGCCTTTATCCTGGGGCTTGAACTCAAGGCTGGGTGCTGTCCCTGAACCTCTTTATGCTCAAGGCTAGTGTTCTACCACTTGAGCCATAGTACCACTTCCAGCTTTTTTCAATAGTTTATTGGAGACCAGTCTCACAGGAACTTTTCAGCCTGGGCTGGCTTTGAACCTCAATTCTCAGATCTCAGCATCCTGAGTAGCTAGGATCTTTTGTAGCTTTTTTTTTTTTTTTTTAGTGTTAACTGCTCTGTAAAGGAACTCCTTCACTTGGGGGCTGAGGGCCTGGCACCGGCTTGTTCTTGTGAGCACACCTGCCATGTGTCTGCTTGTCTGTGTTGATGTGTTTTCTTCTGGCCTGCGGCCTTTTGCTCACACCTAACTGAAGCAGAGCTCTTGTGTGCCTAGGACTAACGCTGCTCACCATGCCTGTCTTCTTGATATTTCCATAGATTTTGCTTACAGTTTTCTTGACAGTACTCACTGTTCTTCAGAGCTTTGCCTTTCCTATTGGAACTGTTGAAGTTGCTTACAAGTTGCAAACAAGAGAAAGGCCCACTGGTTTTTCCAGGCTCACTGCCTAACAGTCAACTGGATTATGTGCACAAACGTTTGTATTAGATGTCCTAAATCACTACAAGTGTTCAGGCAGAAACTAGATAACCCTGCAGTTAGATTCTCAGGAATTCTGAGGGCCCTTCTTCTTGGTAGTGATTTAAGTGGTTCCTTGGGTCACATTTCCTGTTTCAGAGAGTACTACTGGGCTGAGTGTCGTGGTACATTCCTGTAATCCTAGCACTCAGGAGGCTGAGGCAGGACAATCAGGAATTTGAGGCCAGCCTGGGCTACATAGCTTGTGGCAAGAACCTTTTTAAAATGTAAATGGATGAATGAGTGAATGAATGAATGAGTGAACAAAAAAAGAGTGAATTATTGACATGTGATGTGGCCCTGTGCCACCATATGGCACTAGTAGGTGGCACTGGTCGGTGCTGCACCTTGAGGAAGGCTGAGGGGTTCCGTCCGGGCAGGCTGCAGGGGGAGCTTCTAACCATGGGAGTGGCCTGGAAGTGGGACGCGTAGATGTTTGTCAGCTTTCTGGAGGGGATGGAGTAACACGTGAGCTTCCTGGGATGGGCACTCTCTGCCTTGTGTCCTCCCGTTTGTGGCTTGTGTTTTGATCTGAGCTAGCTCACTCTTGACCTATTTGCAAACTGGTACCACTCTCTTTGAACATTAACTTTGGATTGTGAATGGCAGTACTTTGTAACTTACTGTTTGGATCCCTGAGACCAGGTGGGCCGCGGTGGCCGGCCTTCTTCATGCTGCCTGCATACACATTAGCCAGAAGAGGGCCTGCTGAGTCATTCCTCCTCTGCCTGCCCGTGGACTCCTGTCCTGCAGCTCTCAGAAAAGAAGAATCCACAGATGGCTGGCCACTTGGTTCTGTCCTCTAAATTCAGTGTCATTTTCAGGGAAATGGTCCTAGAGCAAATGATGTTAAGTGAGGTAAGCCAGGCTCAGAGAGACAAACAGCACAAGCTTACTCTAATTTATGGATGTTATACCTAAAATACAACTAGGCATGATTACAGGGCTCTATGTATGTACACACAAACAAAAATTGGCTAAAGAAAGTATACCAAGGGAAAGAATCTGAAAGTGGCTTCTCCCTGACCTAGCTTTTCTTGAATACGAGTGTGAGTTAGTGTGACTCTTGAACTAGCCTGCTGACTCCGGTAGGGAGTTTGGACTTCACTGTGTTGTGTCAAGTTCCTGCTGACACTCAGAGGTTCTGGTGTGATGGCAGACTTGTGTCATCAGACCTAACTTCCTCCAAGACATGCTGGAGCCGCCACCGTGTCACAGACAGATGCAGTATGAGAACTACATCTGAACCCTGCCAGCGACTCTACCTTGCTTTCCTAGTTCCCCTTTGGGTTTTTTAGCTCTCCGTGTGTCCATGGGGTTTCATTGGAGCCCAGCCTGCTGCAGCTTTGGAACAGTCCTGTTCATGACTTGCTACGCTTTATTCAGTAGGATGTCTTGTTGCTTTGTCCTTTATGCCATCTTTTCTGTCCAGCTTGCACTTTGTGCTTCTGAAATATGTTTAGAGTTTAAAACCCAGTATTTTGTCAGGTGTGGTGGCATATTCCTGTAATCTTGGGTACTTAAGAGGTAAGAGGCAGCTATACATCTGACAAAAGCCTAATAGCCAAAACATACAAGGAACAAGGAGCTAAGAGACTTACCCCCTCCCCAATTAATAACTTAATAAATAAGAAAGATACCTAAATAAAGACTTCTTAGAAGTAAGAATGGCCAATAAACACTTGAGTAAATGCTCAACACCCTGGCCATAAAAGAAATGCAAATCAAAACCATGTTGAGATTCCATCTCACCCCAGGAAGATTGGCTGTCATCAAGAATTTGTACAACAAATGCTGGCAGGGATACAGGGGGATAAAGAAACCCCCACTGCTGGTGGGAATGTGAACTAGTACAACCACTTTGGACAGCAGTCTGAAGGTTCCTCAAAAACTAAGCATAGCTGGGTGCAGGTGGCACACGTCTGTGATTCTAGCTACTCGATAGGCTGCGATTTGAGGGTCATGGTTCGAAGCCAACCCAGGCAGGAAAGTCCGTGAGACTCTTATCGCCAATAAATTGCACTGTCACTCAAAGTGGTAAAGCACTTGCCTTGAGTGAAAAAGCTGAGAGACAATGCCCGGGTCCTGAGTTCAAGCCCCATGACCAACCAAAAAAACTCACAAAACATAGAACTTTCCTATGATCCAGTTGTACCAGAGCATTACAAGCCAAGATACTGTAAAGACACCTGTACATCCATGTTCACTGCTGAACTATTCACAATAGCCAAGATAAGGAAACAGCCCAAGATGCCCTGTAACAGACGAGTGGATAGTTACACACAATAGCATTTGACACAGCCATCAGAAAGAATAATATGTCATTTTCAGGGAAATGGTCCTAGAGCAAATGATGTTAAGTGAGGTAAGCCAGGCTCAGAGAGACAAACAGCACAAGCTTACTCTCATTTGTGGATGTTATATCTAAAATACAACTAGGCATGATTACAGGGCTCTATGCATGTACACACAAACAAAAATTGGCTAAAGGAAGTATACCAAGGGAAAGAATCTGAAAGTGTAATTCCTAAACCACTGAAGGTTTAGGCATCCATCAAATGGATGCCAGGAAGTGGAAACATGTTTTGAGGGTGTGAAGAGGGGCACAAGAGTGGAGGGAGGGAGGGTAAGCAAATGCAGTCACAGAATTCAGTGTACACCATGTGAAAAATGAGCCATGCCTTGGTAGGTAGAGGTAAGAGGGGAGATGGAAGAAGGACGTAAGGGTGATATGCACTAAGAAGCACTGTGCTCATAACCTGACTCCTGGAGTTGTGGCCTCTTGTGTACAACTCCTTAGTAACAACAATGAAAAAGAGGCTGAGGAAGGATCACAGTTTTTTTAAAAAACATTCACTTTGGCAAATACTAGTTCATATGATCAGAGCCACAGAGCATTGCACCCTGGTGTTCCTCCCCTAAGAATATCCTTTTGGCTCACTAGGATCACAAGTTTGAGATCAGCTTGGGCAAGTTAGTGAGACCCACTCCCCTATCATTAATATGACTTAAAGCAGATATTTTCTTGCTTTCATTTAAGCAAAATGTAACTTTAAAAATTCATATACAGATTTTGGGCTGAGAAGTTGGCAGAGTGCTTGCCTAGCATGCATGAAGCCCTGGGTTCGATTCCTCAGTACCACATAAATAGAAAAGGCCAGAAGTGGTGTTGTTGCTCAAGTGGTAGAGTGATTAGCCTTGAGCAAAAGAAGCTCAGGGACAGTGCCTAGGCCTGAGTTCAAGCCCTAGGACTGGCAATAAGTAAATAAATAGCTAGCTATTGAATAGATTTTTAAATGCAGAGTTTTAAATACATGCTTTTCCTTCATTAGTCAAGGTTATGTGTGTGAGAAAGAACATGTTTGAAGCCAGGTAATTGTGGCTTGGGCCTGTACATATAGCTACTTAGGAGGCTGAGGATTGTAGTTTGAAGATAGTTTGGGCAGAAAAATTTATGAAATTCTTAATTCCAATTAACCAGTAAAAGGTAGAAGTAGAGGTGTGGCTCAAGTGGTAGAGTACCAGCCTTGAATGGAAAGAAAAGAAGTCAGGTTCTCACCTGAGGCCGCATGAGGCCGCATTCTAGCCTCAGTACTGCACAAAAATGAAAGAGTTATAAACACATGCTTTATTCTTTTTTCTTTTCTTTCTTTCTTTCTTTCTTTCTTTCTTTTTTTTTTTTTTTCCAGAGCCAGGCCAAGTCTATTGCAGAGCAAAAGAGATTCCCATTTGCTACTGATAATGACAGCACAAATGAAGAGTTAGGTAAGATTTGAATCTGGGAATGTTCTTGTAGTGTGTCTAGGGCTTGTGCTCAGATGTGATCAGGGAGGCAGGGAGGAGAGGGGACAGAACCTGGACAGGCTCTGCCATTGGGCCTTTTGGATCTTGCCCAGGAAGTGGCTTGGACGGATGGTCAGTAAGGGCTTTGAGCCCTGCCTGCTGTGGAGATGGACGCTGGCTGTCATGGTCCCTGAGCAGTTTCCACTCCTCAGTGGCAAAGCATAGAGCAGCGAGTGCAGAGTCAAGCCACAGAACTGATGTGTGTGTGTGTGTACGCGCGTGTACACACAAGCATATGTGCACACACACCAGCCAGTACTGGAGCTTGAATTTAGGGCCTTAGGCTCTCACATTTAGGCCAGTACTGGAGCCACACCACCACTTCTGCCTTTTTGCTGGCTAACTGGAGATGGGAATCTCACTTTCTTGCCTGGGCTGGCTTTGAACCATGATTCTCAGATCCTCGTCTCTGAATAGCTAGGATTATAGGTCTGAGCCACCAATGCCTTAGCTGCTTCAGTCTTCTTTGTGATAAAATAGCCACATTTAACTTTATTCCCAAGGTGGGTATATAACTACTGGGCCTGAGGGTGTGCATGCAAAAGTGAATCCAGATGTGCACAGGAGCTTTGAGGTTGATCTGTTCGTGGCCCATTTATTTTTATTTTATTTTATGTTTTGTCCATCATGGGCCTGAACTTTGGGCCTGGGCGCTGTCCCTGAGCTCTTCAGCTTAAGGCTAACACTTCACCAGTTGAGCCACAGTGCCACTTCCAGCTTTTTCTGCTTATGTGGTGCTGAGGAATCAAACCCAGGGCCTCATGCATGCAGCGCATGCACTCTACCACTGAGCCCTTGTGGCCCATTTAAACACAGTCTGGCTCCTGAGTCGGGATCCTCCTGTGTCTGGGGAGCTTCCCATGTCTGGGGCCCCCTGTGTCTGGGGCCTCTCATGTTGGGGGCCCCCCCGCATTGGGAGCATGCTGGCCAGGGCTGTGTTGCCTAATGAGGCCACTCTTGCAGGCCACACTTGATGAGCAGACAGCCTGTGCACAGGTGACTGCAGGGATTTTTGCTTCCTCATTTGATCATGGTAATGGATGTGCTTTTTGTTGGCCCTGAGCCCTGCTTGCATCCTCTCCTTCCCATTAGTGCAGAGGAGAGCTGACATTTTGAAAGCACGTGTCACCTCTCTTTGTTGTGTTTTTTTTTTTTTGTCAGTCATGGGGGCTAAACTCGGCCTGGGCACTGCCCCTCAGCTCTTCAGCTCAAGGCTAACACTCTACCACTTGAGCCACAGCACCACTTCCGACTTTTTCTGCTTATGTGGTGCTGAGGAGTCGAACCCAGGGCCTCATGCATGCAAGTACTCTACCACTGAGCCACCTTCCCAGCCCCACATATCACCTCTCAGTGGTGGTCTTTGGGGAGTGTGGCAGAGCTTCATGAGGTCTTGGGAAGGCTGTGGCAGTGCATCGGATTTGGTTTTTCCTGAAGTCTTTGGAGCCTGTCCAGCCTTCTGGTGGTTAAATAATTATATGTGCCTGGTCTGTTGTGTTCTCATGAAGAGTCCTGGTAGGCTGGGAGTAGCGTGGGTCCTGAGTTGGTTTAGGATCTTGTGTCACAGAGATTTTTACTTGCAAAAACATCTTTCAGCCAGGCACAGTCTTACCCACCCCTATAATTGCTGTTACTTGAGAGGCAGAGATCAAGAGGATTGCAGTGTGAAGTTCAGGAAACATATGCGCAAAAATAGAAGCCCCTGTCTAAAAAATAATAGAGCAAAAAGAACTCAAGTAGCAGAGTGGAAGTTCTGAGTTCAAAGCCAAATACTGATAAATCAGTCTGATACTTACTGCCAACATAATTTGTTACCAGGAGATTTGAGTGGCTGGTTAGTGGAGATTTCTGTCAGAATTACAGTTACTGTAGTTTTTCCTTTATATCTTTGAATTTTATAGAACTTAGATCACATAGTTGTCTGATATTTGGATTAGCGTCTTCTAACATTTTGTTTTCTCAAAAAATGTTTACTTTTAGATGGAAAGATTTGAGAATGTCATTTAATGTTTAGTGGAATTTAATAGCCAAGTTATGGCTATTTAAAGATTTAAATATGTGCCTAAAGTACAAAAATTTCATTATTGGTTTTTTTATACTTCTTTATTTGGTCAACAGATATGACTGATTGTAGGAAGATAAATAAGAAATTTGAGCAGTTTAGATCTGACAGGAATTTTGGGAGAGTATGAGACTTGAACTCAGGGCCTTGCCCTTGCTAGGTACCCAGCACTTTTTGCTTTGGCTGTTTTTCTAAAAGGTCTTAGGTTTATGCCAGGCTGTCAGCACCACTGTTCTCCTTATGTCCTGTTGAACAGCTGGTTGTACAGCTGTGCTCACAGACACACTGGCACACCAGCATTTACCAGCTGAGGTCAGGTCTCGTCCAGGTTGGCTAATGCCAACCTGCAGTCCCCCTGAGTAGCTAGGATTATAGGCATGCACCATCTAGCCCAGCCTGAACGGTCTTAAATTTTTCTACTGGTTGGATTGAAGGCATGGCACAGGTGGTAGAGTGCCAGCCAGTCGGCAGAAGCAAGTGTCAGATAATGTGTTCCAGTCCTGCAGACGAAAGAAAGAAAGAAAGCCATTTCTACTGGCTTGTTAAGCAAGAGTCAGAGAGTCAGATGTGACTGGTTTCTGTGAGTGCATGACTGGCCAGAACTGGAGCCCACCTCCTCCAGTGTCCCATTGACTCCTGCATTCAGGTGTCTGTGTTCATCGTTGCTCCTTTGATCAGCCCCTGTACATGTGTCTGGGCCAGCGTCGGTGTCTGGCACGCAATGTCTGTCCTAGTGGAGCCGGGAGGACTAGCCTAGGCCAGCGTCGGCAGTGTGCCTGCGGCTCCTGCTTCATTCCTTGTTCGCAGGGAGGTTACAGCTGTCCCCTGCTCCCTCAGAAGCTTACCTGTACCTAGCAGAGCAGGAGAGCAGGCGGTGGTGGTTCTTCTGTTGCTGTCACTGCTGTTCTCACAATGTCCCTGTGCGGGTGTCTGATAGGATTGTTTTCCACGTGAACCTTGGGGAGGAACAGACCTTCTTATTTGAAGAGGGCTTCCAAAGCTTTTCTATTTTGATACCCATTTAAAAAATGGGTATCAGGTTATTTATAAAGGTATTCTAAATTACTTCCTGCATTCAGTGATCTACTGCTTGTAGTTTTGTTGTTTTTTTTTTTTCTTTTTTTTTTTTTGGGTCTGGTCATGGGCCCTGAACTCTGGTCTGGGCGCTGTCCCTCAACTCTTCAGCTCAAGGCTAGCACTCTACAACTTGAGCCAGAATGCCACTTCAGGCTTTTTGCTTTTTGCTTATGTGATGCTGAGGAATCGAACCCAGGGCCTCATGCATAGAAGGCAAGCGCTCTACCACTGAGCCACGCGCTCTACCACTGAGCCACCTTCCCAGCCCTGCTTGTAGTGTTTTTTATGGCTTTTACCATCAGGGAATGCAAGCTCTTAATGCCAGTGGATGTGATAGGTAGCTAGCCATTGGATATAGAATTATAGCTATCATAACAGTAGAGGTTTTTTTTTACATTTTTTTATTTTTAGCAAAGAAATGTGATCAAAATAGTCATGTGGAGTTGAGGATAAAATGTTTTTCAGGAATTTTAGGGAACTGAAGCCTAGAATATTCTGATGTATTGGTTTTTATTAGAGGGATGAGCTTTGTCAGATTTTTACCATGCTGTAAGATTTTATGGTTCCTGTTCTCAAATGGCACTTTCCTAAACAAGTCATCTTTAGTGCCTCTTTTGGGTTGTGTTTTGATTAGAAAAAATTAGAAAAAGGCAGTGGTTGCATTGCTGAATTGGCCACAGCTCACCATTGCGTCAGGGCATATTCATTTGACCTCTCATTTCTGTTCTTGCTAGGTAATTGACTCACAGGAATTGGGAATTGTGGTATTTCTCACAGTTTCTCACAGTACCACAATTGTGGTATTGTGGGTATTTCTCAATGTCATGTAGACATCATTCAAGCCCATCACCAGTTCTTGAAATAGAGACCAGAGACATCCAGAGGTTCTCGGGGACCTGCAGGTGATGAGCTCAGGAAGAGTTCAGTGCTTGTGGCAGATGTTTACAGTGGACAGCAGGTGCTGGCTGGGTGGTGAGGGAGAGTTCAGTGACATCTCTTTTTCTTTCACTGCCTCCCAGTTCTCTTTAACTGTGTCTAGTTCTTGGAGATATCACAAAGGTTTGTTAGTGATTCTTGTTTAGACCTCTTCCTTCTTCCCTCTAATATTTTTGTGTTTTGTTGCACAGCTATTGCTTATGTGTTGATTGGCAGTGGTCTCTATGATGAAGCAATACGACATTTTTCAACAATGCTTCAGGTAATGTTTCTTCTCCATTGTGTAATTTCAAGTATATAATCATGGCAAAAACGGGGACTTGCACCCATCTGAGGATGTAGGAGGGGGAAGGGAGCACGGCACTGATGGGGTGCAGGGTTGTGTTGTTCTAGGAGAAGGGGTTCCGTCTCCAGAGGTCACATGATGCTCCCCGCCTGCAGGCAGTGGGCGTGCACCCACCTGCAATGGTGATGAGACTGTAGCTTTGTCACTCTCCTCTGCAATGGAGCCTCCACTGGGTGTGGCGACACTGCAGTGCTGAATTCCCGCTCTTCCCTGACAGGATTGGCAGGCGGACTCAGTTTCTCCTCATGGGTTGGCTCCTTTCTGAACACGTGATTGTGGGATTCCTCAGTGGAAGTATCGGCCTCTGTGGACTGGTGGCCATGTGGAAGTCCACTTAAGAGAGAAGGAAAGCGGGCTGGGGAGGTGGCTCAGTGGTAGAGCGCTTGCCTTGCATGCATGAGGCCCTGGGTTCGATTCCTCAGCACCACATAAGCAAAAGGGAAAAAAAAAGCCGGAAGTGGCGCTGTGGCTCAAGTGGTAGAGCGCTAGCCTTGAGCTAAAGAGCTGAGGGACAGCACCCAGGCCCAGAGTTCAGGCCCCACGACCAGACCCCCCCCCAAAAAAAAAAAAAAAAAAGAGAGAAGGAAAGCGAGTGCTTTACTTGCATTTTCTGCCTGGGATGCAGGGAATGCTTCTCCTTTCCTCCTGTCTCTCACATTATCTTCTTACAGTATACTAAAATAAGTCCTTGCTGAAACTTTAGAAAGCGGGAGGGAGTAGGGGCGAAAATGCAAGCCTGCTATGGTGATGCATGACTGTAATCCCAGCAGGAGGGAGTCTGAAGCAGAAGCATGGTAAGTTCAAGGGCAGCCTATCTCAAACATAACAAGGCCCTGTCTCAGAAAACAAAACAAAAACAAAAAAAGCATAGCAAGACCTTGTCTTGGAAAAGAATGAACAAATGGAAAAAAGAGAAAGAGAGGGGTGGAGAAAGAGGAGAAGGCGGGGTAACCTGTAAGTGTGCCTGTCTGTACCTGTTAGGAGGAAACCTGACGCAGCGTGATGTTGAAGGCCTTCTGCCCCTGTGGCAGAAGCCACATTTGCTGTAGGGGTCCACAATTTGTCCATGCTGGTATGTCTGCCCAGAGCATTTCAGTGATGAAGACATGGGATTTGTGTGTATGTGTGTTTAAACTCAGGGCCTCAACTCTTGCCCGATATTCTATTTATAGCCTGGGTCTTGACCACTGGGGGCATGCTGCCAGTCCAGCATTTTGCTGATTAATTGTAGATACTGTCTGTGAGACTTTTCTGCCTGGGCTGGCTTTGGACTTTGATTTGCAGGGCACACCTGTATTTTAGAATTAGTCAAGTTTGAACCCACTTTTGCTTTCTACCATATTATTTAACCTAATAGAGTATGGGTATAATAATAATGACTTTTAAATGCCGCAGGGCACTTGGTGCCCAGTGTGTGGTGCAGAGTAGTGGCTCAGAACCATCCTAGCACATACATGAGATCCAATAATCCAGAAGATTTAATTTAAAGAATTAATCTTGAAAGTTTAGCTCTGCTTTTTTTTTTTAAGGACTGTACTATAATTCTTCAATAAATTGATATTTTCAGTCATTACTTTGAGGTCCTCAGATCAAATGAGGGGGGGGGGCGACGTTTAATTTGGAACGGTCTCCCTCTGTGGCACTTGAATTACAAAGGCAGAAGTGCCTTTTTGTTACACTGCAGTGGGCCTAGGCTCGACACATTTGTAGGAGCAGGTATTAGTTAAGTCATGGTACTGATAGATGTAATGCATCACCATTTATTCACCATCTTGTACACACGTCGTTGTTAAAGAGAAAAATTCAATAAGGGATGTCCTAGCTAGGCCTGGCAGTGTTCGCCTGTGATTAGCGCTCTGGGAGGCTGAGGCAGGTTCAGGAGTCCACGGCCAGCCAGCCTGCATAGCAAGACCCTGACTCAAAAAAGAATTCCCAGGTCTCCTTTAACATTTTCAAACTTTTATTTTGTGTGTATTACCTTTTGATGTTCTAGCTGTATCCTCGCTACCCTTAACGTGTTTGCTATATATCTTGTATTCTTCAGTACACGGAATGTTTTTCACTATTTCCCTGACTTGGATCTCAGTAGCTCTGGGCTGTGCCTCTCTGTTGCCCGTTTAGCACCGTGGGACACGCTTCTCTTGCCATTGCATTCTGAAACTTCCTTAGTTTCTCTTTCTGTACAAAGGTAGTACTGTGCTGACATTGGACACAGGATCGTCACCAATCAGAGTACATGGGTTGTAAGGTTGGACTGCTTTGCCCAGTGGAGGCAGAGGTCACTTCAAGGTTAATTGAAAAGAAAGGTCCTTTGTATTGTGTTGTAGCAAGAGAGCTTTCCCACTGCTGCTTTTCTTGTCGAATCTCTTGGTACTTCTCAGCCGTTTCCCTATCGTGTTGCATAAGGAAAATCATGTTTGTGTGTGACAACAGGGTGAGCAGGGGTAGAGGTGGGGTGTCTGCATAGAAGCAGAAACAATTTGTCACACTTTATAGTGTATGGTTATAAGACATAGAAAACATAGTCAATAATAAGTGCTACTTTCTTTTTTAAAAAATTAATAAGAAGCTTCTCCTTTATTCTGGGTAAATTTGTGTGTGCATATATGTGCCTGTGCCTGTTCCGGAGCTTGAACTCAGGGCCTCATGCTCTCACTTGGGTTTTTCCTTCAAGGCTGAGACTACCTGCCACTTGAGCCACACACCCACTTTTGGCTTTTTGCTAGTTAGTTTGAGATAAGAGTCTCATGGGGTTTCCTGCCTGGGTTGACTTGGTGCCACAGTTCTTGGTCTGAACTTTTCTGAGTAGCAAGGATACAGGTGTGAGCCACTGGAATCCATCTGGCTCTGGATAAACAGTTGCTGTTTTCTTTTCTTTTTGTCAGTCGTGGGGCTTGAACTCTGGGCTTAGGCGCTGTCCCTGAGCTCTTTAGCTCAAGGCGAGCGCTAGTGGTGTAGTGGAGATAAGAGTTTAACGGACTTTTCTGTCCGGCTGGCTTTGAACTGCAATCCTCAGATCTCAGCCTCCTGAGTAGCTAGGATTACAGGAGTGAGCCATTGGTGCCCCGCACAGTTGCTGTTTTCTTTAAATCCCTGTAGCCAGTATTCTGAAGGTGCTGTGCCAGCAGGTGGCAGCCAGTGGCCAAAGAGCTGGCAGTGCTCCTCTTGACCCAACCTGTTCACAGTGGCACGACCTAAGTCGTGAAAACATCTTCTCAAACTACATCTGGAAAGTGTGATTACTCTACAAAACCAATGGCTTCTCCTGTCTTTTACTAGCAAGTGCAGTTTAAATTTCCTGCAGCGATGACGGTGATTTTTCTTACCCCTGTGATAGTTCGTCCCATCCTCAGGCATGTGTAGGAGTCTCTCTGCTACTGTTCACTCTAAGTCATCACTGGAGAAGTGTTTGTGTCAGTGCCAATACTAGTGTAGCAGGACCTCCAGACGTGCAATGGTAGCACCTGTAACATGTGCAGAGTGATAACGGTGCCCCACACACACTTGTGGTTTTCTTGAGTTCATATATTTCATCATATTCTTCCTCCCGGAAAACCTGGGCTACATCCAGCATGAAACCATGAGCAGACGAAAGCTGACAAGTGGGACTAGGTGGGACTTGGGTTTTATTATTTATTTGTGTGTGTTCATGCATGTGCATGTGTGTGTGAGCCTGTGTATGTACATGCACATGTGAGTGTGTGCCTCTATGAGCCTGTGCATGCAAGTTAAGTATGTGTGTACATGTGTGTGTAATTGTGTATGTGTTGTGAGTATGCGTGTATGTGAATTGGAAGCATATGAGTGTGTGTGTGTGTGTGTGTGTGTGCGCTCACACACACAGGTACTGACGGTGGGCTAGGACTTGACCAAGGCACTGTGGCCACATCTCCAGTCTGGAATTTTGCCCATTAATGGGAGATTTGAGTTTTACATACTACCTGATCAGGTAGCTGGGATTACACGTATGAGCCACTTCACTGTACCTGGTTATTAGACACCGACTGTGGGATTGCAGTCTACATATGAAAGCTACTTAAAGCTCAGGTATACTATATGTTGCAGAGCTTGTCTGCCTCTGTTGTCTTGGCTGCACCATCAAGGTGTGCCGTAATGACGTATCGCCCTCTGAGGTGGTCCCCAATCCCCGGCGGTCTCATCTGCCCCTGTGACACTCCTCAGCAGTGCCCTGATGTCACTTGGATGGTGTCCGTGCAGCACATCAGTGTTCTTGGTTATCATCTGTGGTGCTAGTCCTGTACTGCTTTGTTCTCTGCAGGGTTGGTAAGATGGGAGCCTCAATTAACGAAAGAAGTTTGCTTCTTTATGTAAGCAGATGTTAGGAAGTGTTGCAAACACTGCTGCTGAGGTAAAATTTAATCTGCATCCACTGCTCCCACTGTATTTAATCCACACTATTGAATCCATGTGCACTGCTCGTGTACTGTATTTAATCCGCGTGCACTGCTCATGCACGGTATTTAATTGGCGAGCACTGCTCGCACACTGTATTTAACCACATGCACTGCTCATGCACCCTATTTAATCCATATGCACTGTTCACACACTGTATTTAATCCTCACACTGTATTTAATCCACATGCACTGTTCACGCACTGTATTTAATCCATATGTACTGCTCATGCATCGTATTTAATCTGCATGCCCTGCTCACACATTGTTTAATCTGCATGCACTGCACACACTAATCCACATGCACTGCATACACTATTTAATCCACACACACTGCTCACACACTGTATTTAATTCTCATGCACTGTATTTAATCCGTGTGCACTGCTCATGCACTGTATTTAACCACATGCACTGCTCACGCACTGTATTTAATCCATGTGAACTGCTCACACACTGTATTTAATCTTTATTGTGCTGTTCACTGATACTTGATTTGACTCTGCACATAGGGATATTTCTTAGCCAAAACACTTAGTTCATGGTAGAAAAATTATTTCTGTGCAGTTTAACTGAACGAGTAATAGCATGGGTAAATACTAGACTTCTCTTGGGAATTCAGATGTGTGAGAGGACAAGCCCATCACTGTGGCCTGAATTCACATCAGCCAAGGAAACTCAAGAACCAGACACTAGTTTTCACTTCACTCATTTAAAAATCAGACTTTTTATAGGATGTATATCTTTCTAGGCTGATTTACTTAAAAATAGTTTGAAAAATTAATAATCCAATTCTAACTGATTTTTAGAAATACATGTTCTTATTTGGAAAATTAAGCAGTAATTTAAAACTATTTCATAAGTGAAAGCTTTGATTTATTAATTTCCAAAACTAATGATAAAACACATAAAGAAGTAATTTAAAAAAACTTATTGTAAAGGTGATGTACAGAGGGGTTAGTTACATAAGTGAGATAATGAGTACATTTCCTTTTTTTGGGGGGGGTCCGGTCATGGGGCCTAAACTCTGGGCCTGGGCGCTGTCCCTCAGCTCTTCAGCTCAAGGCTAGCACTGTACCACTTGAGCCAGAGTGCCACTTCCAGCTTTTTTCTTTTTGCTTATGTGGTGCTGAGGAATTGAACCCAGGGCCTCAGGCATGCAAGGCAAGCGCTCTACCACTGAGCCACCTTCCCAGCCCCAATGAGTACATTTCTTTTTGATGTTTTACCCCCTCCTTCCTTTTCTCTTGCTTTCCCTCCCCCTACCTCTGCTCTCCCCCAAGTTGTAAAGTTCATTTCCAACATAGTGTCTAGTGATTATTGCTTTTGCATTGTTTCACCCTTTGTCCCACCATTTCTGTGATTGCTCTTCTTTTCCCCAAATAAGATAAGCTTATGTACAAGATAAGGGTACCAAAATCAAAAACAGTGACCACAGGTAATAAACCAGAGGGGGAAAAAATGAAAGAAAAAAGAAATATCTGCAAACAATATACTAAAAAAAAAAAAAAGAAAAACCTCTTCTTTCAGTTAGCATCATTTTAAATTTTTTATTATTATAATTTTTTTTTTCAGTCATGGGTCTTGAACTCTGAGCCTGGGTGCTGTCTCTTTAGCTCAAGGATAGCGCTCTACCACTTGAGCCACCGGGCCAGGGGGCCTGGCCTGGGACCAGGGAAGTACGCCTCCAATCTTGCACCTGTGATGAGCTTTCAAGTAGCTGCTTTTTTGAGTTGGGTTTTTTTTTTTTTGTTTGTTTGTTTGTTTGTTTTTGTTGGTCGTGGGGCTTGAACTCTGGGCCTAAGCGCTGTCCCTCAGCTCTTCAGCTCAAGGCTAGCGCTCTACCACTTGAGCTACAGCGCCACTTCAAGTAGCTGCTTTTTTAAATGGCTTCAATCATTGGATTGCTGTGACAGCGTTATGTCATCATAGCTGGAAGCCCCGGAGCCATGGTTGGCCATGGACCTATTGTGCCACAAACTCACCTGTCTCCCTGCAAATTGCCTTGTCTGTGACTACACCCTGGTTTCTGGCTACATCTCCTGTTCACCTTCCCTTTGAATGGCCCAGGCTCAGACTGAGGCCTGGTGCCCCTTCATCGTCACTGCAGCTTCCCTTGCTGCCCACATGTGGTCAGTGTGTGCCAGCCCGGGCCAGGCTCTGAGAGACTGTTCCAGTGGACAGCCTGCAAGCACACAGTCATGGTGTCATAAGAGGCTTACCCTGGTGGGGCAGGCTTGTGTGCATGTGGGTGTGGGTGTAGAGCTCAGGGTTCTGTGCCGACCTCCTTCCCACTCCCCACACCCCGCTCCACTTGCCTTCTGACTCTGTCACCCAGCTCCAAAGTGGTCATTCTCCACTCCAGCCACACCTAATGCACCATCCTCCATGGGTGATGTACCCAGCTGTCCCTGGCCCGTCCTGTCACACCTGTACGCATGTGTGGGTGATGCATACACACAGCTGTTTCCTGGTTTGTCCTGCCACGCCCACTCTGGTTGGAGGTGAACATACCCAGCTGCATGGTGGCTGCACATCACATGTGGTGTTAATATAAGATGTCGATGCAGTGTTGTGGCAGGCAGACTAGAGGCAGCTGCATCTGGCTCTTGGGAGCTGTGTATTTGCTGCTGTGGTAGCATGACAACATGTGGGCTTTTCATGGTTGGCTTTTTCAAGGCTCCAGGGGTGGGATTGGGCTGAGCTCCTATAATCTCTCCTGTAAGCCAGTCTGCGTTCTGAACCCTGAGCATCCGTGAGCCAGCTGCTCAGTCAACATGACTTGTCTTCATTTTGCTTAAGTAGCCCTTCAGAAATGTAAATGCAGCCAGGTGCTGGTGGCTGACACCTGTCATCCTAGCTACTTAAGAGGCTGAGATCTGAGGATCTCAGCTTACAGCCATCCGGGCAGAAAAGTCCCCATTAGGCTCTTTAATAAATTACCCCGCAAAAGCCAGAGTGGCTCAAGTGGTAGAACACTAGCCTTGAGCACAAAGAGGCTCAAGCATAGCACCTAAACCCTGAGTTCAAGTCCAAGGACTGGCAAAAAAAAAAAAATGTAACAGCATGTGTCCTCTCTTACTTTTCCCACTTGCTCCTCACCAGTGTCTACACCCTGCAGATTTGAATCTGAGCAGCGACTTTGTCTCTCAAGAGCTCAGTCCAGCACAGCTCTATAGTAAAACTTCACTCAGTGTGAAGCCTGCTGGGAGCTTACAGCAAAAGGCTCTGAAGAGAGAGAGAAGTGGCAGATAGGGTACATATGTGTGTCTCATCTCTTTAGGAAGAAGGGAAGCCTGGGGGAGGGACTCATCGGCAGGGAGGGAAGACGTGTTGTTTCCTAGATTGGACTAATAGTGAGAGAGTGTGCACCAGATGTGGACAGGCCTTGTGTTCAATTCTGACCTCCCTAGCGGCGGTACAGCACACCGGTTTCTGCTCTTTCATGGGTGTGCGGGGCACACACGCCCTTCACTCACATCGTGGGGGCCCAGCCCCCACCCCCACCCCCTCTGCCCTGCGATGTGTGCTGATGAGCCTGAGGTGGGGAGGTGTGGGCTGATGAGCCCGAGGTGGGGAGGATTGCTTCCTGAGCATGAACTAGAGAGCTGCCCAGTACTGTGGTGCTGAGGCCCTTCCCTTCTCCATTATATTGTTTTTTCGGTGAGGGTCTCACCACACCTCACTCAGGTGGGCTTTACACTGACAGACTTCCGGCTGGGGACAGACTAACAAGTTGCACTAGCAAAGAAGTACAGCCTTTGTTTGTGGCACTAATGAGCTTTAATCAGAACCTGATGCTTTTGTTTTGTTTTGCTTATGGTTTTTGACGTGTTTCTGTTTTGGTCTGACTAGGCGGAGCCTGATCTGGTTAGTGCAATTTATGGCCGAGGGATGGCCTATGGAAAGAAGGGACTACATGTGAGTATGTACAGCTGCGCGTGCCAAACTGCTTGCTGTTCACTGAGCTCTGATGGGACACCCGTGAGGAGAGGAGATAGTATCTCCCCAGGGCCCAAGGGCTAGCAAGTGGTGGACAGGGTTATACCCAGAGCTTCTGATGCCATCTTGGTGAACTAGACACAGGTCAAGACAAGCCTAAGGCCTGACTGCACTGGTGAAATGTAGACTAGACCAGACCAGACACCGACTGGAATTCTTATCACAACCATTACTGACTGAATGAAAAGTCATGCACTTTTTTCAGTGTGTAATTTATTTTTATTTGCTATATTGTATGCATTTTTTCAGGAAGGTGTTAAGACCTTTGTAGCTGTAATCAAATCATCTCATTTCTCTGAGGAAGGCAGAAGAAAGGTCACAAAAAGTACTTTCTATGCAAACACAAAGCCACCGAGTTGTAAGCACTTTGCCAAGGCTATAGCAAATGAAAGGGCCCTCCAGGTGTTGAGTGGTCAGTTGTTTCCAACATCTCCTTTCCTTTTGTCTTCTCACTTACTAAAGCCGTCATGAATCTGCTTCAGGGCAGCCATCACCCTCATAACTTCCATTAAGAGCATTAAAGTCTGACAGCACAGTATTATTTTAGTTAAAACTTATTTGAATGTTAAAATGTAGTGAGCTGGTGTGGCTTGTTGGGAAAATTTATATTATCCTTATTTACTTGTGTGATACGGATGATGAGAAAAAGCCAGCACTGGGGATGGTGGATGCTGTGGGTTGGAAGTCCTTGAGTAAACTGAAAGAGAAAAGTGGCTGCCTTCTGATCGTCACACCTTCTAAAGCATTATACCCTGCCATGTGATTGGTGTCTCTCTACCAGAAAGCTGCCTGTGCACTCTGAATGCAGTGGTAACATGCCAGTGCTAGGGAGAACTCCCAAGACCTATCAGGTGCAGGTTATGATTGGGCTTCACACAGCCCTTGCTGTTCCATGCTGTCCCTGGCCGGCATCATCCCATGGACTAGAGTCCAGGCATCCATGCCACGAGGGTTGGTTGTGCATATTCCGGTAAGATCCTCTGCTGGTGGCATTTAGTGTGGGCAGCCAGGTCCAGCATGCCGTTCATTGGAGGGTAGAGAGTTGAATGGGTTAGTGAGTGACTACTATCACAACTTACCAAACCTGGCACTTTTTACCCAGAAATGAAGTTCACATTTCCTTCTAAACAGTTATGACTAAATTTTCAGTTTTTTCTGAAGCTCTTTTTCATCTGGTTTTAAGTAGCAGTCTGTCTCACACTGAGCTAATACCTTTTCAAGGACATTAAGAATGCTGAGCTTGCTCTGTTTGAACTGAGCCGAGTAATTGCCTTGGAACCAGACCGCCCAGAGGTATTTGAGAAGCGAGCAGAAGTGAGTGTGGTTTTCTTTTTCCCTCTCTTGTTATCGGATTTATAAATTTAGAATTTTTTCCTGTTATTTTCTGATTTTATCACTTTTAAGTTTTAAGTTTTAATGCTTCCGTATACCTGTTGTGTTTCCCTGCTTAGATACCTGGGACCTTTAAGCATGGTTGAAATTATTAGAAGATCATGAACTGAGTGAGGCCCTGGATCTGACATATAAGTGTGGTATTTAGTATAAAATACATAGTTGTGAAGCCGGGGGAGTGGGGGCGGAGGGGGGCACTGGTGGCCTTTGTCTGTCATCCTAGCTACTCAGGAAGCTGAGACCTGAGGATCACAGTTCAAAGCCAACCCAGGCAGGAAAGTCCCTAAGACTCTTATCTCCAGTTAACCCTAGAAAACTAGAAGTGGTGCTGTGGCTTAAAGTAGTAGTACCCTAGCCTTAAACAAAAAAACTTCAGGGACAGTACCCCGGCCCTGAATTCAAGCCTCAGGACTCACCCAAGTAAAGAAGAACATAGTTATGACATGTAATAACATCTACAAACATTCATTCATTATATCACATATTTTCTGTATACATGGCATACTTTAACAAAGCTTAACGTGACACTTTAGTCAGAATGAAATATCCAGCCCTTGCAGGTCTTCATTGCGTGTGAGCACCATGTGTACATGCTCTGGTACAGTTCTTATGGGACAGTGTCTAGCCAGTGCATGTAACGGGTCTGGAGGATTGTGCCCAGGCCATACAGAAGGTGTGCATGCATGCAACTCATGCCCAGTTCTTAGGAGACACACTTGACATGTAGAGGCACAGAGTCACTTGGGATTGTAACCAGACCTTGGGGATGGGGTGGGATGCAGGGGCAAGGGAAGTAGGAGAGAGGGAGAGGGAGACAGCAGTCACTGTGCAGAGTTCACTGTGCAGAGTTCTTTTTTTGTTTGTTTTGTTCCTGTGGTACTGGGTTCAACTCAGGGTTGGAGCTTAATAGGCTAGTGCTTTATAGTTTGAGCAAGATTTTAGCCCTCTCATGTGATGCATAGGGGACCGGCCAAAGTTGAAGGAACTGTGCCTTGCAATGGAGTAGGGTATCAGTAGCTCTGCCGAGCTGGCCCAGGAGAGGTCGTCCAGGGTGAGGATGGGGGAGGACTGCAGGAGAGATCTTCCAGGATGGGGAGGACTACAGGAGAACTCTTCCAGGATGAGGATAAGGAGGACTGCATGAGAGATCTTCCAGGATGGGGAGGACTACAGGAAAAATCTTCCAGGATGAGGATGAGGAGGACTGCAGGAGAGATCTTCCAGGGTGAGGATGACGAAGGACTGCAGGAGAGATCTTCCAGGATGAGGAGGACTGCAGGAGGATCTTCCAGGATGAGGATGGGGAAGGACTGCAGGAGAGAGCTTCCAGGATGAGGAGGACTGTAGGAGATATCTTCCAGGATGAGAAGGACTGCAGGAGATTGTTCCAGGATGAGGAGGACTGCAGGAGAGATCTTCCAGGATGAGGAGGACTACAGGAGGATCTTCCAGGATGAAGATGAGGGAGGACTTCCGGGGCATGGGCAGTGGGGTGGGTGCTCCTGCCTGAGTGGGGCAGTTGGAGCCCAGTAAAGCCACCGTCAGAGGCAATGGGAGGAGGGTGCCAAGGTGCTCACTGGACATCTGTAAACCAGCATGTTCTTTTACTGTGTTCTTAAGTAAGACTGAGTTATCTAGGGTTCACTAATGAGCTACATCAGAATGAAACAGCTTTTAATCATCTGATATAGTATAATTTTACATTTGAGATAAGGAAAAATTACTTTTTTTTTTTTTGTGTTGTGTTGGGGACGTGGTTTTCAGTCTTTCTCAGAGTGCCATGTGTGTGGGGTGCTGCTCTCCCTTCACCTGGCCCTGGGCTGGGAGGTGGGGGGGCGGGGGTGCTGGTATGGTCGGCAGGGTGGAGCCTGTGCTCCAGGCAGGCCTCTGGCTCCTCCCAGGTTACACTGCTGTTGCATTCAATTGCTTGGGTCAGTCATAAATTTAAGTGTTCTTAGATTTCTCTGACAGCCCTTTAAAACTTGAAATCTAATGCAAAGCTTATTGCTTATCAAAGATGATTTTGGTAATTAGAGCAATAATTTTTATTTTTTATATAAAAGCATGACTTGGCAGTAATAACATTGAATTGTGATTTCCACAGTTTATAGTCCAGCATCCCATGGATATCTCAAGTTACTTTGTGAGCCATTTTGTACTTTCTCAAGTAGTCTATTTGGTTAAAAATAATTAAAGCTTTTTAGCTACCTGTTATCATGCACATTAACGATCGTGGAAGCTGTGATGATTCAGTGTGACCTGTGGGGTGTTTTCCCTCTGAAAGACAACCCGGCCCCAGCCTGCTGGGTTCTGAACCCTTATGGCCGGCCAGCCCGGGTCTGTCAGTGACACTGGACGGGTGTGACCGTGGTATAGACGACCAGCCCAGGTCGACCAGTGACACTGGACGGACGTGACCATGGTGTAGATGACTGGCCCGGGTCTGTCAGTGACACTGGGCGGATGTGACTGTGATGTAGCTGACTGGCCCGGGTCTGTCAGTAACATTGGATGGACATGACCGTGGTGTAGACAGCTGGCTTGGGTCTGTGGCATGCTCTCCTGCACCTTGTCTGTCAGTAACACTGGATGGACATGACCGTGGTGTAGACAGCTGGCTTGGGTCTGTGGCATACTCTCCTGCACCTCGTCTGTCAGTAACACTGGATGGACATGACCGTGGTGTAGACAGCTGGCTTGGGTCTGTGGCATGCTCTCCTGCACCTAGTCTGTCAGTAACACTGGATGGACGTGACCGTGGTGTAGACAGACAGCTTGGGTCTGTGACATGCTCTCCTGCACCAGGTCTGTCAGTGACACTGGACAGACATGACCATGGTGTAAAAGCCCTCCGGCAGGGCCCGTGGGCTTCCTGGTGTGAAGACCCAATTTGAGTTTTCTCTGTCCTTTCCACTTTGTTTGGGGTTCTGTGCGTTCATCCGCGTGGCCACACTTCCTGAGCACCAGTGACTGCTGGTTCACAGCATAGCACCCAGCATGCAGGTTCTTCTTTGGCTGACGGAGGGGTAGTCACAGCACCTGGCATCTTAGCAGTTACCATTTGTGTCCGTTGCCACTGAGGACAGAACTAGAAATTATGAAAGACTCTTTATTTCCACAACTTGTGTGTCCTAATGGTTCAAATTATCTTTTGATATCTTCAGGCAAATTTTGACATCTTTAGTTGTTGTTTTTTGTTCTTTGTTTTTTTTTTTTGTTGATTGTGGGTCTTGAACTCTGGGCCTGGGCACTTTGCCTGGGCTCTTCAGCTCAAGGTGAGTGCTCTACCAATTGAGTCACAGTGCCACTTCTGGTTTTCTGGTGGCTCATTGGAGATAAGAGTCTCACGGACTTTCCTGCCCAGGCTACCTTTGAACCTTGATCCTCAGATCTCAGCCTCCTGAGTAGCTAGGATTACAGGGGTGAGCAACCAGCACCCGGCAACATCTTATGTGTATATGGCAAATTTTAACTTAAAAGATAACTATAGGTTAAGAAAAGAGGGTCTCATTTTAAGAAAAGCAACATCTGGTCTATGCAGTGTATGACAGTGGCATGGCCACAGTTGCTCTCCTTGTTGGCTAGCCTGCTGGAATTGTAGTTTTGTGAGTTGCAGGTGGTAGAGTGGAGTTGAAAAGTCAGAATTATTGGCCTTGTTAGGGCTGTTCATTGAAATGTCTCTTGACTACATGTTTTGGATTTCTAGATTCTGTCTCCTCTGGGACGAATTAATGAAGCGGTGAACGACCTCACGAAGGCTATTCAGCTTCAGCCTTCAGCCCGGCTATACCGGCACCGGGGGACCCTGCACTTCATATCTGAGGTGATCTGCCGTCCCTTTCTCCCTTGGCCTCAGATGCTGGCTTTGGGATAGACTTGGGTTTGTGCTGGTTAGTGAAGTGTGTGTGTTACAAGGCAGTTGTGTAAGGTTTTTTTTAGCTGAAATTAAATCAAGTAGAGAATATTAAGTGCCAAAAGACTCTTTTCTGTCAGCAGTGTTAGATTCTGAGTTGGCGTGAGGAATAGGTGACACTTGGTCCATGGACTGCCCTGAGCTTCTCTGCAGACCTCAGTGTGGGCACGGTGCTCCTGCTGCCAGTGTCATCATTAAACCTAGAGGTGTATGCTTTCTCAGCCCAAGCCGGCATGACACCCAGCCTGAACCTGGCAAGAGTGTCTGTGATTGCTGTGGCTCTCAAAAGACTTGCTGCAGCTCCATGTGTGGTTGACAGTACTTCTTCATAACATTTTCTGCTGAAAAAATGCATGAGTGAATTTCAAAATAAGACATCGTGGGGTGGCTCCATGACCTGACATTTTCTCTTAACAGATGATCACTTTGGTAGTGTTGAAGTAATAATCTTTCTCTGGTTGAGATGAAGGACGTGAATACGCCTTTGTGGAAACCAGCTACTGACAAGTACTGCAAATGTTCAGCTCATGTTCATAAGGCCATGGAATGCTTCCTTTAAAGTCAAAAAGAGCTGGGTACTGGTGGCTCACTCCTGTAATCCTAGCTACTCAGGAGTCTGAGATCTGAGAATCACTGTTCAAAGCCAGCTCAGGCAAGGAAAGTCCATGAGACTCTTATCTCCAATAAACCACTAGAAAACAGGAAGTGGTGCTGTGGCTCAAGTGGTAGAGCACCAGCCTTGAGCTGAAGAGCTCAGGGACAGCGCCCAGGCTCAGAGTTAAAGCCTCACAACAAAGAAAGTCAAAACGGTCACAGGACAAATCAGGATTTTTTTTTTAATTGTGAAAATACCATACAGAGGGGTTACAATTACATGAGCAAGGTAATGAGTACATTTCTTATTAAGTATTGTTGCCTCCTCCTTTGTTTCCCCTTACTATCCCTTCCCATCTACCCCCCCTCCCGCCGCCACACCCGCTCACACGCTGCACCCCCTCACAACCGGCACCAAAGTTGTAAAGTTCGTTTTTCAACAAAACATCTTGTACATCTCAGTGTTGCAATGGGTCCACCTGTATCCCTATTTAAACAATTTGTTTTTTCCCCTTCCCCTCCACAAATTATACCAACATCAAATACAGTGAAAACAGGTGGGGGAGGGACATACAAAGCAACAAAGAAATCATCTTATAAATATGTAGAAACAATCACAAGAAAGAAAAAACATTTGAATCCTTATCTTGAGGTTCATTTCGCCTAACATCAATTATCTGACCAGTTCTGCTTGTCTCAGACATATACTAGTTATTTCAAATAAGAGAAACAATGGGACCTATGTTTCTTTGGGCCTGGCTTATTTCACTTAATACAATTTTTTCCAAGTCTTTCCATTTCCTAACAAATGGGGCAATGTCATTCTTTCTGATGGGAGCATAGAATTCCATTGTGTATATATACCACATTTTCTTAATCCGTTCATCTACTGAGGGGCATCTGGGTTGGTTCCATATCTTAGCTGTGGTAAATAATGCTGCAATAAACGTAGTTGTGCTGGTAGCTTTAGTATGGTCTTGTTTGTGGTCATTTGGGTAAATGCCCCAAAGTGGAATTGCTGGGTCATAGGGAAGCTCTATGTGGAGTCTTTTGAGGAACCTCCATATTACTTTTCAAAGTGGTTGAACAAGTTTACACTCCCACCAACAATGCAGTAGGGTTCCCTTCTGTCCACATCCTCTCCAGCATCTGTTGTTACTAGAGTTCTTGATTATAGCTATTCTAATTGGGGTGAGGTGGTATCTCAATGTTGTTTTGATTTGCATTTCTTTTATCGCAAGGGAGGTTGAGCATTTCTTCATCAGGATTTTTTTTCCTCTACAGTCAAAGCAGGAAGCACTCCAGTATCTAATGGCTGTGGTTTTATTGTCTCCCTCTTTGTAGGACTATGTGACAGCCCACGAGGACTTCCAGCAGTCCTTGGAGCTGAACAGGAACCAGCCCACGGCCATGCTGTACAAAGGTCTCACTTTCTTCCATAGAGGACTTCTGAAGGTGAGAGTCTGTAACGCACATACCTGGCATGGTTCTGCCTTGGCTGGGGGGCTGGGGTGTCATCATATTTAAGGTACATCTCACGACCTTCTTTAGAAAGTAGTGTGAATATTTTTTGAGCCCCTACTGTCTTCCAGGTCTTTGGGAGAAGGCACAGAAAGAGAATGAAGGTAAGGAAGAGGGAGAGATCAGACTTTCACTTACAAAGGACGTAGTTTGCAAAGCTCCTAGGTAGAGGTGGCGAGGGACTGGAGGATGAGGGCACAGGCAGGTGTGAGCACAGCAGTGGTGGTGTGAGGAGATGGGAGTGTGAGTGTTGGCTGGCTGGATGCAAGCCAGCCCTCAGCCTGGAGTACAGCACTGAGCACCGAGGTCCAGAGGAGCCATGAACATCAGACTGTCAGGAAGTCATTGATGGCACCCATCTGTGCCTTAGGATGTCAGTTTTAAGGCTATGACAGCCAATGACGCTCACCCAGAGAAACTGGTACTGTCCCCAGCTGGGGTGCGGAGACCTGAGCCAGTGCCCGGGGCATCTGGGAAGCAGGGTACAGCCTTGGTGGGTGGTGTGACAAGTATCAGGGACCAGGCCTGTGTGGACCGGTGGTGCTGTGTCCTTACACTTCCAGTTAGTTCCTGCTGTGCCCCAGGCTTGGAGAGTGATTCCTCCGTGCCCGCTGAGGCTTGACACGGTTGTTGCCTGAGGATGGGACACATTGAGCCACTGGACAGAAGACAGGTTGGCCTGAGTGCTGGGCTGGGCGAGCCCTGGCACGGCGCGCGAGTTGTGTTGGGAGGCTGAGGCTGGCCTCCACAGAGAAGGTGGCCCTGACTGGAAGGTGCGGCTGTAACAACTTGTGCAGCACAGGGCAAAAGTAGAAATAGTGCCGAGCACTTCAGCTCTGCTGTGCAGGCAGCCTGTGTCAGCACAGTGCCGATCAAAAACGTTTGTTTTTGAAGATACGTCTGGCGAGGTGGCACTGGCCATACCTGTAGTCCTGACTGCTCAGGAGACTGAGATCTCAAGTACCATGGTTCAAAGCCCGCCAATTAGAAAAGTCCAAGAGACTCATATCCAAATTACCAGCAGAAAGCTGGGCTAGAAAGGTGGCTCAGGTAGAGAGCAAACCAAGCATACAACAGGCCCTTAGTTCAAACCTCAGTACTTCCCCTCCTTCCAAAAGCTTGTTTGTAGAGGACACGTGCAGACTTATCCACAGAGTACATCAGCCTGCAGGGACCTATCACAGCCTGACCTCAGTTTACCTGTACATATGTTTACACACCTGTTGCAGTGGTTCAGAGATGCTTTCGGTCCACAGAGCATGGGCACCGGAGCCAGTCCCCATGACGTTGGGACGACCTCATGTGTCACATCCTGGTGTTTAAGAAGTGTAGGTAGATGAAGGGGTTTCAGGGACAGAGCACTGAACTTGGCCCTGAAGCCTGGTCTGAGCCAGCTCCTAACCAGGTTTTTTGACTTGAGCTTCTTCCACTCCTGCGAGTGGGAGGCAGCCTGCATTCTACCTCCCAGACTGACCCAAGGACTGAATGAGATCTGTGTGAAAAGTGCTCTTGAGCTGTAAACAGTATCCACGGTTCCTATAGGTACTTTAACCCAAGAAACTTTAATCTAGGGTTGTTTTTTTTTCTTTTTTTGGGTTCCAGTCCTAGGGCTTGAACTCAGGGCCGTGGCACTGTTCCTGAGCATCTTTTGCTCAAGGCTAGCACACTATCACTTGAGCCACAGCTCCACTTCCAGCTTTTGCTGGTTAATTACAGATAAGAGTCTTATGGACTTTTCTGCCCTGGTGGCTTTGAACTGCAATCCTCAGATCTCAGCCTCCTGAGTATCAACTAGAATTACAGGTGTCAGCCACTGTACCTGGCTAATCTAGGTTTTATAGATTCAAAAAAAAAAAAAAAAACCCTGCCTTTCTAAGTCTTTCCATTTCCTAACAAATGGGGCAATGTCATTCCTTCTGATGGAAGCATAGAATTCCATTGTGTATATATACCACATTTTCTTAATCCATTCATCTACTGAGGGGCATCTGGGTTGGTTCCATATCTTAGCTATGGTAAATAATGCTGCAGAAAATATAGTTGTGTTGGTAGCTTTAGTATGGTCTTGTTTGTGGTCATTTGGGTAAATGCCCCAAAGTGGAATTGCTGGGTCATAGGGAAGCTCTATGTGGAGTCTTTTGAGGAACCTCCATATTACTTTTCAAAGTGGTTGAACAAGTTTACACTCCTACCAACAATGCAGTAGGGTTCCCTTCTGTCCACATCCTCTCCAGCATCTGTTGTTATTAGAGTTCTTGATTATAGCTATTCTAATTGGGGTGAGGTGGTATCTCAATGTTGTTTTGATTTGCATTTCTTTTATCACTAGGGAGGTTGAGCATTTCTGCATGTGTCTATTGGCCATCCTTCTTTCCTCTTCAGTGAAGTTTCTCTTTATGTCTTTAGCCCACTTATATTAAGTGAAGTAAGCCAGGCCCAAAGAAACATAGGTCCCATGGTTTCCCTTATTTGCAATAACTAGTGTATGTCTGAGACAAGCAGAAACGGTCAGATGAGTTGATGTTAGGTGAAATGAACCCCAAGATAAGGATTCAAATGTTTTTTCTTTCTTGCAATTGTTTCTAACATATTTATAAGATGATTTCTTTGTTGCTTTGTATGTACCTCCCCCACGGTATAACCCCTGTATTCACTGTATTTGATGTTGGTATAATTTGTGGAGGGGAAGGGGAAAAAACAAATTGTTTAAATAGGGATACAGGTGGACCCATTGCAACAATGAGATGTACAAGATGTTATGTTGAAAAACAAACTTTACAACTTTGGCCGGGTGGGGGGGAGGGGGATATAGGGGTTGGGGGACGAAGATAAGAAGGAATGGGAAGGAGAAACAGAGGAATAGGCAACAATGCTTGACAAGAAATGTACTCATTACCTTGCCCATGTAATTGTAACCCCTCTGTATGGTATTTTCACAATAAAAAGAAGAAAGAAAGAAAAAAACTCCCTGTCTATTAAAAGCCACACTAAGTAGTACTTTGCAGATTTAGTTTTATGTACCTCCATATAAGTATTCCAAAAAAAAAAAAAAAACCCTCCTGCAGGCGTAGCTGCACTGTGACTGGCACTGGGCGGCAGGGTGGCTCCTGAGCCCTTGCTATGACATCTGCTGGTGGGTTTTGCAGGTTTGTTGTGCTTGCTCCCTCTGCTCCTGTCATCTTCTCTCAGTCATCCTGAGTGAGAAAGTGATACTCAAAGTCTGTCTTGTGGATGGGAAATATGTTTTTCTATTCATAATATGTACATAGCTATTGTATGAGTATTTTAAGAGGTTAACAGATGCAAACAAATGATTTCACTCTTGGATACTATATGCTTTGTTTAGGAACAGGGGGTGTTTCTTTGGTCATTTGGAATTGAGAGTTTTAGAGAAGAGGTCTAAAAGACCAACTACAAATTGCACAAAGACTAAATTTTAATTGGTTTATTCCATTTGTATACAGTGAGCCTAGTGTTTTTATTTTTGAGCTTAGAAGCCGTCAGTGAGCCAGGGTCCTCCATTACTCCGTGTGCTGTGAGCACACCTGTGCTAAGGCTTTCTGTGTGCTTACGTGTTACGCGTCTGCTGGCAGATTCGACAGGCCTGCTGCCATTTGTCCTTGCAGATGCCCACAAGGAACAGCAGGAGCAGAGTGGAAAAACCTAGTGTGAGCCAGCTAAGCTACTTCTACCTCTTGTTAATCAAAGTACAAAATGTCAAATACTCCAGGACTTTGAGCTGTCCCCCTAAATTCAGTCTGTTCATGCCAACAGCAACTAGAAATTAATTAGCTGGGTGATCTCTTACTTGGTGAGTGCTTTTTATTGAAGGACATTAGGCAGTGTTACAGATTTCACAGCCATCCATGTTAGTGCATCCAGCAGGCTTTTGAGGTTTGCATAGGAAACACCCACATACACATTCCTGTTGAATTGCATGTGTCACCTCTGTTGGGAGGCTATTTTAATTCTTGTGTTAGAGGCATCAGAGCCTTTGCCTTGAGCTGTCTGTGTTCTCCGGCGTCAGAGCAGCCTGATGATGCCACCACTAACTACCTAGCGAGGCCAGTGTTGGTGCAGAGTCGTAATCGTTGTGTGTGCCAAGCGATGAGTTCCCACCCGTTCTTATTGTGTCTGAGACTGCTTCCTTTGACATGGTCTCTGTGAAATCTTGATTCTGTCTGGTCTTTCTTTGGCAGAGTGAGGTAGAGAGCTGTGTTGTGCTTAGACAGGAGCTCTGAAACCAAAGACTCTTAAAAGCAGAAAAGAATCAGACTTTGAAGAACTGTGGCATCCATGTTTGCTGTAAGTTGAGGGGGCAGCAGGTGCCCCAGGCAGCTCCCCGTGGAGGTCCACAGACATGCAGGCTTCACACGCCCGGGCTGGACTCGTCCCCTCCTGCAATTGTTGTCTGTGTTTGTGGTGGTCAGCGCATTTGCCCTTGCCTGGGCTCTTCAGCCTAGAAGCTGCCCCCCCTTCCTCTCCCACACCCCACCTCTGGCCACCAGACTCTGTCCTGGTTTGCCTTTTAAAAGTCTCTGGCATTTGACTTTTCTTTTCTCTCCCCAGACACTCAGTGTGAGCTTTCCTTGTCTCTTGCCTGGACAACCACAGTGACGCCTGGCTGGGTCTTCTTTCTTCCTCTATGGTGGTTGCCCTTCTTCCAGGAGTGCATCTCAGAGGCAGTGCCGCTCTTGGTCCCTGCCCTCACTTCCTCTCCCGCCTCTCCCTACTGCTGTGGTGGACCCCTAGTGCCCACCATCCTCCAGCTGTAAATCACATGTGGCCCCATTCCCTCCACGAGACATCCTCCTTCCTAGCCTGCTTCCAGTCTTGTCTTCAACCCCATTCCTTTCCGGTGGCCTTTGGTCTCCAGCCCCACGCAGAATACTTCCTCCTGGCCCCCAGCTGATCGCATTCCTTCTGTCCATGACCAGAGATTTAACTGCTGGTTCTGTTGTAGTTCTTTTTTTTTTTTTGTTAGTTGTGGGGCTTGAACTCTGGGCCCAGGTGCTGTCCTTGTGCTCTTCAGCTCAAGGCGAGTGCTCTACTGCTTGAGCCACAGCGCCACTTCCAGTTTTCAAGTGGTTTATTGGAGATAAGAGTCTCACCAACTTTCCTGCCTGGGCTGGCTTTGAACCGAGATTCTCAGATCTCAGCCTCCTGAGTAGCTAAGATTACAGGCGTGCGCCACCAGCGCCTGGCTTTCTGTTGTAGTTCTGTAAATGTCACATCATTGGCTTTCTAATCAGGCTGCATTCTTAGAGGACAGAAATAGTGAATGGCTCGCCCATCTCTGTTTCCCTTGTATCTTGTGCTGTCTCTGGCACATCGTAGGCATTTAATACATGCTTGTTGAATCAGAGAAGAGTTGTAAAACCTCCTAAAAGATCAAGGCTAGTCCATGGCAGGAAGCCAAATCCAAGAGTGTCTTAACATTTGTGAAGTATTAAAATGTGTTCATTCTCAACTTGTTCCAAATAGTAGTCCTTACCCCATCCTTACCTGGGCTTACCCCGTCTTCACCCGCCCCCCAAGAATTCAGTTGCTCAGATGAGAGGCTTTTTCAGATGACTTGACATTGTGCTGTTTGCAAAACGATCAGAGCCTACAAATCATCAGATATTTATTGAGTGCCTGTCCTGTGCAAGGCATGTGACATCCTCACTACTTCTACCAAGAGTTCAGTCAGGTGTGAAATGATCTGAAGTGAAAGGTTTCACTGAAAGTACTCTTAACGCGTGGCACTTAACACTGGGTATGGTATCTTTTCCTGTGAAAAATAGTGAGAGGTGTCTGCTTTTGTGTTACAGTAATAATTATGCCAGTGAAGATGCATGCGTACTGAGTACCCCGGGTCTTTATCCTTGAACACATGCTGTGGAGTGGTTATCACCTCCTGTCCCCAGTCATACACCCTGCATGGTGGCAGTGTAGCCAGGCCTAGGTCCTGCGTCTGGTGCTGCGAACTTTTGTTTCCTCGGCCACTCATCCTTTGCTCCTTGGTCACCACTGCCCTCAGCAGCCAGTTTAGCAGCTGTTTTTGCTTCTTGTACCCACTTCAGTCTCTCTTGTTGACTCGGGTTTAAGAATTGCTAGTTAGAATCATTTTTAATGATCTCACATAGACATCAGGTCACCTGTGGTTCTTCAGGCCTTTATCGATTAGGAAATGGTATTAACATAAAGTGGTATTGTTAGTACACAGATGCATAGTGAGTTAGATAGATTGAAGTTTGTTTTCTCATCTGAAAAAGGAGAGACATGAAGCTGTTGTGTTTTACAGTAATATTTTTATTCACTGTTGAACTCACATCCTCCTGACTTCATTTACTGCATTTTCTGTCTCTTTTTAAAAGTCTTCCTATTTAAAAGAAATTCTGTCAGAGGCTAGGCGTTGTATATATTTAGTATGTATTTGGCCATGAGAGTCATGGCATGTGTTAATTCTCTGCATATTCATGCAGGAAGCCATTGAAGCCTTCAAAGAAGCTCTGAAGCAGAAAGTTGATTTCATTGATGCCTATAAGAGTCTGGGGCAGGCCTACAGGTGAGTGCACTGGGGGTGGATGGAGGTGATACAAGAGTCTGGGGCAGGCCTGTAGGTGAGTGAACAGGGGGTGACAGGGAGAATGGAGGTGATACAAGAGTCTGGGGCAGGCCTGCAGGTGAGTGAGATGAGCTGGGCATGGATGAGGCAGATGTGTGAAGTGAGAGCACAGCGGAAGCTACGTTGGCCTTGCATGCCGTGGAGCTCCTGTGCTGCTGGGCTCTCTCCTGCCGTGTGGAGAGAGCCCGTGCAGGGGTCTTGTGCAGACGATTGTGTTTTAGAACAGCTTGAGGAGGATGTGTGTAGGGCCAGGGATGCCATGTCCAGAAGCTGGTCCCTCACTCAGAAAAGGAGGTGGTGCAGCTGACAGCGGGGGCTCGTGATAGAGCCAGGGCTGGAGCTGGTCTGCTTGCCCTCTGCCCTCCCCTGGGCCTCAGGTGCTGCATATGACATGGGCATGGAAGCCACCAGGAGAGACAGCGGGGCTGGTATTGCTTGTCTATACCTCATTTAGGTGATGGGTGGAGAAACTCCTACACCAGCGTGGGGAAAGCGTGGGTGTACGTGTTTGGAGTGTCAAGGGTGATGTTTTCCCTCCTATCTCTCAGAACTATTGGGAATATAATCTGAAAACAGATTCGTACATGGGTGATGAAAAATGTAAGCAAATGTTACATTTCTTGAAATACATTATTAAATAAAATTGATACATAGAATTTATGGAAGCTATTTATTCCTTGTAAAGTTTTTAGTGAGTAACAAAATTAGTAACTACAATTTCCAGTGTAGAATTTCAGATTATGTAATGACTATATTAGATGTTTGTTGAAGTAACTTCAGTGACAAAAAATACAATTTAAGTCTATGACTTGACTCAGAATGATAAACATATATATGATTGTAATCTGTGTACTTTCTCCAAAGGAAAAAATGTGGCTGTTTTATTTTTAATATACTAAAATTTACCTAGCATTTTAGAGGCTAGAGTTCATTTTGAAGTGGGAGAATAGTTTGAAAGCGTTTGCTCTTGTAATCACTGAAGGTGATTTTCCCCAGAGAACTTGGAGGGCTGTGAGGTGGTCCTTCAGCCTGGTTGGGCCGGTGATGGCAGATGGGTGCGTGAGTCAGAGGACAGGGAGATGCCTGATTGCCTCGGGGTGTCTTCCTCCTGCACGACTGGGCCATGTGTCACACATTTACCACTGCTGTTCAATCCCTAGAGAGCTGGGCAACTTTGAAGCAGCCACTGAGAGCTTTCAGAAGGCCCTGCTCCTCAACCAGAACCACGTGCAGACCCTGCAGCTCCGGGGGCTGATGCTCTACCACCATGGCAGCCTTCATGAGGCTCTCAAGAACTTCAAGGTGAGCCTCTGTATCAGAAGGCTCTGTCCCTGCAGCCTTGAGCCAGTCCAGAGAGCTCAGTGACAGGGATGGAGACAGGGCTATAGATACTGTGTGTGCTGCACAAAGATAAGGCAGGCTGGCAGGCAGCAAACCAACAGAGCCTGAGTGTGGCTTTGAGTAGAGTCGCAGGAGTCTTAGGTGACACCAGCACTGATTTTGCCTCTGTGCTTCCGTGCCCAGCGATGCCTGCAGCTGGAGCCATACAACGACGTGTGTCAGTACATGAGGGGACTCAGCCATGTCGCCATGGGCCAGTTCTATGAAGGGATCAAAGCACAGACCAAAGTCATGCTCAATGAGCCCCTCCCTGGCCAGAAGGCAAGCCCTGAGTATCTGAAGGTGAAGTACCTCCGAGGTAAGTCAGCATGGCACGCAGCAGAACCCTGGACCTTCGTGGGCAAAGCTGCAGAGGAATGTGCTGGACTCGGTGTTCCTCAGGAGACCCCCACCTTAAGAGGCTGGACAGCTGGCCCAGCTGCCTCTGCTGGTTGATGAGGCAGATGTGGGTCTTCAAAAGGCCTGTCTTTCCTACAGGTTGTCTTTCTAAAACTGAAACAAACTCCACCTGAGTAAAAAGACACATTTTGGTCTACATGTGACCGTCATTTGGCATAGTCCAGACTTACTGCATCTCCAGATTCCTGAGGCAGTTGCCTCTGAGGTTTTTACTATTGAGTGGAAATGTAGCTTTGACCTGTCATTCCTTCATGTCAGACTCCCATGTGTCCTGGCAAAGTGTGGCTTGGTGAGGAAGGAATCAAATGTAGCCTTTTATCTGCCTATATGAAGATGTTTTGTTGTCCACATAGTTGTGGCTCTTATTATTAGCCAACAAGATAATTACTGTCCCAATAGAAAATAATAGCAGGCTATGGACTTTTTTTTTTTTTTGGTAGGTTGTGAGGCTTGAACTCTGGGCCTGAGCACTGTCTCTGAGCATTAGCTCTAGGCTAGCACTCTACCATTTGAGCCACAGCACCACTTCCGGTTTTCTGGTGGTTTATTGGAGATAAGAGTCTCACGGTCTTGGGGCTGGGAAGGTGGCTCAATGGTAGAGTGCTTGCCTCGCATACATGAGGTGCTGGGTTCGATCCCTCAGTACCACAGAAAAAGCCAGAAGCGGCGCTGTGGCTCAAGTGGTAGAGCACTAGCCTTGAGCTGAAGAGCTAAGGGACAGCGCCCAGGCCTAGAGTTCAAGCCTATGACCGACAAAAAAAAAAAAAGGGTCTCACAGACTTTCTTGCCTGGGCTGATTTTGAACCATGATCCTCAGATCTTAGCCTCCTTAGTAGGACTAAGCTAGGACTACAGGCGTGAGCCGCTCGTGCCCGGACATAATTTTAAATATTTAATAATCTTTATATTGAAAAGTTAATACAAGCAGATTGATTTTAGCTTGCTTGGTGTCTTTCTTGTTTGCTTTTTGTTTTATTACTTTTTTTATTTTAAAACAGGATCTCATGTGGCCCAAGATAGCTTCAAACTCACTACGTAGCCCAGGGTAAATTTGACCTTGTGCTTCTCATAAGTCAGCCTCATGAATGCTGGGATTACAGGCATGTGCCACCTGTCTGGCTAGAATTAATGTTAATGGTAAATTTTATTCAGTATATCCAAAATACTAGTTTAGCATATAATTAGTACAAAAGTGATGCATTAGGTATTTTATGTTCTTTTTTTTTTTGTTTGGCCAGTCCTGGGGCTTGAACTCAGGGCATGGACTGTGCTCAAGGCTAGCACTCTACCACTTGAGCAACAGTGTCACTTCCAGCTTTTTCTGAGTAGTTTATTGGAGATAAGAGTTTCCTGGACTTCCTGCCCAGGTTGGCTTTGAATTGCGATCTTCAGATCTCAGCCTTATGAGTAGCTAGGATTACAGGCGTGAGTCCCTGGTGCTTGGCTTATGTTGCATTATTTTTCGTACTACGCATTTGCAATCGATTGTATAATTCAGTTTTAGTACCTCTCCATAAATTTTTGTTGGAGATATTTGGTCTGTACTTAGAGTTCATAAAATACACAGTTGGAAAAGTAGAATCCTATGCAGAACTTATTTTCTCATTGTTAAATCAGGCTTCAACTTTCAAGTTATTGATTTGAAGTCAGTCTCTCAGACATTTGAGCCTGATTTTAGGTGTTGGGAACTAGAGCTGCCTGGACAGCTCTGCCCCCCCCCTCCCCCCGGATTGTGTGTCCTGTGGAAGGCAGGAGCCCAAGCTAAGGTTCTCCTGCAGCATCCACAGACACGAGCAGTCGGCCTCCGAGCTGAGCATGCCTCTGCATGCACACTCTCAGCTCTGTCTGACACTGATTTCGGCTTCTCAGACTCAGTAATTTAATAATCGTTCATGTGAAAGTGGTTAAAATTTAGCCAAAGTCCACTTGGCTTGACTGTGTCGCCCTTCCCCAACACACTCCAGGCTAGGGTGAGACTCTTCCTGTTGTCAGGTAATAATAGTGACTTCCTTCAGAGTCTCCTTTTTAGAATGCGTGTCTTTAAATCACAGTTTGTTCCCTAGTATTTGTAGGACAGCTAGCTAGAAAAAGTGTTTCTTATTTCTTAGCTGGCTTGGTGTCTTAGGCCTGTAATCTTAGCCACTTAGGAGATAAAGAGTTAGAAGAACGCAGTGAAGGCCAGCTCTGGCACAAAACTGTCACGGCCCCATCTGAACTGGTGCGATGCTGAATGTGGTAGTGTGCATCTGTCACCCCCGCTACATGGGACATGAGTAAAACTATGGTCCCAGCTGGCCCACGTATAAATATGAGTCCCTATTTGAAAAATAAAAGCAAAAATGCTGGGGCATGGCTCAAGTGGAAGAGTGCCTGCCAGACAAGTGGGAAGCCTGAGCCCAAACCTTCCCTTCTGTCTGCAGAGTACTCCCGTTATCTCCACGCACACCTAGACACACCGCTCACTGAGTACAACGTTGACACGGACCTGCCAGGGAGCTTTAAAGACCACTGGGCCAAGACCCTGCCTTTCCTCCTGGAGGACTACGAGGAACAGCCGGGCCTGCAGCCTCACATAAAGTAAGTGCTCTGCCGGGCAGCTCTCCTCCTTCAGAACCGAGCTGTGAACCCACCCCCTGCTTCTTCCTTGTTGGTTTCTTCAAGAAGTCTCACTCTGAGGCCTGACTGTCCTCAGACTTCAGCCCTCCTGCCTCCATCTCCCATGCTGGGGCACAGGCTCTCATACTGAGATTTCTTGATTACTACATGACTTTCTGTTCATGTTTCACTGAATTTCTTTTGGGGTTTGTATGTCTGTAACTTGTTTGTGCTTAAGGAGCCCTGAAACTTACTTTGGTTTGTTATCTTTCCTCGGAGCCTCGTCTTCCCTTCTAATTTTGGACAGCCTTCAAACTTTAAATGTCCTTATGCTTACTAGTTGAAGGAGATTAATTGACATTTTATTTGACAGAGATTATTTGACATTTGAAAAGATGAAAGTCACACTGCTGAAAAGCAGTGCTGTACATAAAACAAATATGCTAAAGGGCATTGTTATACAAAACCACTAGTGCCTTAATTTTGAGAAATCTAGAGTTTGACCATTTTGTTCTCTAGAAGAAAAGGGGAGCAGGGATTCAGACTAGATAATGGAAAGGATTATCCTGGGTTAATGGAGTGAGCACCTTGGCCAAAGGTATGATGTGTGTGAACTTCAGCAGGCCGAAGTGAGCCCATGCATGAGCTCCAGTGAGCTGGGTGAGTGAGTCCCTGTGTGAGATCTGGTTGTCTGGGTGAGCCTATGTGTGAACTTCAGCGGGCCAGGTATGAACACAAGAAACTGGAACCCCATACGAGCCAGCAAAAAACACCAACAACTTAGACCTTGAACTTCAGATGTTGAATTTATTGAATAGAAACGGAAAAATTCCAAGTAAGATAAATTATTTTTAAAATTATGAGCAAGTCACAGATGTGAAAAAGAAACAAGATCATAAAAAATGACCAGAAAGTTTTTTAAACTAAAAAGTTTTAGGAATAGGTCATTGGAATAAAGAATTCAGTAGATAGGCTAAATGCTGGATAAGATGTGGTGGGAGAAATCCTACTCAGTTGGAAGGTAGGAGCTGCGCAGGGGCCTTCTGGGGAGTTGCGTGGGGGCTGTCTGGGCCATCCCTGCAGCTGCGCAGGGGCTATCTGGGCCTTCAGTGGAGCTGCACAGGGGGCTGTCTGGGAAGCTGCACAGGACTGCCCGGGGAGCTGCGCAGGGGCTGTCCGGGCCATCTGGGGAGCTGCGCATGGGCTGTCCAGGCCGTCCGGGGAGCTGCACAGGGGGCTGTCTGGGCCATCCGGGGAGTTGCGTGAGTGCCGTCTAGGGAGCTGTGCAGGGGCTGTCCGGGAAGCTGTCCAGGGGCTGTCTGGGCCATCCGGGGAACAGCATGGGGGCTGTCTGGGCTGTCCGGGGAGCTCCATAGGGACTGTGGGGGCCATGGGGAGCTGCGTGGGTGCCGTCCAGGGAGCTGCGCAGGGGCGTCTGGAGAGCTGCACACTGGCAAGGAAGCCAAGCGTAAGCAGAGAGAAGACAGAGGAGAGGAGAAGTACTGACATGTCTGAAATCTCAGGGGAACAGAAAAACAGTTCTTCAAGAAACAATGACTAAGAATTTCCCAGAACTAATAAATCACATAAACCTACAGGATTTTTCTTTTTTTTTTTTTTTTTTTTTTTTGGGTCCGGTTGTGGGGTCTGAACTCTGGGCCTGGGCGCTGTCCCTCAGCTCTTCAGCTCAAGGCTAGCGCTCTACCACTTGAGCCACAGCGCCACTTCCAGCTTTTTTTTTTCTGCTTACGTAGTGCTGAGGAATTGAACCCAGGGCCTCAGGCATGCAAGGCAAGCGCTCTACCACTGAGCCACCTTTCCAGCCCAAACCTACAGGTTTTTAAAAATTATTCTTATAAAGTAGTTGTATAAAGACACAGGTTTGTTTGTTTTTTAAAGGCAAGGAAATGAATAGGAATCCATACCCGGACATATTAGAGGCAACTGAGAACTACCATGAAAAGGAAGAAAACCTTACAAGTAGAAAGACAAGTCCTTATGGTCAGTAGTTGGACTTATTGTAACCTCAGTTTCACTACAGGAGGTCAGAATACAGCAGAATTTCACCTTCAACAACTTTCAACCTAGAACTATAAACACTCTTATATACGTGAATATAGATATATACACATATGCATATATATGTGTGTGTTACAGTGTATAACTTCTGTATTCACGGATGATGTAAAAAACATGAAAGAAAAAAAGTGAAAACAATCTAAAATCCACCAGAAAGCAGAGAGGGAGTAGGAAAGGGAGGACAAATAGGACAAATAAAGCCGGGCTCACGCTTATAATCCTAGCTATTCAGGAGGCTGAGATCTGAGGATTGTGATTCAAAGCCATCCCGCACAGGAAAATCCATGAGATTCTCCAATTAAACATCAAAATTAATCTCCAGGGCTGGGAAGGTGGCTCAGTGGTAGAGCACTTGCCTTGCATGCATGAGGCCCTGGGTTCGATTCCTCAGCACCACATAACCAAAAAGAAAAAAAGCCGGAAGTGGCGCTGTGGCTCAAGTGGTAGAGTGTTAGCCTTGAGCTGAAGAGCTGAGGGACAGCGCCCAGGCCCAGAGTTCAGGCCCCACGACCGGACCCAAAAAAACAAAACAAAACAAAATTAATCTCCAATTAAACCCCAAAATTCTGGAAGTGGAGCATGGCTCCAATGGTAGAGCACTGGCCTTTAAGCAAAGAATGCAGGGACAGCACCTAGGCTCTGAGTTTAAGACCCAGGACTGAGGGGCCCATCAGCTGCACTGGACACTGATGAAAACAAACTAAGCAACTCAAGGGCTGCGATGGGAGGGAGGGAATGAGAGGGAAATAGGGAACAGCTCACACAAACGAAAGCAATGTACATATTACCCAGTGTGGAAGAAATGGCTATATTGTCAAAGCTCATAGAATTCACAGACTTGTTGTTGTTGGTCGTGGGGGCTGAACCCCGGACCCCGGGTACTGTCCCTCAGCTCTTCAGCTCAAAGCTAGGGCCCTACCACTTGAGCCACAGCACCACTTCTAGCTTCTGCTTATGTGGTGCTGAGGAATCGAACCTCCAGGGCCGCATGCATGTGAAACAAGCACTCTACCACTGAGCCGACTTCCCAGCCCATAGAATTCACAAAGTTTATAGACCACAATAATGATAATTTGCCTGGTGAAGCTTAGAATGTGTCTGTGACTTTAAGTATCACTCTCTCACAATACTGTGAAATTTATGTAATCACTTAATCTCAAAAAATTATTCTTTAATAAAATACACAGGACTAGTACGGGATAGGGAGCAAGGGTGGAGGAAGAAGAATAAGAAAAATGGGTTTTAAAACGAATCCAGGTACTCTAGTAATCATAGTAAGTGGAGATGGCCTGGCAGTTAGAAGAGGCACAGCGGGAGCACCTGTCATCCCAATGCTTGGGAGGCCAAGGAATTGGAGGCCAGTCTGGGCGATATACAGTGAGAATATCAAAAACATAAAGATACAAGATGGGTGCTGGTGGCTCAAGCCTGCCATCCCAGTTACTCAGGAGGCTGAGATCTGAGGATCACAGTTTGAAAACACCCCATGCAGGACAGTCTGTGAGACTTATCTCCAATTAACTGCCAGAAACCCAGAAGTGGAGCTGTGGCTGGAAATGGTAGAGCACTAGCCTTGAGCAAAATGCCTAGGGACAGCACCCAGGTCCTGAGGTCAAGCCCTACGACCATCAACAACAAAAAACTTACAGTTATACTAGAGTTTTTTGAAAGTCCAGCTTTTTATAAGAAGCACCTGTTGCCTGAGGTACAGAAAGGTTGTAAGTAGAGAATGGAAGCCTTAAACTTGGAGAGCTATAGCTGAAAGGATCCGGGTCTAGTTATGTTTACATCACTGGGCTTAAACACAGTCAGCAATAAAGATTCTTCCTACATAATGGCAAAGGTTCAAATCACCAAGAAGATTTAAATCTGAGTTTATGTATAACTAATAATTTTTGAACTTTATAGGAATACACAGAGAAGTAAAATTCAGTATAGAAGTATAAGGTTGTATATGTAATGAAATGAGACTTTTTTTGGGGGGCGGGGGGCGTGAACTCTGGGCCTGAGCACTGTCCCTCAGCTCTTCAGTTCAAGGCTAGCACTCTACCACTTGAGCCACAGCTCCACTTCCAGCTTTTTTCTTATGTGGTACTGAGGAATTGAACTCAGGGCCTTGAGCATGCAAGGCAAGTGCTCTACTACTGAGCCACTTTCCCAGCCCCTGAAAGACTTTTACATGGAAGTAAGATTATGCAAGCACTGAAGCAAGTGGCTTTTCTTGTTTGTTTGTTTGTTTTTTAACTTTATTTTATTTATTTTTTGGGGGGGGGTCTGGTCGTGGGCCTGAACTCTGGGCCTGGGCGCTGTCCCTCAGCTCTTCAGCTCAAGCCTAGCGCTCTACCACTTGAGCCACAGCACCACTTCCGGCTTTTTTCTTTTTGCTTATGTGGTGCTGAGCAATTGAACCCAGGGCCTCATGTATGCAAGACAAGCGCTCTACCACTGAGCCACCTTCCCAGTCCCGAGGTTTTTCTTGTTGATGGAAGAGTCCTCACCACAAAACCAAATTGGTTTCCCCAGAAACCAATGGATTTACTAGAAAGTGTATGAATACAATTACCAAGTAGCCTATTAAAGGGGAAAAACCACACAGTCATCTCGATACAGAAAAATGATTAGGGCTGGACACTGGTGGCTCACGCCTGTAATCCTAGCTATTCAGGAGGCTGAGATCTGAGGATCTCGGTTCAAAGCCAACCTGGGCAGGAAAGTCCGTGAGACTCTTATCTCCAATAAACCACTAGAAAACTGGAAGTGGTGCTGTGGCTCAAGTGTTAGAGCACTCACCTTGAGCTGAAGAGCACAGGGACAATGCCTAAGCCCAGAGTTCAAGCCCCACGACCAAACAACAACAACAACAAAAAAACCATTAGTGGAAATAACTCACTCATACTTTGAAAACAAATGTAATTGAGAAAAACAAAGATATGTCCTTAGCCTGATAGTTGGCACTTGTCAAAAGCCTATAGAAGCATCATGGTAACCAACCAAGTGGTTGGGGCCTTTGCACCAGAAGGAGAAATAAGACAGAGACACTCTTTTGGATAGCATAATCTTCTACAAAGGAGACATTCAAGTTCTAAATAAATGATAGGAAGTGATCAGTTTGAAGAGGTGATTTATTATAATCATACATGGATGAGTTGCAATTCTAAATACCAGAGACAAAGAAAAAAAATCTCACTTAAAATAGCAACAAAAAGTTAGAAACAAATGTCAGAGATTTTGTGCAAAATCAGTATGGTGATCATTGTTCCCAGTATTCTCAGCTACAGTGTTCCCAAACCCCAGCAGACACAGACTATAAACCTCTCTACATACCAGCATCCTGAGTCTCACAGACTGTAATCCTTTCCATACATAACAGTGCTTGGTAATTTATAAATTAGATATAGCAAGAAGTTAACAGTAAGCCAATAAAAATGGAAAGTTATAAAAGGACACTAATAAAACTGGGGTAAATGTGGTCTTTCTCAAAATAGTTTAATTGTCCTTTAAGTCTTAACAGTTCCATTACAATGGTTTTTGTCCTTTTTTAATTCAAGAGCTCTTATCTTTGTTTTTTATGGAGATACTTTTCTATGTGTCTTTGGCTTATCAGAATGAATCCCTGGGATTAATCCCGGCCTTTCAGGCGAGCTCCTGCCCTTCTAGACCTACAGGAATGGCTTCCTGTGCATTTCCCTCTGTTCTGAGCACCAAGTTTCCTTCTGAGAGTTCGGAAGTTCAGCGCTTGCCACACATGGAGAGTTGTGTGAACAGCCTCAGGAAAAGTCCAGGGCTCCTCCTTTCTGCTGACCTTTGCCCCGTGCTTTTTGCCCTTTGCTGTCTGCTTGGTGTTCTTTACTAGTGAGAAATCACAGCACATGGGTGTGACTGGACTGGGCCCTCTGTGTTCTCCTGGTGAACCACTGAGCCTGAGCATGTCTTGGAGAACCCAAACCACATCATGAGTGACTGAGAGCAGAGCGTTGAGAGGCCAGTCTGGGGCTATATCGTGAGACACTACCTCAAAAAAAAAAAAAAGTAACAAAATAGAAAGAGCTGGGGGAAAAAAACAAAAGCATTAAGTAAGGTAAGTCAGCCCCAGAGAAGACAAAGGTTGTGTGTGTTTCCTCATTTGTGGAAGTTAGAATTAACTTACAAACTAATGAGTAAATACATTAGATGGTACACAAGTATACACAAATGTACTAACTGAAATATGGCATGTGCAAGAACTCAAAGAGTATAATTTTTAGAAAGTCAGAGTTCAACAAAATGAGCACCAGGAAATGGGTAATAGAAAGGGGTGGAATGGGGTCATGGGGAAAGGGCAGATGAATGAAGAGGAGCATGGGGGGAATTGAGTCAGGAGTTCAATGTAGTACTACAAAATTAGGGGTGAGGAAAGGAGGAGTAGGAGGGGAGGGATGGAGAAGATGCATTGTGTGTATAAACTGCGTAGTCAAAGGGTAGCTCCTTCAAACTACTTAAAGATGATTAGATATTCTTAAACTACTAAATAATTCAAGAATTGAATCTTTTTTAAAATAATGTTTTTTGTTTGTGTATTTCTCTATTGTGTGTGTGCGTGTGCATGTATGCGCGTGTGCATGCACACACTGGTACTGGGGCATGAACTCAAGGCCTCATACCCTCCTTTAGCTTTTTCATTCAAGTCTGGTTTGTGTTCTCTCATTTGAGCCACAGCTCCATTTCCAATCCAGCTTTTTTTTTTTCCCCACCCATTTTCCTCTGATTCCGTGCCTTCCTCCTAGCTTCCCTCCTATGTGCATGTGTACATACCTTATGTGGGGTCAAGAAGAATTTGAATCAAGCATGTTGGCAGTCATGCAGTAGCTGCGTGCATGGCCCCAGATCATGCCTGTGCTCTCACAGCTGGGGCTGGGGACAGCAGTGGCTGGATGGGGGTCAGGGTGGACAGACCGCTGGTGCTGGGGCAGGGTGGACAGACCTCTGATGTTCTCACGGCCGGGGCTGGGGTGGGAATGAACAAACCTCTGGGGTTTGATTGCTTGTTGACAAAGTTCACACAGTTTTGTGGCATTCACAAGGAACGTGCTGGTGAGTGCCTGTGGAGTTGCACACGAGCCAGCGTTGGTGGCTGCGCAGATCCCTCCTCACGCTCTGTGGATGGATGCACAGCACTGCGTTGTCGCATCTCTAGTGAAGGAAGCAGTTGCTCTCCTGATGGAATTGTACCGTCGGCCTGGCTTGAGACACTGCTGACTGTGCACGATGTTGTTGCAGGGATGTACTGCACCAGAACTTCGATAGCTACAAGCCTGAAGTCCAGGAACTGATCTGTGTAGCTGACCGATTGGGATCACTGATGCAGTACGAAACCCCCGGATTCCTGCCCAACAAGAGAATACACCGAGGTAGCCTGCAGACTGTCTAGTACTGGGAAGATTCTGGCAAAAGAGTGGAGTAGTTAAACTACATTCACTTTGTTTTTTCAATACCAGAGGTTGAATTCAGGCCCTGAGCTATGCAATCTGTGCCTCCAGCACTTTCCCTTTCAGATTTGGAATGCAGCCTAGCCAGCCCTGGACCTTAGTCCCCTTATTTACACTTCCTCATAGCTCAGATGGTAGGTACTTGCTACCACACCAGCTTGTTGGTTGTAGTGGAGTCTCCATTACTTTCTCCCTGGGTTTGCCCAAACTGCAATCCTCTGATCTCTGTCTCTGAGTTGCTAGGGTGACAAGTGTGAGCCACTTTGGCTTTCTGCCTTTGCATATTGTACCCACAGGAGTGGAATAGAAGAGGGCCAGGCAGTGAGGTATTTGATGGTCCTTTATTAATGCTAGCTGTAAGCCCCTATCACTATGGCCGAACAAAGATCTGTGGTCCCCTAGGGAAGTTAAGGAAGGGAGGGTGGGGGTTAAAGGCTGCAGCTGCATAAGTTACATATGTTCAGTTAGCCCCAGGGAACTTAGATAGTAACCAGATAAGAAGACTGCTGGGGGGGGGGGGCATTTACCTCTTAATTTAAACAGAAGTAGCAATTTAGGGACTCTTGACCTGGTTTAACAATTTGCTGGAGCAGGGATTCTCTTTTATCTCTAGATTTTTGCTTCTCAATTAACTCTGTTTTGCCCTTAGCTGTAAAACTGGGCTGGGGGAGGTTAGTCATTTCTTTCTCTTAGAGAGCTGAAGTAGAGCTCTGTCAGCTGATTGGAGGAGGGAGGTGGGAGAAGGCCAACCCTGCTTGCTTCCGTAGGCACACAGATTTCTGTAGCTGGTAACTGAGTCGTGGCTGGGAGCCCGTGGGAGGCAGTCCATGGCAGGCTCTGGTGAACTGTCTCCCTGCTTCTCCTCACAGCCATGGGCCTGGCGGCACTAGAGGTCATGCAGGCTGTCCAGCGCACATGGACCAACTCGAAGGTCCGCATGAGCGGGAAGACGCGGCTCATGCAGTGGAGGGACATGTTCGACATCGCCGTGAAGTGGAGGAGGTACCGGGCGGTGGGTGGCATCTGCACCCTGTTTTGCTTTCTGATGATAGGTGCACAGGATTTTTTTCTCTTACTACCCTATGTTCTTTGGAGTCATTGGTGTTTAGGAAGTGGCAGGCGTGTTGTTTTGTTGGCTGCTGTGGTTCAGAGGAAGTAGACTAGAGTTCTTCTTGCCATGACACCCCGCCCCCAGCACAGCTCTCCAGGCTGGCCTGCACTGACTTCCTACCTGGTGCAGCCACAATGTCTGTGTACAGTGTGCGGGCTCATAGACTATTAAAAAAACAACTCCAGGGCCTTAAGTTTGCTAGGCAGGTGCTCCACCACTTGAGCCACCCCCCTGTTCCTTTTTGCTCTCTTGATCTTTCAGGTAAAATCTTGCAGTTTGGCCTGGGGCTGCAGTCCTCGTCCCCAGCTTCTGCAGTGGACTCCTCACCTTTGCAGAGACTTGCCCACAGTTTTAAGTGCTGAACAGTTCTGGGCTTGGCTAGGTCTCAGACTTGACAAGCTGTGTTTTGCAGGATTGCTGACCCAGACCAGCCTGTGCTGTGGCTGGATCAGATGCCAGCTCGGAGTCTCAGTCGAGGATTTAACAATCACATCAACCTAATCAGGTATGAACCTTTTGTGATTCTTTCCTGTCTTCACAGGAGTGTGTTCTGGGGTGGTTATGACTGGCAGCGTAGCTTAGCTCTGCCCACAGGGCCCACTGCTTGTCCTCCCGGCCTAGCTCAGACAGAGCACAGTAGACTCCAGAGAACCTGATGCAGGGTGAGTGAGGATGGAGTTTACCTAGGGTGCCAGTTCTCACAGGGTCCTGAAATAGCTTAGGAACTTACTGATGGAGTGCAGTGTGCTTACATTATCCTGCTGAATCTGTTGTGTTGGGAGGCCCTCTTCCCCCCAATACATGAGCCGGTCCTCAGGAGAGCTAATGCTTTGCTCAGAAGTTCTGCAGGTTGGACACCTGGCCTAATGCTTGCCCCGTCCCCTGTCCATGAGCTTACCGCCCTCCAAACAAGTGGTGCATATGCACAGGAGAACATCAGCCTCAGGGAGACTTGGGTGACAGGCCTGTGCCTGTTTTTTTTTTTTGTTGTTTGTTTGTTTTTGTTTTTTTGTCAGTCGTGGGGCTTGAACTCTGGGCCTGGGCACTGTCCTTGAGCTCTTCAGTTCAAGGTGAGCCCTCTACCACTTCAGCCACAGTGCTACTTCTGGTTTTCTGGTGGTTGGTTAATTAGAGATAAGAGTCTCACAGACTTTCCTGCCCGGGCTGGCTTTGAACTGTGATCCTCGGATCTCAGCTTCCTGAGTAGCTAGGATTACAGATGTGAGCCACTGGTGCCCCAACTCTGAGTGGATTTTAAGTATAATTTTGAAATATGGTGTCACATCTAAAATGTATCCAATTCCAGAAACCTGAATCAAGAAAACATTCTCAAAAAAAAAAAAAAAGAAAACATTCTCATGTAACAGTGACCTTTAGTTTGAAATTTGAATGGGAATATCATTTCTATGTTTTTTTTTTTTTAATTTCTAGGGAAAAAAAATATTTTCTCCCTTTAACTTGCGTTTTCCTGTTTCTCATGGAATGATCTGTAGTCACTAGTGGTAACTAAGGGCTGCTGTCTGGTCAGATGCTTGCTATGCTTCTGGGTGGTAAGGTAGTAGCTATGTGGTAAAAGCCACAGGCCCTGACCTGAGGAGATAGAGGCAGAGAGCCACAGGCCCTGACCTCAGAGAGCTCCTGGGGAGGTAGAAGCAGCTAGCACGTAGAGTTCTAAGTGCAAGGTGAATACCCAAGGGAGCATACAGAAGGACACACAGAAAGGGGTGGCTGGTCCTTGTTCAGGGAATTCCTGGGCAGACAAAGGATGGACCCATGGGTAAATTCTACAGAGCCAGAACACTGTGACTAGCTCAGTATGGCTGGTGGCAATTGAGGGAGTATCTGGAATGTGGCCAAAGACAGGCAGAAGTCAAAGCACGCATGAAGTCATGTGCTGTGCCCAGAGACATTGTCTGTAGGCAGTAGTGAGCAGGACAGTAGGGTGAACAGATTTGTGTTTGGAGGCTCACAGGTGGCAGATGGAAGGAGCATGTGTTGAGGGCTGGCAGCCTCGGCCCATGTGGCAGGGAGTCGGCCAGGAAGAGATGGGTTCAGAAGGGAGAGGCGGGGCAGAAGCTCTGGCAGCAGTCAAGACGTGAGGGGCCGGTGATGTCTGAGGACCGTCCAGCCTAGGGAAGGTGGTATCCAAGGTCAGTCCAGTGCCTAGTCTAGGTTTGTTACCAGGGGCTAGATAGGGCCAGGACAAAAATAAAGTGTTTGTTTGAGGTGGAGCTGGAAGGATTGATGGGAGGGGCAGGTGCCCATGCTACAGTGTGGAGGCTGGAGGCCTGTCTAGAGGCTGGGAGCCAGTAGGCATCCTGGGAGCAGTTGCCCGTTCCCTGCAGGTCTGCCGCTGTTGGACTCGAGGGTCTGGAGGCAGTCTGAACGTGAGCTGGGAGGGGCACTCAACACTTAGAGTGGGCAGCAGGAGGGCAGAGGGCACGAGGAAGCCAGGAGACCACGCTCAGAGTGCCCATGGCTGGGCACTCAGCAGGGGCAGGGAGACTTGTAAGCTCTGGAGGGTTTCCTTTCTGTGTAAATGAAATGTTGCCTTGAACATATTTATGTACAGTTGCTTTTGAGTTTTGCTGTTGTTCAGCTCTGTTTTCTGGTTTGTTGGGACAGTCTTTCTGTCCAGCCATTGCTGGCCTCCCTGCCTCAGCCTCTTGCAGACGTCTGCACCCAGCTTATCTCATTGTTTTTGCCTTACAGGGGTCAGGTGATTAACATGAGGTATCTGGAATATTTCGAGAAAATACTCCACTTTATTAAAGATAGAATTCTTGTTTATCATGGGTAAGCCTGCAGTTTTGTACCTCACAGTAGTGGGTAGATTCGTACCTATTGTCTTTATTTGTGAAAGTGGGAAACAGCCACTGACAAAACAAGCAAGGCCAGATGTTCACAGAGCGTGTAGACTCATCCAGCCCCATTCCCTCCCAACCCCCCTCCTCACCGGCCACAGGACTCCCTGGCCCACAGAGGGCCACTGGCCTGATGGCTGAGCCATTTCTGGTCTCCTTTCCAGCCTGTCGCTTACCTGTTAGGGAGTTCAGCTCTGAAACGTGATGGTCAGTGGCAGGTACTTCCATTTGAGTACCTTTGACTTGTCCTTGCGGAGCTGGAATGTGAGGAGACACCAGTGCCCGCTGTCCATCCATGCTGCTTCTCCCTGCCCCTCTTCTGGGTGGAACACCTCTTCCTTAATTCTCAGGTTCAGCCACCTCACAGTTTAGAACCTTAGTCATGGCTGTTCAAACAGTTGTCCCTTGGTGTTCACCCGGGACTCTGGGACTCCAGCAGATGGCAGAATACCTAGATGTTCAGGCTTCTCCCATGAAGTGGCGCTGTGTGCACAGAAGCTCTGCATGTCCCCTTGGCTCTTCACGACCTCTCTCGGTGCCCCGTGGCACTGACCACGTCAGTGTGGTGTAAATCATGGTTTTCTTTGTTGTCAGGGAATGGTGGTGAGAAGTCTGGATCCATTCCATAGACATGGTTTTTGTCTGTGATGTGGGTGGAGTCTGAGGAAAAAGCGCCTCCTGTATTGAGGACAATTTATGTAAACTAAAGCTGAGGGCATGGCCAGTTAATCACATTTCTGGGTTAACCTGTTACCTTCTCTCATCTCTTCCCTATCTCTTATAGCGCTAACAACCCCAAGGGGTTGCTAGAAGTTAGAGAAGCTCTGGAGAAGGTTCACAAGGTAGAAGACCTTCTTCCCATTATGAAAGTAAGTTTCTTACTAAAAAAAAAAGAACTCATAATTATGAAATGCATGTTTATTAAGCTATGTGTTTTGAACTTCACGAAGCCTGGTATATGAAATTGCTCACACACAATCCAGGTGATAATTAAAACAAAATGGAATACTGGCATCAGACTCAGCTAAACTGGGCTTCTGGCCATGGTCATGACTCACTGGCCTCTGTCTGTGCCCACTGCAAGCCTAAGCTGGACACAGGACACTGGACACATACTGGCTTCTGAGAGGAGGGGAGCAGCTTTTGCTGTGGAGCTGGGCAGAGTCTACAAAGAGGAGGTGTGCAGGATGGGCAGGCCCTGAGACTAGGGATGTGGTCCTTGTTGGCTGAGTGCCTGGCACTGAAAGCTGGCAGGCTCAGCAGAGTGGCTGCATATTGCCAAGTGGGGTGGCAGGTCAGCTGGGCTGGGAGATGGAGTGTGTAGCATTGCCAGGTGAGCAGGTCCTGTGAGCTCTAGGCATTCTACACATTCAGTGTCGGGCATAGGGGGACCTGTGGGCGAGGGGTGGGGGGGAGATCCGCAGGCCGGGGTATGGGGAGGCCTGCAGGTGGGGTTCACATCTTGTCCTCAGTAGACATAGACTTACATCAGGCCAAAAGTGGCCTTGGCCTCGTCCCTTTGAAGGAAGACATGATGATCCATCCTTTAGTTACTAAAGAGGTGAATGCCGACACCGGGCACCTGTGGCTCACACCTGTCATCCTAGCTGCTCAGGAGGCTGAGAGCTGAGGATCGTGGTTCAAAGCCAGCCCAGGCAGGAAAGTCCATGAGATTCTTATCTCCAGTTAACCACCAGAAAACCAGAAGTGGCACTGTGGCTCAAGTGGTAGAGCGCTTGCCTTGAGCTGAAGAGCTGAAGGACAGCACCCAGGCCCAGAGTTCAAGCCTCATGACTGACAAAAAAAGAAGGAGAAGGAGAAGGACAAGGAGGAGGAGGAGGAGGAGGGAGAAGAAAAGTACTTAAGTGGTGAACGCATTCTCCTTTAAGAGGCTTTGTGAGTGGTGCCCCTGCCCTCTGTGGATGACACCAGAAGGGGCTGCACTGGCGTTAGTGCCTTGAGCTTGGAATCGAGCTTCCAGAACTAGGAAAGAATACATTTCTGCTCTTTATAAATTACCCAGTCTGCTACAGGTACAGCAATACAAAATAGTCTCAGACAGTGAAGAAATAGGGCTGAAACAGAAACATAAAACCAGTTACCAGGAATAGACATGGAGATGTCTGCTGTTGGAATTCATTCTTTTTATAAAGTCCTGGTCTATTTCATAAATGTCTTCAAGGCCTTAAAATATGACACACTAGTGGAGACTCAGCAGAGCAGAGCCGGAAGGAACTAGAAGAAGCTGCGGAACTGAGGATGGAGTAGTCATCGACCCCAGCTGCAGGCTTTGCTGCAGTGCTGATGTAGAGAGGCAGGCCCCACAGATGCTGCATGGAGACCCCATGGCTCTTCGGGCGTGGGTGGTTAGCGAGACCTGGATGGAGTCTCGGCAGTGTCTGTCCAGTGCAGCCACGGAAGGGTTGAGTCCCAGGCAGTGAGCCAGTCAGCACGGGGTGGCGTGTGTGTCGTGGAAAGCGTCGTGGTGGGTGTGGGTGGCGGGTCAGACAGGACAGCAGCTGTTTAGAGCAAGTTTTAGTGGCAGCACCCACCAGTCTGGAGGAAGTGCCCACAGTAATGAGATACAAGTCTGGTTTCATGGTGTGTTCCTTAGCCAAAGAATATAACAAGTCTTACATGGCATATTTATTATGAACAAATTTTACCTAGTAAAGTACATAGATTAATTTCCCAAGTTATTATTTATATGCTAGATAAAGAAACAAGTTGGTAGCAGTGGGAAAGAATTAATAGCTACAGGTATTCAGAAACAGGACCAAGGATTATAATTTCAAAGCCAATCCAGGCAAAGCTGGCAAAACCTTCATTTCACATACAAACATAATAAAAGTGGAAGTTGGGGTGTGTTGCAAAAGATAGAGTATTTGGAGCTGGGAAGGTGGCTCAGTGGTAGAGCGCTTGCCTTGCATGCCTGAGGCCCTGGGTTCGATTCCCCAGCACCACATAAGCAAAAAAAAAAAAAAAAGCCGGAAGTGGCGCTGTGGCTCAAGTGGTAGAGCGCTAGCCTTGAGCTGAAGAGCTGAGGGACAGCGCCCAGGCCGAGTTCAGGCCCCACGACCGGACCCAAAAAAAAAAAAAAAAAAAAGATAGAGTATTTGGCTAGCAAGTGCCCTGGGCTCAGTTCCTAGTGAAAAAAAGAAAAGAAGTTGGGCATACCGGTACTCCTGCTCATGATACTGGCTTCTCAGGATGCTGAGAACTGAGGACCACAGTTCAAAACCAGCCCAGGCAGGAAAGACTGTGAGACTTATCTCCAACCAACCCCCAATAAAACAGAAGTAAAGTTGTGGCTCAGAGTGGTAGAATGATAGCCTTAAGCACAAAAGCTCAGGGGACAGTGCCTAGACCTGAGTTTAAGCCCCATGTTCTAAAGAAAAAAAAAAAGAGAAAGGAGGAGGAAGGGAAGAGAAAGAGAATTCTCTCAATGGAACTATGAGATTAAAGGCTCGAATATCAGCCAGGTGCAGGTGCAGGTGGCTCACACCTGTCATCCTAGCTACTCAAGAGGCTGAGATCTGAGGATCACAGTTCAAAGCCAGCCCAGGCAGAAAAGTCTGTTAATCTCCAATTAACCACCAGAAAACCAGAAGTCTCACTGTGGCTCAAGTGGGAGATCACTTGCCTTGAGCTGAAGAGCTCAGGGACAGTGCCCAGGCCCAGAGTTCAAGCCCCACGACCAACCAAAAATAAATAAAAGACTCAAATGTCAAAATGCATGGGCTCTTAAACCAATGAATTTTTCCAAGATACAATGTGAAAGATACAAATTTGTAAACTATGAAAAAAGTATAAAGTTTTAGAAGGAAACAAAAAATTTAAAGTGGAGGAATTAGTCAACAAAATAATAGAGAAGTTGATAGAGCTGACCTGGGTCTGAGGACCGGAGAGGAGATAGCATGGAGCTGTCTCTTGTTTTGTGTAATTTTCATGACTAAAGGAACAACCAGGGTGAAGTCAGCACCACGGGCTGAGCTATAGTTGGTTCATACAAGTAATATGGATTTTTTTCCCCCTCAAAAGCAGTTTAATACCAAAACAAAGGATGGGTTCACTGTGAACACAAAAGTTCCCAGCCTCAAAGATCAAGGGAAGGACTACGATGGGTTCACGATCACCATCACAGGAGACAAGTATGTGGGCTACATGAGGGTAAGGGGCAGCTGCTGGGGCTCAGGCGGTGTACTGCCTTTACTTCATCCTGAGATGGGGGTGTCGGGATTCCGTGTGCAGTGGCTGTGGTGCCTAGAGGTCCCGACCTCTTCTGTGCTTTGTCTGAGCCTGCTGCCTTCTGGGTAAACAGAGGCCCCAGAGGCTGTTGGCTGTCGTAGGGTGACAGCACCTCTGAGGCATTACAAGAGTGGAAAATGTGAGAAACACAAATGACCAAGTTGAAGTAGACATCGTTTTCTTTAAAAAACAAGTCCCAGGACACACATTGCTTTTAACCTGCTCTCCCCTACCTTAACATTTTCTTAGAGCATTTTTAGCATTACCTAGTATTCTATTGTATAGTTGTAGAATTTCTACTGCTGATTTGTCATTAACTGTTTAATGCATTTCCTATTGTTTTGCTCAAAGATAATACAGTGTGCATTGCTACTCACTACTGTTTCACTTACTCTGAAATCCCTGGGATTCCCTATCCTTGGGGTCTCCATCACACCCATAGCCTGTGGGACTGGAGGGGGGTGGTGACAGCTGCCATGCCTGTGCGCGCCGGCGCCTCTTCTCCAGCCCCACGTCCTGCACTCCTGCTTTCCCTGCAGCGGCATCTTCCAGTTCCATGTCAAGACTTAAACATGCCATTTGGCAGATGTTGTGGACTGTCCTTGTCTTCAAGGCTCCCATCTCTGCCCACTCGACCTGGCAAAGTCCTTCCCCAATAAATGGTTTCCTGAAAGGAATTCAAAGACGCGATACTTCATGTTCAGTTCACTCTCCCGCTTCTCACGCATTCAGGGCTGATATCCTCAGGTCAGATGCCGGGGCAGAAATGAGTGTTTCCTTGCACTGGAGCTTCTTCTGGATGCCTGCCCACTTTCCTCCTTGCTCTGGGCCTCGGGCCTGCTGACTGCCCATGTCCCCCTCCCACTGCCGGGACATTCCCAGCCCAGGTCCCCTGCCCCTCTGTTCACAACACACTGGCTCCCAGCCACTCCCATGGCCTCACACAACATTTCCTACTTTGGGCTGGGAAGGTGGCTCAGTGGTAGAGTGCTTGCCTTGCATGCGTGAGGCCCTGGGTTCAATTCCTCAGCACCACATAAACAGAAAAAGCCAGAAGTGGCGCTATGGCTCAAGTGGTAGAGCGCTGGCCTTGAGCTGAAGAGCTGAGGGATAGCGCCCAGGCCCAGAGTTCAGGCCCCTCGACCAACCAAAACAAAAAAACAAACATTTCCTACTTTGCCTAGATCTCTTTCCTGCTGGGACCTGGACCACATATCCCTGGTCTCACTGCCCCCTCCGGTGTCTGCCCTTGCTGCCCCATCCCATGTGTGAACCACCTCTGCCCCTTCCTCATGTCTGTACCATGCTGAGCCATTATGCACCCAAGCCTGCTGTCATAATTTGCTTCAACAAAAGCAACAATGATGCTTTTCTGTATAGGCTCTAGGAACCAAGTGTGTTTTGCTAATGGCATTGAATATAAATGCTGATCAGATCAAGTTAGTGACCTTCCTAGAGCGTCAGGGGCCATGGTAGCTCTCACATGCAGCTCCTGCTGCTGACCTCCCTCATAGGCCCCGACTCCCTACTTTGAGTCAGCAGAGAAATGACTGAGAAAGCAGTGAGTAAGCATGGGGCCTTACCTTGCCCTTTGGTTTCTCAGCTCAGTGTGGCTGCCCCCTGTACTGACTTAAGCTCTTCAAGTGCACACCAGTGGTCAGACCTGCTGTGAACACATGCACGCTCCCTGCTGAGACGGCAGCCGAAGCACATGTGTGGTGGATGCATTCCCAAGAGCCATTAAGTGTGTTAGGAGATGTCTGCATACCGATAGACTCTCCCTCCTGCCCCTTCCCTTCCATGTTGTTTCTCTAGACTGGCTAGTACATGCCTTTGATACTCCTGCTTTTGTTTTCAGAGTTGGCAATATCCTGTTCTCTGTAGAAACTCAAACCACAGAAGAAAGGACACAGTTGTATCATGCTGAAATAGATGCACTTTATAAAGATCTGACAGCCAAAGGAAAAGTATTGATTCTCTCATCAGAATTTGGGGTAGGTTTCATTTGTTCCCCAACACTTTCTACAAATGTCTCATGAGTGTTTTAAATCTCCCATCCCTTAGTTGGGCACTGGTGGCTCACACATGTAATGCTAGCTACTCAGGAGGCTGAGATCTGAGGATCATGGTTCAAAGCCAGCCTGGACAGGAAAGTCCATCTCCAATTAATCACCAGAAAATCAAGTGGTAGAGTGCTGTCCTTGAGCCGAAGAGCTCAGTGACAGTACTTAGGCCCAGAGTTCAAGCTCTATGACCAACGACCCCCCAAAAAAAAACCCTTGATGAGATGTCTTATGGTTGAAGTCAGATTGAATTGTCTTGTAAATCACTCTTCTAGTATTGTTTTTCCAAAGCAAAAATACAAATTTATGAGGTTTTTTTTTTTTCCCAAATTAAAAACCAGATTTTTTTCTTAAGAGTTTCTTAAGTCCAGGCTTTGATAAGATGTAAATGAGGAAGTTGGTCCACAGTGAAGATTGCCTGTGACTCTCCTTATTTTTTTCTCTCATTTTCTTCCCTCAGTCCTGGTTGCTGCTTCTAATCTAAGTTGGGGGCTGTCTGTACCCTTTTGTTAGAAAAAGAGCTGTGTCACAGAAGCGAGCAAGCGTGGGAAGAGGCATGCCTCTTCTGCTGAGTGACGCTGTGTCTGTCACCCAGTGGGATGCTGGCTTCTGGCCTAGGCTGTAAGTTCACAAACCTTGTCCTTTTTCTCTAGGAGGCTGATGCTGTCTGCAACTTGATCTTATCGCTAGTTTACTACTTTTATAATTTAACACCTCTCTCTCGAGGATCTAGGTAAGTGATGTCCTGTTGTGAAGATTGCTAAGATTTACCATGTATTTTTTGGGGGGCTACGCTTCTTGTTATGAATATCTGTACAATAGTACACTAAGAGCCAGTGGCTCATTCTGTGATCCTGGCACTGGGAGGGAGAGGCAGAGGATGGTGAGCTCCTGCCTGTAATCACAGCATTCACCTGTAATCCCACTTGAGAGGGAGAGGCAGAAGATGCTGAGCTCCAGGCCAGCCTGGGCTCTATGGTGAGACCCTGTCTACATCCCTCTCTCCCTCTACCCCCTAAATTTAGTGAAATAAGACCCTGCTAAAAATGATGTGGAGCCTTGTGCTCTAAAACCCACACTAAGAATGGTACCCTTGCCTGATACCATCAGGAGAGGTAGTGGTCTGATATGGGTGTGGAGGGGCATGGGGCACTGAGCCCTATGTGTCCTTCCCCTCCCCCCCCCCCCCCCCCCCCCGTCCCCCTTAACCTGAATGGTGGCGCTGTGCATCTTCACTGTGGATAAATCCTTCTGCAGTGGGTCATGCTGGGGTCAGCTGCTCTGCAGTCTGGCTGCATCTGCGCCTGTGCTTGGGTGGGGCACCCCGCAGACCAGTGTTCATGCATCTCTGAACTTGGTGTTGTGGCTGAAATGACACGTGAACATAACTCTCTTAAATACAGCATCAGTTTTTTTGCAGTGTTTAAGAAACATTGAAACATAGGAAATAACAAATGGCGGCCTAGGACCTGTGAGGACCACTGTCAGCCACCTGTGGGCACCATCAGCCCCAGGCTGGGTCCCGGGCCAACAACAGGACAACAACAACAACTAGTAATACTTCTTTTTTCTCAGAAAGATAATGTTGGAGACATTTACTCCACCACCACCCCCCCCCCCCCTTTTTCTTGTTTTACCAGTCCTGGGGCTTGAACTCAGGGACTGCACACTGTCTCTGAGCTTCCTTAAGTTAGTAATTTTTTAATGGTAAAGTAGAAACTATTTAAAAACAAGCTGGACGCCAGTGGCTCACGCCTGTAATCCTAGCTACTCAGGAGGCTTAGATCTGAGGATCATGGTTCAAAGCCAGCCCGGGCAGGAAAGCCCGTGAGACTCCTATCTCCAATAAACCACTATAAAACCAGAAGTGGTGCTGTAGCTCAAGTGCTTGCCTTGAGCTGAAGGGCTGAGGGACAGCACCCAGGCCCAGAGTTCAAGTCCCATGGCCGACAAAAAAAAAAAAAAATTTAAAAACAAAACAAAAGTCTTAGACGTAGCTAAACATTTAATGTTAATCCAAAGAGGCCTTCCGTGGAGTTTTGTCTCACAATGATGTCTGGGTGGTGATGAATATGGTCTGAGGGCCAGGGCCGACAGCATATGTTCTATTTGCAGTGTCATCGCCTACTCCGTCATTGTGGGCGCACTGATGGCCAGTGGCAAGGAAGTGGCGGGCAGGATCCCCAAGGGGAAGGTATGTGCTCCCAACAAAGGGCACCTGGCCGGGGTTGTGGGAGACACCAGCAGGAGCAGGAGGGGTCCTGGTGGGGCCACAGGAGGGGCACCATGGGGATGTGTGGCCCGTTCCAGCGGTGGCCTCCTCTCTGTCCTAATCTTATGGCTGACTGCGTGCTCTTTCAGCTTGTTGACTTCGAAGCTATGACAGCACCTGGCTCAGAGGCCTTCAGCAAAATTGCCAAAAGCTGGATGAACTTGAAAAGGTGCGTGCCAGTGGAGGTGGCGATGGGGGTCACTGGGACGGAGGCGCCTCTGACCCTATGCGAGGGCACTTAGCCGCCGGTGTTCACTGAGGCAGGCCACGCTGCTCATTCAGGGCAGACGTAGCTCTGCTTCCAGATAGGGCCGGCCAAGGGTGAGGCATGGGTGGAAGCAAGCTTTTGCACTGCCCTTCTCAGCTCTGGGCTCAGGTCCTGTGCCGGCAAAGCGAATCCGGATGACCCTGAGCCGCAGCTCCACTCAAAGGTGGTGCTTTAATGTAGCCCAGGCAGAGACAATGCATCACTGTAGACACCGCGGCATTACATGGAGCCACTGCCATACTGCAGGCCCTCCATTTCCCAGCTCCTGATCCCAGACCCTGAGCTGCAGCTCCACTCACCAGTGGCGCTTTATCGTGGCCTAGGCAGAGATGATGTGTGCATAGTAGACCCCCCGCAGCATTGCATGGGGTCACTGCCATCCTGCAGGCCTTCCGTTTCCCAGCGCCCAGTCCCAGACCCTGAGCTGCAGCTCCGTTCACCTGTGGCAGTTTATTGCGGCCTAGGCAGAGATGATGCGTGCATGGTAGACACTGAGGCATTGCATGGGGTCACTGCCATCCTGCAGGCCCTCGTTTCCCAGCTCCCGATCCCAGAGCAGGGAAGATGGCATGAGACTGAACTCAATGGAGCAAATGCAGCCGGGGCAGCATGACCTTGTGCCTGTGTCTAAAGCACCCTCGGTTTTGCCCTTTGTGACCTTCATCCATAGGAGCCACTCTTCTGATTCCATATTGGGTCCCGTGTCTAGAGTGGAGGAGTTTGTGTCTGATAACCGCTCTCACCCAGTTTACTCCCATGAATTTTTCTTTGGGGTTTCTAGTTTGCATATTCTAGTAGTGCGATCTCAAGGTCAAAATTTGTACTTGGATTTACAGTACTTTTTTCAATTGAGCACTGCCATTCCCGGTACATGTGGACATGCATCTTCCAGCTCAGGGCTTGTGGTCTGAGGGAAGGGCTCTGTCCATGCAGTGCAGGGGAGAGAGGTGAGTGTAGAGAAACGAGGCAGGTGGGAAGGCAGCACTGTGATGCATATGCCACCGCAGACACTCACAGGTCCTTTTGTGTTCTTTCCCAAGCCACAGAGGAGGCTCTGAGCAGCTCAGGCCCCAGGCCACTGCTGGGTGCTGGGCACCATGCCTGCTGCTTTTCCCATGTTGCCCTGTGGGAGGCAGGCGTGGTGTGTGGCACGGGAATGAATGTAACATGGGCTGTGCCCCGACTTGGTGAATACTGGTAATGTCCAGACCTTCTCCTTTTCTTTCAGTATCTCACCGTCTTACAAGACTCTTCCCTCCGTGTCAGAGACGTTTCCCACGTTGAGGTCCATCATCGAGGTGCTAAACACAGACTCTGCCCCACGCTGCATCAAGAAACTCTAGTCATGCCGTGGATTTGTACATGAAGGCTCGGGCCTTGTGCTCATTAAGTTATTTTTTAAGACATGGAATTATTAAGAAATTAGGTCCTTTATTACTTTTGATACCAATTTTTGATAGGAATTGAATACTTGAAATCACTTTCCTTACTTCTCCAAACCATAACAGAAATCATGAAAGTGGGTTTTGGGGGCAAGCTGCTTGAGCAAGAAGGGAAGTGTGTGCGCACTTCCTGTGGCATCCAAGAGGCCACGGCGCTGTCCTGACAGTAAAATGTTTACTTCAGAAACCAAAAATTAGTGACTGAGCTGAGCAAAGCCAAGGAACAAGCCAGGAGTGTCTGCCTCCCTGGCTGGCGTTACACGCGCCTTCTGTGGGCGCGGTTTCACCTTGCAATGCCCGCACATGAGCTCTTGGTCTCCAGAACCGCAGATGTCCACAGGTGTTGGTGTGCCTCAGCTCACAGCCAGAACCACGGATTCTGCACACACAGTATTTGCCGTTGTCCTGACACTGAATTACCGAATCATGTGTTTCTCTTCTTTGTTGGAAAAATAAATGTAAACCAAAGTGATTTCTGTAAATCACTGATTTGGGCACTGGGTTATCTATGTTTTTATTTTGTGAGCAAGTTTTGCATTCAGGTATAAGAACATTTAAAAAGTTGCTCATTCCTTTTTTTTAGGCAGGGTGAATGGCAGTTCATTAAACTGTTGCCAATTCCAAATCTCCTTCAGGCTTGGTTCCATATTTTTGTTAAGCAAACGGCTCACTATGTGCTGCTGTCTGGTTTTCATTAGGCTAATGAGCCACTGGCAAGCTCCAGCCCTGCACTGGGCTGTGCGCGTGCCCTTCGGACTGATGCTGACCTGGGAACCGAGGCAGCTCGAGCCCTTGCCCCCAGCGCCCTGAGTGCCTCTCTGCAGACGTCTTCTCCCGAGTCCAAGGCTGCGCTCAGAAAGCACTAGCATCTTCATTTCCAGTCTCCAGGCAGGACTGGGGACTCTGGGCCTTGAGGTTCAGCAAGCGGTGGCCATGTGGTGCTGGGACCCCTGACCAGCTCTGCCGGAGCCCAGGCCTGCCCGGCCCTGCCAGCAATGCTATTTCATACACTGCCACGTGACAGCTGTGTGGGTCCCTGCATTCTCCATCCCGGGTGACCACACCGGCCCAGCCTCTGCACGTTGGAGGAGCTCGGGGGACAGCCGAAGCTGAGGATGAGATGGTGAAACTGGTGGCCTGCTTGTGTTGGGGACTGAATTCAGAGCCTTGATGGGCCAGGCACACGACAGCATTGAGCCACATCCTCAACCCAAGCCAGAGGCTCCCTGTCCGCTCTGGCCAAGGTACCTAGTCCTTGAGCAGGAGGTCCGCTCCATCCCCAGGCTGGGCTCTGTGTCTGGCCTACAGGAATGTGCACGGGATGTCTGAGGGGTGAGTGCAAGCAAGCTGAGCACTGGACAGATTAAACAAAGCAGAAGCCAGTGGTTAAAGTTACCTGTAAGCATCTAACAGTCTGAAGCACGTCTCCATGAGCCTGCTTAAAGGAAAAACTTAAGTGCTGCTGAGCCATGCCTCGGTTTCTCTGGTTTGGTGGTCGAGCTGTCTTGCTAGAGCTGCTTCAGGCTATTTTCTCTCCCTCTGTACATGACCTCTCTCTTGCACTCATTCACTTTGGGTCTATTAAAAATATTTTGAAGCCAGGCACCGGTGTCTCATGCCTGTAATCCTAGCTACTCAGGAGGCTAAGATCTGAGGATCACGGTTCAAAACCAGCCCAGGCAGGAAACTCTGTGAGAGCTGGGCACCAGTGGCTTATGTCTATAATCCTAATTACTCAGGAGGCTGAATATTGAGTTTTAGAACCAATCCAAGCTGAAAAATCTCCTGTTAACCAGCAAAAGCCAGATGTGGAGGTGCAGCTCCAGTGGTATAGTACCAGCAAAAAGGCTGAGGGGGAGGGAGAGGCCCGGGGTTAAAACGAAATAGGAAATATCTGAAACAGAAGTATGGTTGTGGTGTCTTGAGCCTGTGGGTCCAGGTGTAGAGCTGTGGACTGGGGACAGGTCCGCCTGCATGGTCCTCACCGGCACAGCCTGGCTGGGTGCAGGACACAGCCAGCTGGATGACGATGAGCTCGTGGGTAAATTTGCTGTTTTCCACGTACTCACTGCTTCTCACTTAACACTGGCACAGAGAGGGCAGAGCACCTGGGGAAAGAAGAAAAGGAGAAAGGAAACAAATAGAGCTGTGACTCAAACCTGGGCAGTCTAACTGAAGAGCCTGAGTATTTTATAAACTTCAAGCTGCCTCTAGAGACTGAGGCAAAACACCAGAAGTCCCTTCCCAGGTGTGGCCTGTGGTCAGGCCTAGGACTAGAGCTCAGCTGAGGCCTCCTGCCAGACCCCGCCCTCCCTGCGACTGCAGGGTCTCAGCACACTCCTGTCCAGTCAGGGTTGGAGCACGGTGCAGACTTGCTAACTTGGCAATGAAGGGATCCCTGTCTGCAAAATCCATGCTTCCTGCCAGGGGCTGCTTCTTGAGAGACCCCTGCCATGAGTGCTGAGAGGGTCAGGGGAAGGTGGCCTCACGGTTCACCTTTTTACTTGGTGTTGTTGAGTGTGCACCGTGTAAATGGCTAGAAATCTCCGAAACCCAGAGTGGGCAAAGGAGAATAGCATTCCATGAAGTTTGAGCTGAAGATGTAGCCTGGGAGGACACCAGTGGTCCATGTGATGGGCGGGGCTGCCCACCCACAGGCCCCGACTCCCCTTCCCTGAAGGAGCACTTGGGGAAATCACATTCGACACTGAGCTCTAAGATGGGCCATGGTGACCATCTCCTACCTCCTGGTGTGTGGCTATGGACTATGATCCACAGCAGCTCTGCTACCATAGGAGGGGAAACAACTCCGGACCCACCCCAACTCCACACTCTCCTGCCAGCTGTGACATATGTGATCCCATTTCCACACCAGTTCTGTGACACCTCTACACACATGATCCTGTGTCCACACATCAGGTCTATGACACCTCTACACATGATCCCATGTCCACACACCAGCTCTGTGACACCTCTACACACATTATCCTGTGTCCACATACACCAGCTCTGTAATACCTCTACATGTGATCCTTTCTCCACACACCAGCTCTGACACCTCTACACATGTCCACATGCCAGCTCTGTGACACCTCCACCCAGTGATCCTGTGTCTACACATAATAGCTCTGAACACCTCTACACAGGTGACCCCATATCCACATGCTAGCTTTGTGATACATGCGCATGATCTCACATCTACATACACCAGCTCTGACAACTATAACACATGATCCCATGTCCACACGCCAGCTGTGACACTACCACACTTACTGTGTCTGCCCTCACGTGGTGGGGTAAGAGGGTTTGAAACCACTGGTCCTACTCTGCCCATGTGTCTTCATCAGTTTCTTAGAGGAATTCAGGGAAGGGGCACAGACATGCAGACTAGTACACCTCATTATATACTTAGCTTTTGGCTGATTTTGTTTCTCCCTGGAGCATAAAAAATGTATATATATACATATGTTATATATACATATGTTTGTGTACATACACACACACACACACACACATTTCTAATGGAGCCAACTCCTCTGTCAGGAGCCATTTCAATCCCCTGTTTGTTAAATCTGAGGTAATGTTTTAGTTTGCTCTCAGCAACTGGAGAGTAGACTTTGCATTTGGCCCATGTTTCTAAATGATCTCAGACTTACAGTAGTTTGAGAGCTTCTCCAGCAATAAATCACGCGTGATTCAAAAATGGGATTGTGTTTTCTGAAAATACTTAGTTTCGCAAAGCCAATTGGAGGAGGTCCAGTTTCTGTTGCCAGAGACCCTTCCCATGGGAGCTTCAAAGCAAAATGTCAGGAATTGGTCTTCATAAAAACCATTGTTCTTGTTGGCGCTGGGGTTTCAACTCAGGATCTCAAGTGCTCTTTTCTTTTTCTTTTTTGTCAGTCATGGGACTTGAATTCTGGGCCTGAGCACTGTCCTTCAGCTCTTCAGCTCAAGGCTAGCACTCTACCACTTGAGCTACAGCACCACTTCTGGTTTTCTGGTGGTTTATTGGAGTTTCACAGACTTGGGCTGGGAAAGTGGCTCAGTGGTAGAGTGCTTGCCTTGCATGTATGAGGCCCTGGGTTTGATTCCTCAGCACCACATAAGCAAAAAGAAAAAAGCCAGAGGTGGTGCTGTGGTTCAAGTGGTAGAGCGCTAGCCTTGAGCTGAACAGCTGAGGGACAGCGCCCATGCCCAGAGTTCAGGCCCCACGACTGGACCTCCCCCCCCCCCCCCCCACAAAAAAAAAAAGTTTCACAGACTTTTCTGCCTGGGCTAGCTTTGAACCTTGATCCTCAGATCTCAGCCTCCTGAGTAGCTAAGATTACAGGCCTGAGCCACCAGCAGTCGGCTTCAAGTGCTCTTACTGCTTTAGTTATTCCTCGGGTAGAGTCTGGCCTCACACCTTGGCCCTCCTATTTTTTATACCCAGCTGGGATTCCCAGTGTGAATCACCATGTCTCATGGATTGAGATGGAGTTCTGGCTAATTTTCTGCCCAGACCAGCCTCCTGAATGATTCCTCCTGAGAAGCCAGGATTACAGCAAATTGTGAGGATTTAAGGCAGAGTAGGGCCATAGAGCATCAACTTAAATAGGGAGTACTAATACTAAAAAGTCAATTCTCCAAGCTTTGGTTCCATGAGTAAGGCCAACCTGTCCTGTGGTGGCTGCTACATTCCCTTACATCCCTTTAGTAGGCTGATAACATTCAGGAGGATCTGTTATTGTGGAGTTGGCCAAAAAATGCACTCTCTGGATTCTGAGTGGGTGGGAAGAGGATAGGATGGCTTCACATTTAACAGCCTCATGTCTGTGTCTGACTCTTATGAGACAGCTGTCAGTGCTAGCTGACCAGCCAAGACATGTTACAACGTTGTTAAAGCCAGCCATTGGGTGTTGAGTGGAGTGGCCTTCTATCATCTCTTTTGTGGTCTGAAGTGTCCGTGGCATTACTGTCCACTGAAGCTGGTGCCACGTGAGCACAGGGTCGACTTCTCTGCTGTAATTCTATTTGCCGCTGCACTGTGGAGGTTTATGGCCTTCCTGGTTCTCTGCCCTGGGCTGCATTACAGCTAGTGCAGGCCCACACCTGGTGTTTGTCAGGCTCCCAGCAGGTCGGCAGGTTTCTGGTGTACTGGGCTTTGAACTCAGGTTGTGGTGCTTGTTGGGCCATCACTCAGTCCCTTGAGGCCTCCCCCACCTTTGCTTTAGCGTGTTTCAGGGAAGGCCTCCCACTTGCCCCTGGTGACTCACAACTTTGCCTCTGGGTCTGCTGGCTGCAAAGGGGGCCCCTGACCCCTGACTCTTCCCTGAAGGCCCTCCAGACCAGGCTGCCCTCTGTCTGCCCAATGGCTGGAGCCACAGGTGTGGGTCACCATGCCCGGCTGCAGCTGTTCTTCGTGCCGGCCCGGCCCTGCTTGCTGCCCACTGTGGGTTACAGAGCTGGGAGGGGGAAGGGGGAAGAAGGCAGAGGGAAGAGGGGGACGGAAGAGGGGGACAGAAGAAGGAAGAACAAAAGAGGGGGGCAGGGGAAGAGGGGGGCAGGGGAGAGGAAGAAGAGGGGGAAGGGGAAGAGGGAGGGAAAATGGGGAAAAGGAGAGGAAGGGGAAGTGGGGGGAGGGGAAGCAGGAGAAGGGGAAGAGGGGGGAGGGGAAGAGGGAGGAGGGGAAGCGGGGGAGAGGGGGAGGGGAAGTGGGAAGCTTGAGAAGGGGAAGCAGAGGGAGGAGAGGGGAAGCAGGGGGGAAGAGAAGGGGAAGCAGGGGGGAAGAGAAGGGGAAGTAGGGAGGAAGAGAAGGGGAAGCGGGCCACGTGGAGAAGTTTCCTTTGTCCGTGGCAGCGGTGGAGAACCGGCCTCGGCAGCAGCTCTTCCGGGCCAGCACAGTTGGGCCCGCCGCCCAGGAGCAGGCGACCCTGGAGGGGACGCGCCCGCTGCGGGGAGGGGCGCGGCGGGGCGGGGCCCAAGCGCAGGCCGGTTGGGGGCGGGGCGGGGGGCGGGGATTATGGGTATTAAGGGCTGGGCGAGATCCGGGGCGGAGCCTCTGCGGGGGTGAGCCCCTCGGACGGCTGGCAGGGGAGGGGGCGGAGCCTTGACGGGGGCGGAGTCTCTACGGGGGTGAGCCCCTCGGGTGGCTGGCGGGGGAGGGGGCGGAGTCTGCGCTCCGCGTTGGAGTGAAGACCGGAGCGGGCGGGGCGGGTCGGCGGGGCGGGCCGGGCCGGCGGGGCGGGCCGGGCCGGCGGGGGGGAGGCGGGGCGGCCGGCCGAGACGGCGCGCGGGCCGGCCGGCGCGTCGGGCTGGGCATGGCGTCCATGGCGGCGGCGATCGCGGCCTCACGCGCGGCCGTCATGAGCGGGAGCCGGCCGCTGGACGAGCGCGAGCGCAAGCGCTTCACCTACTTCTCGTCGCTGAGCCCCATGGCGCGCAAGATCATGCAGGACAAGGAGAGGGTCCGCGAGCAGTACGGGCCCGAGTGGGCGCGGCTGCCGCCCGCCCGGCAGGACGAGCTCATCGACCGCTGCCTGCTGGGGCCGCGCGCGCCGCCCGCCCCCGCGGGGCGCCCCGGCCGCTTCCCCGGGCCCGGGCCCACGGGCCAGAAGGTGGTGCGCTTCGGAGACGAGGTGGGTGCGGCGGGCGGCCCCGGCGGCGGGGGCGGCCGGAGCCTCGCTGTTCCCGGTGGGAAGCGGGGGGCAGGGGCGTCGAGCGCGGCCAGGACGGGCGGGGCCTCCGCGGCGGGCGGCGGGCGGCGGGCGGCGGACGGACGCGGGGGACGCGGCCAGCCCGGGAGCCCCGGGGAGCCAGGCGGGCCCGGCAGCTCTTTGTTCGCTTGCGCTCGGCGGCGGCTCAGGCCTTCCCGACCCAACTTTGCGGTGGAGTGGGGAGCGGGCGGACTGGGAGGGAGAGAGAGGGAGGGAGAGGGGGGGGAGGGGGAGAGGAGAGGGAAAGAGGGGGGAGAGGAAGGAGAGGGGAAGGAGGGAGAGGGGGAGGGAGGAGATGGAAGAGAGGGAGGAGGTGAGGGGTTGGGGGAGGGAGAGGGAGGAGATGGAGGAGGAAGAGAGGGAGGAGAGGGGGAGGGAGAGGAAGAAACCGGGAGAGAAGAAAGGGAGAGGGGGAGGGAGGAAGAGAGGAGAGGGAGAGATCCCATGCAAGTCAGACGGGAGGTCTTCGAGGAAGTTGAGCACTGTGGAAGGAGTCCAGTCAGGACCGGGAGCTGGCTCCAAAGTTCAGTCAAGCATGCGGATTCTTTTATTAGCACAGAGCGATTTTGGCCACAAACACCTCCTTGTCGGGGGAGCGTGGCAGGCTGGGCTGTGCTGCCAGCATCACCTCATTCTGAAAGAATTGGAAGGAAATCCTCCGTGGACTTTTTCATCTTTGAGGGCTTTTGCCAAAGAAAAACAAGTGATGTGGCCAGAGATGAAAATACAGGTCTTAAAATGTATTTCTGGGGCTGGCATGTTTCCCTGTGAAACTTTGCATCTCCTGAGAAGACACGTGTGCTGTGTGTGTGCCCAGGTTTGACAGTAGAGAGCAGGCCGTGCCTCTGGAAGGGTGGGGGTAAACAAACCGTGAGGGAGCAGAGCAAACACTGGGGTTGCTGCCCCACCAGGAGTCATGGCTGGTCCGTACATCCTCAGAAAGCCAGGGTCACTGGTAGAAAAGAGACAGCCAGCTGATACTCAGATTCCTCATCTGAAGTGCCCTTCCAGGAGACCCCCAACCTGACTCTGTGTGTGTATGTGTGTGTGTGTGTGTGCGCACGCATGTGTGCATGCCCTGAGAGTCTTTGCTTAAGGCTAGTGCTCTAGCACTTGAGCCACAACTCCACTTCCAGCTCTTTGTGGTTAATTGGAGATAAGAATCTCACAGACTTTTCTGCCCAGGCTGGCTTCAAACCTTGATCCTCAGTGCTTGCTTGGCCTCCTGAGTGGCTAGGATGATAGGTGTGAGCCCCTGGCCCAACCAGCCTTTTAAGTGAGTTTTGCAGAAGGCTCTGAGGGCTTCTCTCGAACACCCCTGCCAGCCCCAGTGGCAGAGGCACAGTCTTGAATCTTGGGAACATTCTAGGGAGGGTTTGGGTACATTTCTGCCTGCAATGGCTGCGGTTGAATGACACCAGCAAGGTTAAATTCCACCACTGGACTGGGTGAGAGGTTGGTGGGGGGGGGGGGAGTTGGTTGGCAGTGGTCTCATGGTCACTTCCACAAGATGGTTCATGGAGCATCGCTGCCCTGGCACAAAGGCACCAAGGACACGGGTGGCCCAGCTGTCGGACTCAGTTTTGGGAGAAGGAACTCTGAGTTAGATCAAGTAGGCACTCCACAGCCCTTTCTGCTGTTCTCAAGATGGTGCCTGTCTCTTTGCGTGCCCTTCTCCATTGCTAATGCACTTTTGTGTCCTACGTAGCAACAGATCTAGTTGACCATCATCTTGCCATTTTCTTGTGTTGTAAAAACAACAGAAACCTAACTACTTGATGGGCCTCACAGTCCTTGGAGGCTCTGGGAGTGGTCAGGGTTCAGATGAGGGTACATAGAATAGGGGCAGCAAGTATGGCGAGTGTGTGTGTGTTTTTTTGTGTGTAATGTGCCTGTGCGTGCATGTGTGTGTATGTGTGTGTGTGTGTTTTCACCGTGCTCCGGGTGAGTAAGGCTGGAAGAGCAGGCTCTTGCTTTGATGGTTGGTCTGCCGCAGAGATGAGGTCTGTTTTGGGTGTTGAAGTTGGGAAGGGGCCCACCAGGTTTTCTTTTCTCAATTTCTTGGCAATCAACGGGGCAGGAACTTCTAAGACCTCTGTAACTGTCAGAAGCTGGAGCTTCTCATACAGTTTTTTGTACTTAGCCCCACCCCACGGTCTCGCTCCTTTAAAGACCCGCTGTTGGGAAGCTGGTTCTCCTTGAGTATTCACGAGAGGAGCTGTCAGCTTCTGTTCCCCACCTGTGTCACCCCAAGCCCTCTTGGGAAGGGCCCAGGCCTCTGCTGGAGCCCCCACCACTCCGCAGCAGCAGAGGGGAGGGGAGGGCAGGGGCCCAAGTGGTGGCAGCAGCCTGGTCCTGACCTGCAAAGGAAGCGAGGGCTGGCCAGGGGCCTGCTTGGAGCAGGCAGACACTGTGGACGGCTGTGCTGGCCGGTGGGTGCTTCTGCCTGGCATGCCCTTCCTCAGCAGGAAGGTTCTGGAAATGGCTCTCCTAGGGCAGGGACAGGTTTTTGCTTTAAAAGGGGTCATCACATATTCTGCAGCTTACCCGTGGCCCTTATCAGATAGAGGAAACCTTCAAACCCCGAATTTTTCGGGATGTGCCCCCTCTGCCGCCTATCCCTACCCCAGCCTCCTTCCACTGACCTAGCAGCGCTGTGGAGAGATGCGCATCCTCAGCTTGGTGATACCTCTGGGGCTCCGCCGGGCTCCACCCAGATGACTGGGAGCTTGGACCGCAGGTGTGCCCCTCGCACCCCTCCCTAAAAGAGGTAGCCAGGGCAGGAGTGATGTGCCGTTTCCAGCCCTCCACACCCGGCTGGATTTTGCAGGCAGTAGAACATGGAGAGGGACAGCCCTGTCCACTTCAGCAGCTCAGCAGCCCTGCCCCGTGCCCCCCCCCCCAGCTCCTCCCACAGGAACCGCGCGTGCACGTGGCTGGCTGTAGTCCTGTTCTGGAGCCAGAGTCCTGGACTCCCAGAGGCCTTTGCAGGCCAGGACCTTCCCCCCCACTGTGAATGCTGGAGGGGGGGGGGGCTGGTGGCACAGACCTCACCTCAGTGCTGTATGATGTGGGGTGCCCTTCGTGCTTCCGAGCAGCTAGCCCATACAGTGTTTGTTGTAAAACAGGCTAATTCCTTAAAAGTTGTTGGGAATTAAAATACAGAAGCAGCCACAATAAAAAAAAAAAATGCAGAAACAGCATTATAGATCCATGCAGGACTCTTCCAAATCTCCAAGCAGGAAGTCTTGTTGGGTTTGAGTTTGGCTATTTGTGTTACTGTGGATGCAGAACCTGCTTGAGACCCAGCAAGCCCCCCTCCCCCCATTCCTCCTTCCTTCCCTTCCTCCTCTTCCCGCTCTTCCTCTCCCTCTTGAGAAGTTTAGCTTGTTCTTCATTTTAGCTTTTGTTTAAAACAAGTGGGGCAGGGCACTGGCAGCTCACACCTGCAATCCTCACTACTCAGAAGGCTGAGGTTCTGGGCATTGCTTTCTGAAGCCAGCTTGGACAGGAAAGTCCATGAGACTCTTTTATCTCCAATAAACTACTCAGAAAAAGATGGAAGTGACGTCGTGGCTCAGATTGGTAGAATGCGAGCCTTGAGCGAAAAAACTCAGAGACAGAACCCAGGCCCTGAATTTAAGCCCCAGGACTGGCACAGCAACAAAAACGTAAAGAAGTGGGGTTCATTTGGGAATTGTCACTAGGGTTTGAACTTAAGGCCTCCTACTTGCTAAGCAGGCACTCTACCACTTGATTCACTCCACCAGTCCCTTTTTTCTTTTGGTTGGTCATGGGGCTTGAACTCTGGGCTTGGGTGCTGTCCCTGCGCTCTTCAGTTCAAGGTGAGTGCACTACCGTTTGAGCCATAGGGCCACTTCTGGTTTTCTAGTGGTTTATTGGAGATAAGAGTTTCATGAATTTTCCTGCACGGGCTGGCTTTGAGCTTCAATCCTCAGATCTCAGCATTCCTGAGTAGCTAGGATTACAGGCGTGAGCCACCGGCACCAGCCACCAGTCCCTTTTTGATGAGGTCTTGCTCTGTGCCTGAGCTGGCCTGGACTGCCGTCCTCCTGTTCATGACAGGCATGCACCACTCCGCCCAGCTATTAGACATCCCCTGATCTCCACCCTAGCTGGTATTACAGGCTTGTGCCACCAGGCGGGGCTTGGCCTGGTTTTCTAAGGAGGATGGAATGTGTCACTGAGGGTTGGCTCCTGTCAGTCACGTCCACGGGTGTGCTGAAAGGAGGACAGGGCAGAGGTGGCCTGTGCAGGGAGGCTGGCCTCAAGAAGTGGTAGATGGGCTCTGTGGGCTGCACCAGGAGGCTGGGGCCTGCCCCTTCAGCTGTCCCTGTGGACCGATGACCCCCTGCCCTCCCACACCTGGCCTGGTTCTCGGAAGTTGAGGTGAGGATGTGGCCTATCCTCTGAGCCACCGCTTCTGCGGCCACAGGGAAATCTGGAAACAGATGAGGCAACGGGCAGCAGCAGGAGGCACCTGAGCAGATTTGGGGTCAGTTCCCCAGTACCAGGGGAAATATTGCCCCCAATATGTAAGAAACCAAGCCAGACCAGCTGTTTGGACTTCCAGGTCACCTGCTGGTCCTGGCCTCTGACCTTCCTCCACCCACTCCACCCGCTGCCTACTTCCTGTCTGCCGTGAGTGGCCCTGAGCCTGGTGGGCAGAGTGGGAGCCCCTGCTCTGTGTGGGGCCTTTCTTTCAACCCCTCATCCCAGCAGACCATCTAAATACGGAGGCAGTTGCCAAGATCAGGCAGTTGGTAAAAGAAAGTGTATCGTAACCATCTCTTAATTCTTCCTTTAATAGACTTGATATTAGATTCACAGCAACATGGAGTAGGAAGTGGGTTTCCCGTGAGCCCGCCCCCAGGCTGGAAATGTCGTACAAGGGTGTGCCGTGACTGCGGCCCATGCCAGGCCTTCCTGATGCCTGGTGTGCTGGAGATTGAGGGATCCCGATGCCCTGTACGGAGGAGCACTGAGGTGCGCGTGTGTGTTGCGGGCCCTGGCGGCCACTACCTGTCCCCCTTCTCCGCCCTGTCCCTCCCCATGCCATATCCTGCCCTGTGCCGTGCCCGCCTTGTCTCCCCCCAGCCTTCCTGCTGGCAGAATCACTCTGTGACTTTTCAGACTGGCTTCTCCTGGTTCTCCGCACGGGGAGTACCCATGGCCGGTGTCTCTGTGTTCCTGCTGGAGGACGTGGGCGTGCCTTGTGGGGGGGCGTGATTCCTGCTGTCGCAAACACTGCGTGCTTGTTGGCTGGTGTGGGTGACGTTTTCAGCGTCAGCCCCGAGGAGCATGGAGGCCTGGTTCCCACTTGTAGCGAAGAAAGTTGTGTAGCAGCACCCCTGGGGTGCATGCTTGCTGCTCACAGGCCCAGGGTGCTGTCTGTGTACCCCTTGGCACTGAACTCCCGTGGACAGCTCCCCAGAGAGGCTGAGGCCAGCTGTCCCCTGCACGTGACGCTGGCAGTGCAGGACTTGTCCTGGGCTGAGCCTTCTCTCCGGTGCTCTCAGCATTTCCCCGCTAGAGCCACCGCTTCTGACTCCAACATCTTCCTGGTTCTGGGCCTCAGGTGCCCCCGTGGCTCCTGATCTGCCCCTATCGCCATGACAATGGAACCCGTTTCTGAGAGCTTCATAGTTGGGGGTAGGTTTTAGAAACTGACCCCTCCCCCCCCCATAGGTGGTGAGACTTAGCAACAGTACCGTTGTCTATCTCTGTGATGAGGAAGTTTGATGTCCTGCGAAGCACTATTACTGCACGTGTGCAGCGTGGTTTGTATACACCTTGTAAGCCTTCCAGTACCTGTGAGGCCTGGGCGGCCTGGGCAGCGGGTTCTGTTTCTGGGTACACTTGACAGCCTGGCCGGGCTCCAGGCCCAGTCTGTGCTGGGAGTCTGCTCAGGACCGCAGAGCTGCGCCCACATGTGCAGGTCCTTGCTGGCTGGGTCCATGGGTCTTTCTCCCAAGATGTTGTGCAACTGGAATCACAGTCCTTGGTTTTCTCAGACTGACTTCATTTACACCAAGATTTCTCAGTTTTTGTTTTTTTTTTTTACAATGTTCTATTGTGGTTATCTACTTATTTCTATAACATACAACATTTTAATCATTTGTAAGTGGTAGTACATTCACTATGTTACACAACTGTGTATCACTACCATGTATTTTCAGAATGTTCTTTACTAGGGACAACGTCTTGCTATGTAGGCCTCAAATTTGAAATTGTGATTGCTGAGATTGTATATGTGTACTATCAAGCCAGGCTGTGCTTATTGTTGTTGTTGTTATTGTCGGTTGGGGGCTTGAACTCTGGGTCTGGGCGCTGTCCTTCAGTTCTTCAGCTCAAGGTGAGCACTCTACCACTTGAGCCACACAACTACTTCCAGTTTTCTGAGTGGTTTGGTTTCACGGACTTTCCTGCCTAGCCTGGCTTGATCCACGATCCTCAGAGCGTGTGTGTGTGTGTGTGTGTGTGTGTGTGTGTGTGTGTGTGTGTGTGTGTGTGTGTGTGTGTGTGTGTGTGTGTGTATACGTGTGTGTACGTGTGTACGTGTATGTATCTATTGCCATTTTGAAATTCTGGTTTGGTCTCACGGACTTTCCTGCCTAGCCTGGCTTGAACCACGATCCTCAGAGCGTGTGTGTGTGTACGTGTGTGTACGTGTGTACGTGTGTACGTGTATGTGTCTATTGCCATTTTGAAATTCTGGAGCCCCTGACTTGTGGCAGTTGGAGCAGGCTGCCCCAACTACCACATTCTCTGGCTCAAGTTTGGCTGATGTCAGAGCCTCTGTCACTCTGGCATTTTGCAGCTTATTTTTCTTAAGTGCTTTCTTATTTCTTATTAGTTAAAATTGCAGATACCCAGGGAATCTGGCCCAGGACTTAGTTTCTTGCTGGAACCAACCAAAGGCTGCCAACCTGACACCAGATTGAGGAGAGGAAATGTACATGGCCTCTGTCTGCCACTATGTGGAAATGGAAAAGATGCCTGTGGGGTGATTCCCTGGGGACCTGGCGTCCCCAGGCCCCTGGCGCAGCCTCACTTCCCAGAGCCACATTCCACAGCCAGAGCCTTCTGTGGAACTTTTGCCAACCTGAAAGGGACTCACTCCACTCCGATTAAGTAGAAGTCAGAGTACACGCCTCATGGACGGCTCCAGCTCGGCTGTAGTAGCCGCTCCCTTCCTCTGCCCACTGGGACTGCCAGGGCCTGTGGCCTGGGTGGGAAAAATTACTAATTATGCTCTGTTTACACCTTCCCATCCCTCTGAAAACAAAGCCCTTCTGCATGGAGTTTCGGGAGCCTGGAAGTCGGTAGGCTTTGGGGTCCCCTTCTCTTAATAGGCACCACACCCAGCAGGGCCCCAGCCACTTCACCCCCACCCTGCTTGCGATGCAGCTCCCGGGCTCCATAGCTTGCATTCCTCCAGACTCATTGCCATTTTTGGAGGAGCAGAATCTGGACATTGAGAAATAGCTTGGATTTAACAAATTCCAGAGGGGACGGCATGACTCTGTCCCTTCTGGTTTTTGGAAGTTTTGCCCCACCACTGGTCCGGCCAGTCCATTCTGCAGCCTGGTGCCCAGCAGGCGTTGCAGCCGCACTGTGTGGAGGGTGTGGCAGGGGCCTGTGCCACCGGGGGACAGACCCAGCCCATGCAGGGTCCGCTTCCCTGACTGATGACACCTCCGCCCTCCAGGGCTGGGGCTGGACCCCCTCTGTGTCCCAGAGGGGAAAATCCTGGGGAACGGGTTTGGGGTGTGCAGATATGTTCATGTGTTCATATAGGGGGTGCCTGGGGGGACCCAGCTCCTCACACTGGGATGGCCAAGTGCAAGACCATTACAGCGCCTTGAGATACGCAGAGTTGGCACCATGTGATAAGCACCAAGCACCAGGGGATCCTTACACAGTTTCCCCTCCATGGGGACAGGCCAGCAGCTGTCCAGACCCCAGCATTTTTATTTTGTCTCTGCCCTTTCCAGGGGTGGGGAGGTGGGGGCGGGAGGGAAGGCCACTCCACAGAGGATGGCTGATGTGTTTGGACAGCACCCCCAGGGGTCTGGCTCTGGCCTCAGTCCTGGGGGGCCTCTGTCAGCTGTGGGAGAGTAAGATAAGACAGAATTACTGTGTGCTCTACAGAAAGGCATAAATTATCTGGAGTCATAGAGGAGGACAAGTGAAATGTGACTGTAAAAACCTTAGTATCAGCTTGAAAGCATTTCATCCTGTTGCAGTCTGTGCTGCTCAGTATGGACCACATTTTGGTCCAGAACCCGTGGCCCTTTATGCAGCTGGGGACTGGGGAGAAGTGGGTGCTCCCCAAATCCTCTCTGCAGGTCAGTGAACAGCAACCAGGCTAGGGCTCTCCCATTCTGCTGGGGCAATCAGCTGCGCAGCACATAACTAGACTCGCATTCCATCACTGGCCTTTGAGACCTCCCAAAGGGGAGCCCCAGTCCACTGGTGCTGCCTTCATTCTTTCCACAGGTCCTCGGTCAATCCCCACAACAGACTGTCCTTTTGCTGATGGTGAATTGTGTGTATGGTGTACAGTAGACTGTCCTTGTGTGGATGCTGGACTGTCCCGTCCCTGTGTGCACAGTGTACATATACCTGTCGTGTGTAGACAGTAGGCTGAGGCCTGTCTATGAGCACACAGCTCAGCCCCTTGGCTTCACTCTGGCTGGGTCTGTTGAGGGCCAGGTCTGTGTCACCCTGAGTTTGCCTGGCAGGGGAGGGCTCGCAGCAGCCTTGGCCAAAAGGTAAGGCGAGGCCTGGTTGAGATGGTTGGTATGGTCGGCCCCTTTTGGCATAGGTAGGTGTGGGCCTGTCTGCGTTTGGGCTTCAGACTCATTCTTGAATTTTTATTTTAGGACATAACTTGGCAAGACGAGCACTCTGCCCCGTTCTCCTGGGAAACACGGGTAAGTTGGGTTAGATAGAAAACGATGGAGTGGCTCTATATCTCAGCATTTGATGGCTGCAAAACCTTGTCAGCTGGATGACAGCTGTGTCGGGGGAAGGGGAGGATTGCCAGCAGTCGGGGACCAGACGTGCTTCCATGGGGGAAGTCAGGCCCCCTGACAGCCCCGAAGAGCAGTGGGCAAAGAGAAGCTCTGATGGAGCCCTAAGACCTCAGGCGCTTTCACTGGGGTTCTAGACACAGGGTGTGGGGTCCTGGAAAACTGGGTTACAGTGTGGTTCCCACGTGGGGTGGGGACTGCTGGCCTTGTGCAGTGAGATCGGAGCTGTGGTCACACATCGGAGCTGTGTGTCCATCGTCTGCTGTCCGGTGTGCTTCCTGCTCAACCCCAAAGCCCTGGCGCCCAGCGCCCGGTCTCCACCTCCCTACCCAGCCCCATGTCAAGCAAGGCGTCTCTGGCAGTTGATTTACAGGATGCAGATGTCACCAAACCCAGTGCAAGGCTGGGTGGCTCCAGCCACCCATCCTGCTCTCCACCGCTGCCCGGACTGCTGCAGAGTTTCATGTCCTGTGGTGTGGGGCCCTGGCTCCCTGCTGCTATGGGTAAGGACTCTGGGCAGCAGGGTGACTGAGGGCAGAGGTACAGCCAGGCTCAGGCTCTCCAGGGTGCTGGAGGGGCTGGCAGACAGCATGGAGGAGGCAGTGGTGGTGTCTGGAACGGCCTGGGATGTGTGGCACACACTCCCATGCATGTTCTCCTCTTCCTGCCTCAGACTCCGGCCCGCTGGGGTCAGTGAGTGTGACATGTGGGCCATTCGCCTTGCCAAGTATGCATGCCTTCACTCCACCTCCACTCTTCTCTTTCTTTCCTTTTTTTCTGGCACTGGTCCTGGCACTTGAGCCTGAGCACTGTCCCTGAGCTGCTTTCGCTCAAGGTGAGGCTGTACCACTTGAGCCACAGTGCCACCTCCAATTTTTTTGAGTAGTTCATTGGAGATAAGAGTCTCCTGGAGTTTCCTGCCCGGGCTGGCTTTGACCCACAATCCTCAGATCTCAGCCTCCTAAGTATCTAGGATTACAGGCGTGAGTCACTGGCGTCTGGCTGCTTCTTAATTATGAGATGGTGTGTGTTTATAGGCTAAGTGATGTTTTGCCCTCTGTGTACTCTGTGGAATGGTTATTGAGGGAGTCAGCATCCTGAGGTCTGTTTCTGTCTTGCAGGACTGCTGCTGTATGCCCATCCGATAATAGCTCCCCTTGCCCCCCCCCCCAGGAATTCCCAGGGGGCTCATGGTCATCTTTTCCACTCATCTGTCAGTTCTGGGAGGCAGAGGAGGCCTTGGGGACCCGCTCTGTGCCTGTCTCCTGTAACAGATGCTTCCAAAGGAAAAACCCCAGCACTTGGATTGCTCCAGACCGGGTTGGGGTAGGGGAGGAAATGCCTGTAGCAAAGCTGACCCAGACCTGACCAGCCGCCCCCCCCCCCCCCCCCGCCCCATCATCCCAAGCCCTGCAGCTTCTCTGGATTCGTCCCCTCTAGGCAGTCCTCCATCTTCCCTTAAGACCAGAGCCCAGCCCTTGGTCCCCTGCCCAGCCCCCCCTGGCAGGGGTCCTTCCACAGGCCCCTTGCCTTCCCATCATGTTTGTCCGTGGCTGGGGTCTTTGTGCAACCCTTCATCCCTCTGTGAGAGCCGCCCCCCCCCCCCCATGCTGTACAAACTCGTTTCTCATTGTTACCATCACAGCTGCTTCCAAGAGGCCCGTGCCATGACTGCCGAGCTTGAGGCAGAGCGGGAAAGCAAGGCAGGAAGAGGGAGGTGTGAGCAAGGTTGTGCCAGCCTGGCTCTGCTCCCTCCTGCATTACCATGAGATCCCAGAGGGAACCAAGTTGGAGGCAAGAAGGCCTCCAGGGCAGAGGCCAGAGCCCCTCCTCCCCTCGACCACCCACTGGGCCTCAGAGGGCTCTGCTGAGGGCCAGGCCTGGCAGGCACGCATCCCCAGACCCCGGCCCCATGGCCCTTCGGGTCTTGGGTTCTGCTTGGGGTCCTCTTCTCGGTCCCTTACTGATGGCCTCCTCTGCATGCGGCCGCCCACTGCTCTGCCCGGCTCTCCGGCGCCAGGCCAACTGCTGAGGCGTGTGTGGCCAGGCTGGGGGAGGGGAGAGCCTTGGGAAGCAGGCCGTGCCTGACACTGCCCCCTCAGCTCCAGCCGCCTGCACAGGCTGGCTTCTCCCTGTGGGATGCCACTTTACTGAGTGATTCTGGAAGTTTCTGTATTTCCCTCTCCCTTACCAACAGGGAGGGAGTAAGGTTGGGTTTTTGGCACATTTGTTAGGATTTGCACGATGGTATTTTTGGTAATAGTTTTGTAGCCTTTATCTCCGCAATGGAAGCTTGCTCGTGGCTGCCCAGCCAGCAGTGAGCTTGGGCGGCCTGCACCCCATACTGAATTGCTCACATTCCTTCCCAGTGAGCGGGCGCAAAAATAGATCCTGGGCTGTGTTGTGGTCTTACTGTTTTTAGAACAGACGTGGACAGCTGAGACCTCGCTACCCGCGTGGGTGGACTGACTGGGGCTCCGGGCCGGCCCTGGGCTTGGGCTTGGAGGGCTGCAGGGGCCCTGAGCACAGGGGCTTCCTTCCTTCTCCCCTTTTCCTGTCCAGGCCTGACATGCCTGGGACCCCTTGGCTCATGGTGTCTTGACACCACGTTCTGCGTGGCTGGCCTGGTGCTGCCGGGGCCAACATGGGCTCCTTTCTCAAGAGCCCAGGCCTGGGAAAGACGAGCTGTTTTCCAGGAATAGGAAGCTTGTGTTTGGTGCGTCACCGTCTTGCCCCTTCCAGTCTCCCCTCCCCAGCCCTGACTGCCCAGTGCCCCAGGGCAGGTGGCCTTGTGTGCCCTCTGGGGCTGGTGCTACAGTGCGGAGTCTGGGCTTCACTAGCCAAGCGGGAAGGGTGATTCTGCTCCACTCATAGCTGGGACAAGCATGGGTGTAAGTCCTCAGCACTCACCCAGCGTCCGAGACCGGCCAGCCCTGCCGTGTCCACCCCCTGGTGGGGCCGCAGGGCGCCGGTGGCTCTGCAGCGGGCTCTGTCCCTGTCCTGCCCCACGTCTGCCTGGCCCGGTGCAGGGCCCTTGGCTGGGCATGTTGGGCTCTCGTCTTGTGGTGTCCACTTGTGGCCGCTGCTATCTGGCCTTCGCTCTGTTCCATGGTCTCTTGCGGAGCTCAGCGGGATGTCAGGGCTCTGCCCTTGGCACCTCTGCACATGGTCCTGGGATAGCATGCCACAGAGCACTCCTTTTTTTGTTTGGTTTTGGCTTTGGTTTTTGGAGACTGGGTGCCACCGTCCCAGGTTGGGCTGGATCTCCCAGACCTCAGCCTCAGCCTTCAGAGTTCTGGGTTGCAGGTATAGATACCACATCCAGCTGTATCAGCATGTTTGACAGGCAGATGCCAGGAAGGCACCCTGGGCTGGCGGGCTGGAGAGCGGGGGCTGCGTGCTCAGAGCTGGAGGAGGCGGGCTCCTGGCCATGGTGTGCAGGGGAGCGGCCTGTGAGGCCCAGAGTGCCCCTTAACTCATCTCTTTTTCAGAGACTGCCAGGATGGGGCGGGGGCAGGGGGTGGGCCTGTGGAGAGACAGGCAGCCCCTCGGGGTCAGGGGTTAGCCCAGGAACAGAGAGTGGGAATCAGAGGATTCAGCGGCCTACAGCTGTGGACAAGGGGGAGGGAAGCCTGCATGGAGTCTCAGAGGCAGAACAGAGCATGGGGGGGGGAAGGGGGGGCGCCACCCTGTCCACCTGCATGATTGAGTTTTCCTGGGCTGCGGACATGCAGGACAGTGGCCTGTCTGTCAGTGGTGGGGACACGAAGCCCTGGGCAGCACACGAGGTCCTGGGTACCATGCAAGGTCCTGGGCACCGGGCCCCCTGGTAGAGCCGGGATTCTCCAGTGAACCACAGCGACTCGGCAGAGATAGGCCCTCCCCTCCCCTTCCTTCCCATCCCATGGGGTGTGGGGTGCTCCCTACCTGGTGAGGAAGAGGAGCAGGACCCTCACTAGCCTGCAGTGGGCAGGTCTGTCTGTCTGTTGAGAACACTGAGGCTGCGCTTTCTTTGTAAAGCTAAGGTTGCCCTAAACACGGGACAAGCCACAGACATGTGAGAAGATTTGCTTCCTCGGTTCTTTGTTGCTGTGGTGGTGATCTGGCCTTGGAGCCCACGCCTGGCTGCCTCCAGCTCTGTGGCCATCCTGCCGCTGGGAGTCCCTGCCACCCCCACACCACAGTGTCCAGCCTTGTCCGAGCCTCTTCACACAGATTCCACCAGAGATCCCGAAAAAGCCTGCAGAGCCCAGTGCGCTGTTCCACAGACTTCCTCATGCTGCAATTTCCAGACCCGCGTCAGCGCCTTCTCCAAGGCAGGGCTACTTTTGAGCTACTTTTAGCAGTTTGTTGATTCAGAGAAACCATCATGTCTGTGCCCGCTCAGCAGAACCCGGACGGATGTGTGGTGATCCTGTGTCCGGGGGCCGGCCCACGCCCTGGTCCCTCAGCAAGGACTGGGCAGCAGTCCATGCCTCCGTCCCTCAGCAAGGACTAGAGCCCAGTTCTGTTATATTCTGCGAAAGAACTTGTATGCATGTTGTTCCTGTCCTGACTCTTTGTGGGAGGCTGAGTGTAAAAGTGATAAGATAGAGGAAATTTCAAGACGTCACAGTGTTCACAATGTGGCACCATTAGCTAGATTTATCGTGAGAATGCAGGCAAAGCAGAGCAAGAACATTTGAAAAATACACAGTTTCACCAGAAAAAGGCCTCCTGTACAGCTGCAGCTCAGAGGGGCAGCCGCTGAAGAGATTAACGCCATTAGAGAAGAAGCCGGGCCAGGCACCAGTGGTGCACACCTGTGATCTAGCTTCTCAGGAGGCTAAGAGCTAAGGATCGTGCTTCAAAGCCAGACTGGGTAGGACAGTCCAAGAGAGTCTTTAACTATTAGAAACCAGAAGAGGAGCTGTGGCTCAAAGTGGTTGAGCGCTACCCTTACACTCAGGGACATCATCCAGGCCCAGATCTCATGCCCCCTGACCTAAAATAAAAGAAAATCCTAGCTGGATTACAGGTCAGAGGATTGAGTTGGAAGCCAGCCCAGAGAGAAAAGTCTGCAAGACTTTATCTCCAAAATAACCAGCAAAAAACCAGGGTGGAATCATGGCTCAAGTGTAGAGTGCCAGCTAAACAAACTGAGCAGGTGTGAGGCCCTGAATTCAAAGGAAAAAAAGGCAGCTAGTATGCCAACAGGATAGACGTCTTGAAGGAATCACCAGGATTATCTGTCCCTGCTCCATTTTACGGAGAGCCTGGGGGTTTCTTGTTCCAGGGCTGCTGTAGCCATGCACAGCCTCCCCATTGGCGTGTCCCTGAGGTGCTGGTCGCAGGCATGCGGGATGCAGGCTGTGGGGGTGAGGCTTCCTCCCAGGCTTCACAGGAAGGCCGGTAGGGCCAGGCTGTGTGTGGCAGGGCTGGGGTCCACAGTGGCCATCCAGCAAGTTAGAGATGTCAGTGACCCACTGTCTGCTGAGCACTGAGCAGAGCCTGGTGGTCAGCGGTGCTGGGAAGGGGTCTGGGACCTGAGATTTTAGACCCCAGGCCCGAGCTCCCGAGTTCCATGTCCAGTCCGGCCACCATACACCAAGACAAGATGAGGTGAAGGGCAAGAAGCCATGGGAAGACAGTGCTTCAGAACACCTTCAGCCATCTTTGTTATCCAGACATAAGCCAGCACTGAAGTAGACTGGGAGGGGAGCCGGGGTGGGGGTGGGGGGTGGGCTGGGGTGGGAGGTGTGTCCGGGGTCTCAGGGAACTAGGGGGGAGGGGCAGGGATGGGAGGTGTGCCTGGGATCTCAGGGAGGGGAGGGGGGGCCTGGGGCCAGAGGTGTGCCTGGGGTCTCAGGGAGCTGGGTGGAGGGGCAGGGGCGGGAGGTGTGCCTGAGGTCTCAGGGAGCTGGGTGGGCGGCGTGGAGGGGCAGGGGCAGGAGGTGTGCCTGGGGTCTCGGGGGCAGAGGTGGGGATGGAGGGGCTGGGGCGGGAGGTATGCCGGGGTCTCAGGGGGGTGGGGTGGGAGGTGTGCCCGGGGTCGAGGGGGGGCAGGGGGCGGGGTGGGAGGTATGCCCAGGGTTGAGGGAGGGGTGGAGGGGCAGAGGCAGGAGGTGTGCCCGGGATCTCAGGGGGCAGGGGCGAGAGGTGTGCCCGGGATCTCAGGGAGCAGGGGGCGGGCAGGGGTGGGAGCCCCGGGGGGCGGGGGGGGAGTGAGGGGAAGGGGTGGGAGGTGTGCCCCAGGGGTCTCTGTCACAGGCTGGATTCAGTTGACTGCCATTCCAGTCTTGTCTGGAGGGTTCCAGAGTCCTTGCTACCCCATTGTCATTGGTCCAGCCTGGTTGGGGTCTGTCTCCAAGGGCAGCTTTGGCCCTTCATCATAAAGAGGTTCTGCCCAGTCCTGTCCTCCCTGGGTCCCAGGGTGATTGCAGCTTGAGCACAGAGAGAACAGCTGAGAGCAGACACAGCATGGTGGCCAGGAAGGGAGCCTGGCATGCCCAGCAGATGCGGCTTTTGAGAACCTCTTTCAGGCTGGCCCAGCCCTTAGAGGTTGCATCATGCGGATGCAAGGGCTGAACCAGGAGTAGGGAAGCCTGAGGAGGAGGAGGAAGAGGAGGGTGGCTCTGGTGTTGATGAGTCACATCCTGGACTGCTGACGTCCACAGAGAAGCTTGTGACATAGACAGGGTCTTTCTGGTAGAAAACGTCGGCCAGGTCTGACCATCCTTGCCCAGCCCCTCGCCCGCCCTGCCACAGTTTTCTAGGGCTGACCACCAAGGAAAAGTTGAGGCCCAGCTTCTGGGCAGCCCTCTCACCCACATGGAGGGCATCTGGGTCTTGACTTCTCTGTTAGTAAAACTGCTCCTGGTGTTTTAAACAACTGTTTTTAGAGTCTTGGTGTTGGAACTCCAGACCTTGGGTTTGCCAGACAGGTGCTCTACCACTTGAGCTCTGGTCCCTGTCCTTTCACTTTTAGTTTATTTTCACATAATGTCTTAACTTTTCCCAGGGTGGTCTCTGATCTTTCTACCTCTGCTAGATAAAGCAGCCGGTCCACAGGCCTGGGATGCTGCGCCCACCTTTGGGATAGATTTTATTAATTTTTTTTTTATCGGCCATGGGGCTTGAACTCTGGGCCTGGGTGCTTTCTGCTTTCCTTCAGCTCTTCAGTTCAAGGCGAGCACTGTACCACTTGAACCACAGTGCCACTTATGGTTTTCTGGTGGTTCATTGGCGATAAGTCTCACAGACTTTCCTGCCCAGGCTGGCTTTGAATTGCAATCCTCAGATCTGAGCCTCCTGAGTAGCTAGGATTACCGGCATGAGCCTGTTATATAGGTGAGGTACAGAGGGGTTACAGTTACAAAGGTCAGGTAAGGAGTGCATTTCTCATTTTCTCCCAGTAAGTTGTGTAGTTCACTGTCAACATAGTGTCTAGTGAGATCACTGCCACATTGTTCTCCCTTTGTTCCACCATTTCCAAAACAAATAAACTTACTTGTAAGACAAAAAGTACAGGAAACAAAAATAACAAAGGAGAAAAGCACAAAAAAGTAGTGAAAATCCTCTTGTTTCCATTTCTTGGGAGTTCATTTCCATAAGCATTTTATATGACGGTATGCACATAGCTGTTGAGCCTTTGGGATTAGATTGGTTTAGAAAGGACAGAGTGGTAAATCGCTTGTCTGCAGATAGGGCCGATGCTTGTGTCTGCCCCATTGTGAGACGCTCCACGCCTGGTTGATGTGCACAGCTCAGCAGGGTCAGGTTTGGAGGTCGCTGTGGGTGGCAGGACAGCTTTGGACCTGAAAGATATCTGGTCTGTGCTGGAGTGGCCCCCAGGCTTTGGCATCCAGGTGCATCGCTGGCCACTGGCCCCTGCAGAGCCCGGGGCCTCTTGAGCCCAGTCAGGCCCAGCCTGCGGCAGCCCCTCTGCAAATGGGAGCCACTGGGGAGCCGATCATCATCCTGGAAGTGCACACACAGTCCTGAAAACAGCCCCTCAGAACAGACCGAGTTCCGGCAGGAGACGGCAGTTTGTACGGGTGTGGATGTGTGTGGATGTGTGCGTGCCATGCTGGGGAGGGCTGGCCCAGGGTTGTGCTGTCAGCTTTCTTTCCTTTCTCTCTGTAGAGTCAGATGGAGTTCAGCATCTCCTCCTTATCCATCCAGGAGCCGAGTGCGGGCGTCTCGGTCAGCGAGCCACCGAGGCCTCCTGCCAAGGCTTCCCAGGGTACGCCGGGCCTCAGGCCCCCCCAGGGCAGCCGGTCCTCCAGCCTGGATGCCCTGGGGCCCAGCAGGAAGGACGAGGAAGCGGCCTTCTGGAAGGTCAATGCGGAGCGCTCCCGGGAGGGGCCGGAGGCCCAGTTCCAGTCTCTGACCCCCAGCCAGATCAAGTCCATGGAGAAGGCAGAGAAGGCCTCGCCAGCCAGCTGCTGGCAAGAGCCAGCCCCGAAGGACCGGGAGGCCAAGGCTGCCCACCGGGAGCAGGTCCCACCCAGCACGGAAGGGGAGCAGGAGAGGCCACAGGCTGTCCCCGCTCCTGCTGACCCAGAGCCTGGGAGGAAGCTGCCGGCGCTTGGCGCCGGGCTGGAGGACGAAGACCGTCTGTTCTTGGAACCCACGCTGTCTCAGGTAGGCGCCCCCCCCCCCCCCCCCGCGTGCACAACTGCCTGGGTGGCCACGGTGCCGTGTTCCCCTCCTCCCTCCCTCCCTCTTCCTCCTGTGAGCTCTGCCTGCCCCTCTGTCCCCTTGCCCATGGGGAGTTCGGGGGGTTGGAGGTCAGTGGGAGGAGGGTGGACACCTGCCCAACCCAAGGGGGTCTGGAAAGAGGAAACCGCAGGTGGTGGTGTGGGAGCTGGCAGGCCCAGGCACAGACCAGGGCCGCGGGAAGGGATCCGACTCCAGCCTGTCCTGATGGGTGGGGTTAGGTACCGGGGCCCCAAAAAAGGAGTTGTCCAGGGCTGGGGCAGGAGGTGGGGGAGCAGGGAGGACAGAGTGCCTCTCCCCCCCACCCCCACCCCCACACCCCAGAGCGCGGCTATGGCCTGATAAAAAGCGCAGCTACAGAGACAAGACTGAGCGTTTGTTTGTGACTTTAAATGATGCCAGTGTTGGAAGATGACACAAAACCAGGACAAGACAGGATGGCCATTGTTCCAGGGGAAAGGCAGCAGAATCAGAGGCCTCCGCCTCCCCCGGCCTGGGCAGCACCATGTTTTTGGTCTCCATATCATTAGAGACCTTGCAGCTCTACGCAAGGCAATTGTGCTTTGTGACCGGCTTGTTGCCTGCACCAGAACATCTTCAATCAGACGTGTCAGAATTTCCTTTTTAAGGCTGAGTAATATTCCCTGGCGTGCATCTGCCCCATTTTTTTTCACGAATTCACTCACCCACAGTGCTCCCATTGTGCGTGGCATGGCTCTGTCTTTGCGGAGCTGCCACGGGCCTCTGTGGCTGGGCCCTTTTTCTCTGTACCATTGGACACAGGACGCAGGACACAGGCTCCGGTCTCCCCTCCACTGGGCTTCCGTCTGCGCATCCCTGGTCATGCTTTCCGTGTGCTCCCCGCGTAGCTGCCAGCTCTAGACTGGTCTGGAGGGGGCTCCTGGCTCTTCCTGTCCCCTGGCTCACTTTGAAAGCTTTGTGACTTTGTTGTTGAATTGTGGACATCTTCTAGCATCCCACAGTGTGTGAGAGCAAAGAGCCCAAGGTGTTGGCAATGTCTAACCGTCCCCAAGAAAGGGAGCCTTGTGTCCTGACACCTTCTAGAACTTTTCTTCACTGACTGGCTCTACACTGGCCCTACACTGACTGGCTGGCTCCCTAAGTTTCTCGCTGCCTAGGATGGCTGTTTTGTCCTGTTCTGTGCTTGTGCCTCTGAGGAACGTTTGGTTTCATGGCTGGGCCCGGGGAGGGAGACATTTGCCCCGCACCCGGCGATCCTTGCTTGAGAGGGGGAGCCAGGTGACAGCCTAGCCCGGGGCAGACTTCAGGTCTGAGGGAGTGAATTTGGTGCAGAGGGAGATGGATGATGTGGACAGGCTGTGGCCTCCTGGCTGGGGGCCCGACTCCCTTTGTCCACTGGGGCTGTCGTGTGTGGGAGGAGTGGCCGGTGGAGGCCCCCGCGTGTGGGAGGAACGCCGGTGGAGGCCCCTGTGTGTGGGAGGAGTGGTGGATGGAGGCCCCTGTGTGTGGGAGAAGCAGCCAGTGGAGGCCCTGTGTGTGGGAGGAGTGGCTGGTGGAGGCCCCCGTGTGTGGGAGGAGTGGCTGGTGGAGGCCCCCGTGTGTGGGAGGAGTGGTGGATGGAGTCCCCCCCCCCCCCCCCCCCCCCGTGTGCGGGAGGAGTGGTGGATGGAGGCCCCTGCGTGTGGGAGGAGCAGCTGGTGGAGGCCCCCGTGTGCGGGAGGAGTGGTGGATGGAGACCCCCGTGTGCGGGAGGAGTGGTGGATGGAGACCCCCGTGTGCGGGAGGAGTGGTGGATGGAGGCCCCCGTGTGCGGGAGGAGTGGTGGATGGAGGCCCTCATGTGCGGGAGGAGTGGCTGGTGGAGGCCCCCGTGTGCGGGAGGAGTGGCTGGTGGAGGCCCCCGTGTGCGGGAGGAGTGGCTGGCGGGACCCGGTAGACGCCCAGGCCCTCCAGGTGGGTCCCACCCCGCAGACCCAGAGGTCCGGGTTTGGGAGTGTACCCCAGCCTCCACGGTGCTCAGAACTCCGCCCTGGGAAGTCCTTGCCGCTTCTGCACTGACAGGTGTCCTCTTCTCACCATCCATGCCCCGTGTGGTCACAGGGCTGCAGGGGACTGGGACTGTGCCTGGAATTTGGGGTGATTTTCTGGTCTCCAGCACCGAGGTAAATTGAGGTCAGGGCCCTGAGACGGAATCAGACTATTTATTTCATCTGGGTCATTCTAAATGAGATGCTGTTTTTAGACGGCGTGACTCTGAGCCGGGGCTCACTGCGTCGCCTCTGCCCCCTACAGGTCAGCTCCAGCACGGTCGTCTTGAAGACGGGGTTCGATTTTCTGGACAACTGGTAAACGGGACGGCAGCAGAGACCCGAGCACGCCCCGCCCTGCGGCGCAGGCGGCGCCCCGAGACCGGCTCCCCTCTCTACACTTTCTTTAATTCTTTGCAAACTGGTAAATAGTGCCAGACTTTTTTTTTTCCTCTTTGGTAAAACCAGATATATGCTATTTTCAGTAATTTGATAGCAGAAGTTTTACACTTGGAATTTTTATAGTCCATTAGGAGTTTAATGTAAGTTCCTAGTTCTACCCAATTTTCCCCTCAAAGGAATTTTTTTCACTATTTACGAAAGTGGTGAACATGACTCCATTTCCTCCTCTGCCCCTTCGCACGCTGTCTGTGCGTGGGGCTCCTTGCGCAGGTGACCACCTCCTAGTCCTCAGCTGCAAGGAGAGCTGCAGGGGCAGACGCCAAGGCTGAGGCTGCACCCCCCTCCATCCCCCCTCCCACCCACCCCTCCCTCATCTCAGCTGGGAGCCTAAGCCTCCCCGACTTACTCAAAGGAGATCATTGTTTGGAGACAGTTGTATGTTTGAAAGTTTTACAACTTTCTCATGACTTTATGTCTGCTAAGCCACACTTAGCAGCCCGGCTCCATTTTGTACTAGATTCCCTGGAAACTCTTGTTACGGCTGGCCGTCCTTGGCTGTCCCTGGGCCAGCACTACAGGAGGGCTGCCGGGAGGGGCGGGGGGGAGGGAGCTTCCTCCCAAGGGCCCGCCCTCGCCCCCACCCCCTGCCCCTTGGAAGCCGCCCGCCACTCCTAGGCCTGTGGTCACAGCGTGGGCACCAAGGCCAGGAGGAGGGGACCTTGCCTGGAGACCATGCCGGGGCCTGGCCCCTCAACCCCCACACCACACCCACCTGTGGGAGGTGCCAAGCCTGGGCAGGGCCTGCGCCGCGCCCTCCACGCTCTCACCTGAAGCCTTAACGCCTGCGAGTCATGCCAGCAGGCAGAACCAAAAGCTGCCCTCTGTTTTTACTGCCTGTGCTGCACCGCCTTCCAAAATGGCTCCCAGAATGTTCTTTCTGGCTCAGAGGTAAAGCACACGGCAGGCCCCCTCTTCCCACCCCCAGAAGGACTTCTGCCAGCCCACGTTCATTTGGGCCTGCCCGGTGGCGCGTGGCCCTCGGGCCTGGGTCTTCTCTCTTGCCCGGGAGCCCCGCTGCCACTTGGCAATCAGATTCCTTCTGTGCCATCGGAGGAGAGTTGGTGTTCCACAGTTGGAAGGGGAGTGGAGCTTGAAATCCCAGGGGCTTGGCCTGCTCAGCACCCGGTCCCTCAGCCATCCTCCCAGCCTGCACACCTGCTGGAGCCAGTCCTGCCCTCCACCGGCCAGCGCCACCTGCCTGCTCTCCCAGAGAGAGACTCGTGTCTGTCCACCTCAAACCTCCTGCCATCCTCAGTGCCAGGTGGTGTGAGTCCTCCCAGAGCCACTGGGCTCCGTGCCTTCCAGACCCGAGCCTGCTGGGCCGTGGTGTTTCTGCAGGGGGCGGGCTGCCAAGAGCACAGGCCGCATCACAGCCTCGCCAGGTTCCACGCTTCTGAGGTGGCACAGGCCCCACCATGCCTGGCCTACCCACTGGGGGCACCTCCCGGGTCTGTGGCTGGGTGCCTGCTGGGAAGTTAAGCCCAGCCTTTGCCTTGTGTTCTCCTCTGTGGGCTATGATGGAGCTTCTAGAGCGAGGAATGCAGATGCTTTGTTAAGAGTGTGTCTGCTCTCCAACCGCAGCCTGCATCAACTTCAGATCCCACCACACTGCACCTCTGCATACCTCCTACAAAAGCTTTCTGAGAGGCGGCCCCACTGCTGGCCTCTGGCCTGGGCCCTGGGTAGGGGTATGTGTGTGTGGAGGGGGGTCTCCCTACAGCCATTGCAGCGCAAATGCCTGGGATGATCTCTCTCTTTGCACCTCCCTTTCTTGGATACACATTTTCAAAAGTGATAGATTCTTACTGATGGCTTATAACTTGACCATATTTTGTATTAACTAGCCTTTAATAAAGCTGTTTAAAAAATTTGAATTTTTTAAAGTTCTAGTTATTTTTTTTTATTCTAATTCTAGTTCTCTACACATTCCTAGAGGAGGGTCTGCTCTTGGTCTCTGCTTACCCAACAGCTCAGAAAACCTGGTTGGCAGTTAAGCACGGGAAAAGAAGCTTTCACACTAGTGAAAAGCCACGCCCACGGTGCTGGCCTTGCAGGGGGTAGGGGTGGGGGTGAATGAAGGCTGGGGTGCACCTGCCCGGCGCAGGTCCCATGCCAGGCGGCTGAGCCGAGCACTGCGGGCCTGAGAGATTCACGCCAGTGAGCCTGGCCCTCCACACCTGTGTGAGACCAGTTTGAGTTTTCGTTTTTGAGTTTTGGGATTTGAAAGGGCTCCATGATTGCTAGGCAGGTGCTCTACCAGCCTGGACAGGACCCTCCTATTAATGCTTTCCACATAGCTGTTGCCACCAGCTACACAGTGCAAGCCACCCCACCCAGCTCTCAGCTGAGATGAGAATCTCCCAAATTTTTGCCCTGGCTGGCCCCAAACCACAGTGCTCTTGATTTCTACCTCTAGGAAACATCCTAGTAGCTAGGATTATGCGTGTCAGCCACTGATGCCAGGCTGTGTTTTGGTTTGTGGTAGAAGAAATTAAAAAAACCAAGCCAGGCATACATATCCTGTCCAAGTGGTAAATGGCCAACTTCAGAGAATTTTTTAGCTATCAGTTCCAGCAAATAGACATTTAAAATATAATCCCCACCCAGTGCCAGTGGCCCATGCCTGTCATCCTAGCTAGTCAGGAGGCTGAGATCTGAGGATCATGGTTCAGAGCCAACCAGGCAAGAAAGTCTGTGAGACTTATCTCCAATTAACCTCCAGAAAACCAGAAGTGGTACTGTCACTCAAGTGGTAGAGCACTAGCCTTGAGCTGAAGAGCTGAGGGGCAGCGTTGAGTTCAAGCTCCACATTTGACCAAAAAAATAAACTCCTGCTCCTATGTGGCTTCCTTGGGCTGCTGCCCAGGAGCTGGGGTCTGGGATGGAGCCGGGATCCTGGATGGGTCCAGGGCCTGGCAAGATCACTGCCTGCCCTCCACTGGCAGCGTGTAGTGGGATCCGTGTAGGCCACACCCCCTAGGTCCTCACATCACTCAGGGAGTGCTGGTTCCAGGTGCCAGCTCCCTGCACCGCAGAATGGCTGGGACCTGTTCTGCTCCCCGCACCCAGGCCCTCAGCAGGCCATGCAGGGAGAATAGGCAAACCTGTGGGAGAGGGAAGCATTCTGGCCGTTTCTAAACGGGGTGGGGCTACTGTATGTCCACCGTGGGTTCTGAGGACGCACAGACAACTGGCCAGGGCCATGCCCCAGTGCCGGCCCCATATGCGCCCCTCGCTCTCCACGCCCTGCCTCCTGGGGCTGGGGGAGGGCCTCTCTCAGGTGAAGGCTGTGACCTTCAGTTTCACCCTAGGCTGTGAGTAAGCAGGGGCAGGAGAAACCTGTGGCACAGGGGGTTCTAGGACCTTCTGCTAACTGGGAGCTCTCTCCCCTCTGTGGGGTCAGCCCAAACCGCATCCAAGGCAGGCATCTGGAGGAGGAGCAGGAGGCACCGGGGCTGTTCGTGTCCTGGGTCCTCGGTGTCCCCCATGGCCTGGTCCACTGGCTCCCCAGGGCCCGATATCCTCGGGGGGGGGTCTCTCCCCAGTTTCAGGCCCATGTGGTGCCGTTGCCGGCACTCCTGTCGCTGTGTGTGTGTGTTTAGGAGGTGTCACAGGTGAGGCGTGGTCTGGATTCACTCACATCCCCCATTGCCCCCCCCATGACCAGCCTCCAGCCTCGCCCGCTCAGTGCTCCCTCTGGGCACGTCCTGCGCCCGGCGGGCCGAGCTGGCCAGGGAGGGGCAGCAGATGCTGATGCTGGCTGAGAAGCGCTGGTGCTGGAGGGGGTCCCGGAGACCTGGTCTCTGTACTCACCCCTTCTCCCCATGTGGCTCTGCCTGGGGCCTTGTCTGTCTTGTACCAGGTAGACAAATGGTCTAGGCCCCAGGAGGCTGGCAGAGTGGCCACCTCTTCCCAGGAAGGAACCACAGTCCTGGCATTCGCAGCCTGTGCTTACCCTGGCGTTGGGTGACCCTCGGACAGGCCTGTGGTTCTGGACCGCCCGCCTCTTTCCTTCGCGTCCAGCATCCCTGGTCCTGGGAGCTCCAGCCAGGCCCTCTGCATGGCCAGACCACCCTCTCACCTCTCTCCTGCCTCCTGTTATGTCTCCCACCCAGGCCCGAGGATGAGGGGCTCAGGTGCCCCACCAAGTTCCTAAGCACCCGTGAGGCCTCACCTCACTCCTCTGTCCTCTTGGCATCTCAGCTGTAATCTAAGAGAAACAGTGGCTCTGTGACGTGGGTTGGGAGGAAAGGAGTGAGGTGGACACAGGATCCGGGCCTGGCTCTTGCTGCTGTGAGTGGCCTTGTGTCTGGCAGCCTGCAGCCTGCGCTCCCCTGCCCCTGTGTGACTCCATGCCGGCAGCTTGGAGAGCCTCCGAACCCGTCTTTCCCAGTATGTGCAAGTCGGAAATGCAGCCAGATGTCTAGGATGTGATGGGAGCCAGGTTTCCAAGGTCCCCGCCCCATTCCACCCGTCCAGCGGGTCTCCGCTTCTGCCCTGACTTGCCATCCAGCTGGTGACTCATGTAGCTATTTTTGAATTTTCTAGATTCAACCTTAATAACAATGGACACCAATGATGGTCTCTGCTCTAGGGTCTTCATGGCCCATATAGCACAAGGCCCCTTGCGTGCATGCATATGTGGGTGTATGAGCAGCCAGGGCTGGGATGCCATGTTCCACATGTGGTGGGCATGTGGCCTGCTCAGTCCCCTCCCCCTCCAGGCTTCATGGAGCTGCGTGGTCACCACACCCACGGCAGGGCAGAGCAGGGGCCAGCATCCCCGCTTCCCTGCCTGCAGAGTGAGCCTGGGATTCCCTGGATCACTCTCCCTACCAAAGGCAAGGCTCTGAGTTCAAATCCCAGTGCCCCTCAAAATAAGATATAAAGAGAGGTAGAGAGAGACTAGGAAACTTATGTGCTGCCCACCTCTTTCCTTTGTGGAGAATAAGAGTCGACATCAACTCCACACTCTTGAGGGTGCCAGGGGGTGCCGGGCAACCTGGGCCTTGGTCTTTCTGTCTTCACATGCAGAGGCAGGAAGGAAGCCAGACCTCTTCCACCTGAGTCCAGTTCTTTCCAGGAACGTAATCCTATTTGTCCTGGTGAAGGGCCTTTCTTAAAACTCCACCCCATTCTCCATTATGTCACAGACGCACGGTGTCCGGCTCCCTCCTGTGCAATGCACACGTGCTGACCATGTGCATTGTTCCGTCTGTGTGCGTGCCTGGATCAGCTGCCACACACTTCCTCAGCACCTCGAGGGGGGCTGTGCGTGCTGGTGGTT